AGGTGGCATAGGTGCTTCTCGGTGAAAGTCTACCTGGGCCCCAAGAAACCCTTCGGAGTCGTTTGAAGGCTCCTAACATGAGTTCATTATGCAAGTCATTCAAACGCCCAGAGCCTCCAAAACCCCTTAATTAAGGAATATACCTTAAATCATATAAGGGATCTTATTGTAATTTAAAGTATATTCCCTATTTAAGGGGCATTGGAGTCTCTGGGCGTATGTAGGTTATTTGGTGCGTGTTTTGGTGGAAGCTCGAGGCCTTTATTTCGGCAATGCCTACACGGGCCACGAGTTTGCCGGGCTCCTAGTTTAGGGTTTAAGGTTCAAGGTACTGAAAAGGCAACCTCAGAAAGTTGAAATACGGATTAAGGATGATCAGTGCTGGGATTCCCTTCTCTACATCTTAAGGCTACGAGGACAGTGATGTTCCAACTGTCTGGCTTCCACTTCAGGGGCCCAAATAGTAATGGCATCCCCTTTCGTTCGACCTTACTATAGTCCCAGAAGCTCCAAAACCACTTAATTAAGGAATACACAATAAATTAGAGGTTACGGGGTCGAAGTCGACCGCTGCGTTTTGCATATTTTGGGAATATGCTGAAAATTGTGTGTGTGTGTGTGTGTATGTGCGCCGTATCAATCTTATTATCTATAGTTTAACTATATCAGCTCTGTCATCAACATTAACATCTATATAATTTCTGTATTACTTGTCACACTGTGCAATCATTAGGTTGATGTTAAGCTACATAACCAACATATAACTAGATCAGTTAGGACTACATCATCTATCTTATTAATAGTTCTACCAATCTTAACAGGTGCGATGCTTCACTAATTAAGGTTATTAACAGATATGCACCTAATACAATAGCATTTGGTCCATATTTGGAGGTGATGCTATGTTCTATCATATTTGATTTAGTTGTTTGGGAATCCAGAAGTCTACCCTTCCAGCATTCGATAATCAATAGTTTAAGAATAACTGGTTTATTGCATGTTTAGTGTCTTTGGTTAACTTGTTTATAATCGGATAACCTGAGCTATGAGGCTATGAGTTGTCTTTGTCTATTAGGATAAACAAGTTTGGGCACATCATATGTTTACAACTAGTATGCAACAGTGATACAAGAGCTAACTTTACAGGTTAATACATTGGTTATATTATCATTACCAACTTGTTCGTTACGATCATGTAGTTGGTATTCTACATCCCTGGACAAGTAATGCATGTCTACTGATACTATTTCACAACTAGTGTTAACTGTTATAGTATATCTTTCATATAGTCTGTTTACAATAGGTGGTTAGACGGGTATTATACTTGGTAATTAGTGCTGCTATTGATATAGATTTTTATGACTCTTATTATGTTGTTGCACTTTTCATTATGTCTCACCATTAAGTACAATCAATGCTACCCTATTAGGACTATTATATGTATTGTCTTGTGCAGTATTGAAATGACTTACTAACACTAGATGAACAGCTATAGGTAGCGGCACTGGCATGAATGGTCTGGGTTAGCTGTGTGTAGAGGTTAATACAAATCAAGTTGTCTAAGTTTTTCATGTGTGTTCTAGTGATGTTATGTGAAGGCTTATATTATTACATCTCAGTGGTTTCTAATGTTTAAGGCTAGTAGAGTACAAGACTAAGGAGATTACCCAATATAGTGGTTGGAATGATACTAGTTCAGTTGGTGAGAGGTTGCACGTTAGTTTCATTTTATATCACTACAGTCCTTTCCAACCAAGATAGTTTAATAAGTATTGGGGAGGCCACCGGAAGCTTGTCATGAATCGCGACGGCTGTGCAGATATGAGTCACCGGAAAATAGAACTAAGCTATACTAGGCTTGAATACGGAACACCGCGAATCACAAACTGTATTCGGCATGAGTGAGACCAGTGATGCATGAGCGATATATGTGATGCAGCACACGACTGACACGCATCGGCTTCTTTTGGAACCCGCAGCGATTCATTGAACTGTCTGTCTCGTAGCCAATGTGTCTCAAAGCGTCGACACCTAAAAAACCAAAACCTCCAAAACCAAAAAACCAAAACAAAAAATATCAAAAAAAACAAAAAACCATTCTTTCAGAACTCTCCCATTTGTGTATATTTCTAATGTTTTCCTGGAGAGCACTGAAATAATGTTGTTTTTTGATTTTTTTGTTTTTTTTGGTTTTGTTTTTTTGGTTTTGTTTTTTTTGGTTTCATTTTTTTTGGATTGGGTTTTATAGGTTTGTTAAAGGAAAGGGGCTGGTGTTTCTTAGGGTTCGAATTACGACAACGCCCCTAAGCGCCAGAGTTGATAGTGATGTCGTGGAGGAGGCGGACCTGAACTGCGCAAATCGCAGTGGCAGAGTTCGGCCCCCGAACCAAATTAGAATAGGAACCCTAATATGGTTTAAGGTCTATTTCTTAAATAAGGTTTATTGGAGTCTCTGGGATCATAGTACAGTGAGCCCCGACACCAAGTTTTAGCTAGGAACACCCCTTTATGTTAAATGTAGGCTTTCAGGTTTCGCGCTCAGAGAAACTTCAAACTTTCTCCGTTTCTATGTTTCCTTAGACCCTCAACCTCAAACCCAAGACCGAGATCAAATTCAATGCTCTAGGTTTCACGTTTTAAGGTGTAGGTTTCCCCAAGTTTAAGCCCAGTGCCCTACCTCAACCTTAACCCCAATAACCTACCGCTTGAAGGATTTATACCAGGAACTCATATTAAGGAGCCCTCAAAACGAAAACCCTTAAACCCTAAACCCTGAACACCTGGCCGAGATCTGGCGTTCTGTCGGTTCGGATAGTATGGGCAGGCGGAAAAAGGTGCTGAAAAAAAGCTTGAACACACTTTCAAAAGACAGCCTTGAAAACCTGAAGTAGGCCCTAAGCCCGAAACCCTAAACCCTAAAATTCCCCACCGTTGTAAATGGAAGATGACGGGGGACGTACGTGGGAATCGCCACCGCAGAATCTCCAGATACTTAACTTCCCCTAGGGGGGGAGGCGAAAGTGGAGATAGAGTTTTGGGTAACGTCGATTGCGATTGGGAAATGTTCACAGACATTGGAGCTTGGGTTGCGAGGCCTCGTGAAAACATGCATTAGACCCATGTCGGTCTGTAGACCACAAACGCTTTTTTTTACAAGACATGGACACGTGCCACCCAACACTCTCAATATTGCAGGACCGAAATCTTAAGCCTGACGGATGAACTTTAAGGAGAGGGGTCCGAAAACATGTATTAGTCTAGCAGGGGGCCCAACACCACGAACTTGAATTCTTCTGCACATCACGATCACTGAGCTCGCCCTCCCCGCAGCAGCGGGTCGAGCTTTGTTCGGGCATGGCAGGCATGGGCTACAGCTGCTGGACCTTAAACTTCGCATCCCCGAAACCTTGGCCCGCCCTAAGCTTCGAACTTACCTTAAATCTTAGACCTAAACCCACGAAAGCCTGCATGCCCGCACACGTACTCCGCATACATAGCCATCATGTCCGGAAGCCAGGACAGCACACATAGCACACATAGCACACATAGCACACTTCACATACTTCACATACTTCACACCACTGACGCTCCCAGCACAATCTTCATGGCATGGCATGTCAAATTCCGTAGTTTCCTGTCGGGCCGAAACGACTGCCGGCGGCTCGGCTCACTGATTGCTTGACCCGAAGATCTGAAAGATTGTTCCTCATGTCATTCGCCGAGTTTACTACACGTTCAAGTCACCGGTTTTGACCAGTTCGACTTTCGACAGCCGCAAGAAGGCAAGGACCATTTTGGCCAGCCTTCTTATGTCCGGAGCCATCGGTGCTTTTCCAGGCGGACAAGTGGGCTGAGAGTGTGGGCCTCCCAAAGAAGGCACTTGTGAGATCCGTGCCATGGTGTCCATCGGGCCCTAACACTTTCCCCCGCCACAGGTCAGCGATGATGTGCGAGCACGCGCAAAGGCGTCTGCTGGCGACTCCGATTACGGCTTCGCCCAGCAGGCTTTGCCGTTGTGCCTCAGGCTTCTTTCACCCTCGGAGATGTTCTGCATGTTCTGCAGGAGGTCGACATGACTGGGTATGCGCCCGGGAAGGACCGTTCTGGGCATATCTGGGCATGTCTCTTGCAATGTATGTTTGAGCCACGTCCGGCATGCTGGCACATTCCTGGCACACCTCGCAGGCATTTGGCCTTGCTCAGCGATCACAGTGTTTGCCGGTGTTTCATGTGCCTCTACGACTCTGTGCCTAATGATGCTAACACAGACAGGCAGCATACAGACACACCACCTAGAGTTTCAGATGCTTGCTGAGTGGCCCGGGTCCAAAACCAACGACGTCACTGGTGCCAGCGCAGCAGCTAAGCCAAGCGTAGCACTCTGTCATTGGCGCCATTGCAGCAGCTAAGCAATCTAAGCATAGCACTAGGCTCTGTGATCGCCATGTGGCCGAACCCAGCTCTTCCTAGTTTGGCATGCCAGTGCCACATAGAGTCGGGCTCCTTTCCTTCCAGAAAGAAAGGGAATCCGGATGAGCGACCGAAGTTCGCTTATTCGCTCCTTGGATTGCCTTTCAGCATGTGTGTGATGGACCATGATGTGCACGACTGTCTCTCTCACCACTCCGTGTGAGGAGGGTGCCTGGCCGTCCCGACATCGTGCACCCTACCGAGAAGTATCAGCAACAATGCGAGGCGATGCCGTGGAAGGCTCCTAGGCTCAGCGTGGCGCAACGAAAAGCTGCAGAGCGTGCACGGCCTACACCTCGCTTGCCGAACACGGGGTACTTTCGTGAATGGCCGGTTCCGCGATACTACCTGGACTGGTATGATGCTTCTTAGCGGATTTGGCGGGTCATTACCGTTGCAGCATGCGTGTGTGTGTGTGTGTGTGTGTGTGTGTGTGTGTGTGTCGGGCTGTAACTTGCGGCCGTATCTGCACCCAGTCTCCGGCGTCTCCTGGGGTGGCGGAGCCGTCACCTGCGGTCTCCTATGGGGCGATGAAGACATGGAGAGCCAGATGGTCGCCATACGAGTCATATGACGGTGAAGATGGTAATGATGATGGAGAATGGGAGCGGGTGTCTCAACATGGTTAGGTAACCTTAGGTACATGTCGTGTGCCATGTGTGCCTTTGCTTGCTCACTTCTTTAGCTCTACATGTACAGATTTTAGGCCTTAGGATCCCTAGGACCCTCCTCTCGCAGTGGCCATAGGTTATATAGGTCTACGGCTAAGCTAAGGTAGTCGAAGCACGAGTGTTTGAGCCTGGTGCTTGGGGTTCTTGCCACGGCAATTCACAGGGCGGAAGGGAAGCACTTCGTGCACAAGAGCTGTCTGCAGAGCCAGGGCGAAAAAAAGTTGACGTCCGGAGCGAGTCGTGCGAGTCACATGTGGATTTCGGAAGCAACCGTGAAGCAAGCCGAAAGCCAGTATCCCCAGCAGCAGTTCTGACAGGTTTTAATCCCATAGACCGAGCCTTTGCCCTAACATAAAAAAAAATAGGCTCACACGAAGCATACTCTAAGTAGGCTGGGGGGGACGTGGCAAAGTGGATTATCCAGTTCGTGACCACCCCCCCTGTTAATGATGGGGAATCCCTAAACGGTTCCGACGGTTCCTGCCTCAATCGAGGCTCTCTAGACCATCCGCGGAATAGAAAGAGGCCCGTAAACAAAAACAAGAAAAAACGGTTCCTTAACTTTGTCATAGTTGGGTGACATTTTACATGTTTATTGGTATTTGAACCAAATAAAGAAGAAAAATGTACATTTTAAATCCTATCCCAACAATGAACTAGTTAAGGAAAACTGGGCGCAGCTTCCGAACTCAGGTCGGCCATGCGGAAACGGACGTGTCAGACTACGAGGCGGTCGTTCCTTCCTTGCGAGGGTGTGTTTGTTTGCTTTTTCTGCAGGGTTTAGGGTTTAGTTGTTTTTTTGTTTTTTGTTCTTTTCCTTATCTGTAGGGTTTAGGGTTTAGTTTTTTGTTTTCCTTTTCTGCAAGGTTCAGGGTTTAGGGGCGTTTTAGGGTTTAGTTTAGTGTTCAGGGTTTAGGGCTTTAGGGGTTTAGGGGTCTAGGGGTTTAGGGTACAGGGGGGTGCGGCGTGGCAGAATTTTACAGGTTTTCGAACAGGGTTTGTTGGCTGTCACATGGTTTTTTTGGGGGGTGCTAAGGTTGTAGTGGCGTGTGGGGTCCGTTGTTTGCAGCTCAGTGTTTTCTTCTCAAAGTCACAGTCGCGAGGCTGATATGAAAGGATTAGGGGGTTGGCTGTTCTATGAGTTTTGTGCGTGCAGTTTCGCTGGGTACTTATGCAGCAGCACGGCTTGCGGTCTAGTGATTTTGGTTCGGGTGCTAGCAGACTTCCGTATCCGTTGCTCACGATGCATGCACATAGCGCTGCTTGTTCGTCGGTGTCGTGACCTTAACCCTAAACCCGTACGGATAGCCCCAGACCGAACATTGCAAGCAGGTTGCAAGGGCCGCCGAATGAAGATGACAAGCCCGAACCAGTAAGTCTCAAGCTAGAAGAGCCTGGTAATGGTGGTCGTAACAATTAGTGATAGTATCCTCTTTTTGTCCCCATTTGTTTACAAAATATCATTGTACAATGCACCCCAAAGCCTCCTCCAATTATTCATGCCCCTATACTAAACCCCACATTGCCTCTTATAGCTTCCCCTGGCAGACCCCTTTAAAGCCACGAACCCTATTCTAGCTATTTAGGGCTGACGGAACCCTTACAGCTCCGTTAAAGAGCCCTTGTAGTATCCTTGAAGGAACCCTTCAAGAACGCTCAATGGAACCCTTGTCACCGAAACCAGGACCTAGAGTAGGCCCTTATTCCCGTTTTTAGGGTTCAGGTTCCCTTTTTGCCCCCTTTCACCCAAAAAGGGCACACTTTTTGTCCCTAGGTTACTCTGAAGTCTAGTGGGGGTTTCGGAAAACAAGGGACCCTAATATAGTACCCTAAATAATAGGATCCTTATTATGAGGACCCCAAATAAGGTACCCCTAATTTCCGGAAACTCCCTTGTAGCACCGACAAAAATCAGACCTTGCAGAGGAACTCCACGGCCACCGGCTGATGCCGGTAGTAATGAAAGGCGGCCTCTGGGCTCTTGGGACAGCATCTCTTAAAGGGGGCTTGCCCAGAGACTCCAATATCCACTAATTAAGGAATATTCCCTAAATCATGTTAGGGATCCTACTATGATTTAAGGTACATTCTCTAATTAAGGGATATTGGAGTCTCTCAAAGGGGGCTTGGGGGTTTAGGGTGTTTTTTTAGCTTAGCGGTTTAAGGTCCGGGGGTTGAGGGTCTAGGGGTTTAGAGTTTAGGGTTCAGGGTCTAGCCGGGGTTTAGAATGGTATAGAGGTCTAGGATTTAGGGGTTTAGGGTCTGCGGGAGAGCATCCTTCAATCGAACTCGTGCAGTTGGAAAATTTCGTGAACAAAAACCCTAAACCAGGGTTTGCGAGGGTGGAGTTCTCAGTCTACCCGAGTTTGGAGTTCTGTGTAGTTGTGGCGGCACCATGGTTGTAGCTTACCTACTCTTTGTCATAGTTCGGTAACATTTCACATGTTTATGGGTGCTTGAACCCAATAAGGAATGAAAATATACATTTTTAATCCTATCCCAGCAATGAACTAGTACCAATTCTCGTGCAGTTCCTTTTAAGCAGGGCTACAAGGAACAGAACATCGACTGTCGGCTTGTTCTTGCAGCCGTGTATAGGTTTTAGGGTTTTAAGGTTTGGGGCACCCAGAGCGCAGGGTCTTTCTCCAAAGGCTTACCGCTAAATTCCTCAGGCAAGACTGTGCTCGTGTCGGCCGAAAGCCAGAAAAACCTTACATAGATCCTAAGCCGCAAATAGTGAACTCGGAGAAGCAAGTTGAATCTTCAATAGACTTCAGATGAAAGCTTTTTGACTAATGCATCCAGGGTCCGGGCATGTTTTTTCTGGTTTAGAGCTTAGGGCTCAGGCTTTAGGGTGTAGTGTTACGGACCTCCGGATCATTGGGAGTCGCGGAATGTCTATGAGCTTTTCGTCATTGAGGGCTTGGAGAATCCGGAATTGGAAACCCTACTTGGGGAATCCGGAATTGGAAACCCTAAACCCTGTCCTAACACGCCTACAGTCTAAGCCGCTCAAAGGCATAACTTGCACTTTACTATCCCAAGCCTAAACCCTAAACTGCACTATAGGTCATCGACCGCCTGCTTGTGATGTGGGTCGCATCTGCCATGAGCGGCGTTGCTGGCATGACGAATCGGAATTTTTGGCAAATGGGACCATTGCTTAGGTCCTACATAGCAAAGTCCTTTAAGTACCGGCCTTCAAGTAGCACGATCCTTGTTGTAAGGACTTTTTTTGACCCTCCCGGTTGCCAAACTCAGGGTCGAGGCTTGTTAGGGTTCATGAGAGTTCAGGGTTTAGGTAGTCTGTAACACCCTCGCTACAGCATAGTACCTTTATAGGTTCCTTCTAGACCCCTTTAAGGACCCTGTTAAAGGAATCCCATTCCCTACTAAAAATCAGCTCACCTTGCACGCCAGCAGGGGCGCACTTCGAGGATGTGGCCCTGACTCGGCTTCAGCCAGCCACAAGCACCGGACCTCGAGGCTACTTGGAGGATCATGGGACTTAGTAAGTAGGATATATTTGGGGTTATAAGTCCCCTAAGTGGGGTTGTCCGAAGTATAACCTACTTATAACCTTACTTACGAAGTCCCATGAGCCTCCAAGTAGATGGTGCTCTTTGGGAGTTGGCCGACGTGCTGTGGGAGTCGGAAGACCTTCAGCGGCAGGCTGGTGCCGGATGTTAGAGGCCGACTCTTTGCAGCTGAGCCTAGCCGGCAAGAAGTTGCAAGGTTTGCTGTGCGGAGCGTGCTCCGCACATCCACAGACCACGCAGACCCACACAGCTCACCTTACAGCCGGAAGAGCAGAACGTCGCTTAGCGCTAAACCCCTAAATCACTCATGACTCAGGCCACAGGGAAGTACCCGGATGGCAGCAAGACGAACAAAGAGTGGAAGAAAGGCTTCAAGCGCCGACGGTTGGACCCTCCGGCGACGATGCCTTCGTCTTCTCTTCGGCCTTCCGCGGCTTCGGCTTCGTTGCCAGTGGAGTTTGTTGAATCCAAAACCTCGACAGCCGAGCCCAGATGCCAAAAGTCGAAAGCCTTCAGCCCTGAAACTTAAATCCTAAAAAATTAACCCTGATGCCAGTACGCTGACTTCCGAGTGTGCCCGAGCCATGTCTTGCGTAGTGCTCTTGCTCAAGATTCTGCAAGGGCAATTTGAGGCAAATGAAGGACCTCAGCTTAGGTTTCAATCAAAGGGGAAAGGAGGGACCCTTAATCGGGACCCCTACCCTATAATGGGCTATACCAGGCTGTTCAGTAGTACACTCTTTTACTTTCAGGTTTCTGGGTTTCTATTATAGAATAAGAAGCCTAAAAAAAGTATATACTTTTTCCCAGTGGGTTCCTGAACCGCGTAGTATATAATGAGTATATATCAGAATCATTAAGGGTATATACCTAGGGGTCCTTATTAAGGGTCCCTCCTTCTACCCCTAGATTCAAGGCAACCTGCTCTGGAAGCCCTGAAGCCCCCTATGACCCCCAAAATTAGTAGGATTCATATGGGTGGTTATCAAAACTAGGGTCCCTTTTTTGGGTACCCTAAATATCAGGTGCCGTATGATACTGGGGACCCAACGCCCTCAAAATCCCTAAGCCCGACGTAAAACCAAAAATTTTGAACCAAGAAACACTCCCGACAGCAACACCTAGGATGCCCAGTAGTACCCTTATTCCCGTTTTGTAGTCCTAGGTTCCTTATAAAGTTACCCAATACCAAAAAGAGAGGCCTTTTATTCTTAGGTTACTGGGTATCCTAGAAACGAACTATCCCGCAGAACCCATAGACCCCTCGAAAGTCCTAAATCCTATATAACCCCATGTCACACCCCAAACCTAAACCCTAGCCTAACCCCCTAAACCCTAATCCCTAAAACCCCTAAGCCCTCAATCCTAGACCTTCAACCCTAAACCCTCAACCTTAAACCCCTAATCCCTAATCCCTAAACCCCTAAACCCTAAACCCCTATACCTTCAACCCTAAACCCCTATATATCCTAAACCTTAAACCCCTAAACCCTAAAACCTTCAACCCCTAAACCTTAAAGCCTTAAACCCCCTATACATCCCTAAACCTTCAACCCTAAACTCCTAAACCCCGAATCCGCAATCTATTAGGGGTTCCTTTTAGGGCTCTTTAGGGGCTCCTTTAAGGTTAGGGGCTCCTTTAAGGGATCTATTAGGGGTTCCTTTTAGCCAGGCCCAGCAGCGCTGATTCCATGGAAGCTCTGGGCCTCCGATGACGACTCCGCGTCTCGACTTCTTAGGGTTTTCTAGGATACCCAGTTTAGGGGGGGTGTAGGGTTTAGGGGTTCAGGGTTTAGGGTTTAGGGGTTTAGGGTTTAGGGTTTAGGGCTCAGGGTTACTAGGATACCCAGTAACCTAACAATAAAAAGCCCTCTCTTTTTGGTATTGGGTAACTTTATAAGGAACCTAGGACTACAAAAAGGGAATAAGGGTACTACTGGGCATCCTAGGTTTTGTTTGGGGAGTTTAGGGTTTGGGGTTTAAGAGTTTAGGGTTTAGGGGTTTAGGCGCATAGGCGCCCAGGATGAGGGGTTTAGGAGTTTAGGGTTCAGGGGCTTAGGCATTTAGGCGCCTAGGGATGTGGGTTTTAGGAGTTTAGGGTTTAGGAGTTTAGGGTTTAGGGATGAGGGATGAGGGGTTCAGGGTTTAGGAGGTAATGGTTTAGGGGTTTACGGATGTAGGGGTTTAGGTTTTAGGAGTTTAGGGGTTTAGGGTTTCGGGATTAAGGCTGGGGTTTAGGAGTTTAGGGTTTAGGGATTCGGGATGAGGGTTTGTTTCAGAGGATGAGGGGCGCAGGGTTTAAGTTTAGGTTTGTTTAGGATTTAGTTGAGGGTATCAGAAAGAGCAAGAGGATCCTTATACAGGGAACTCCAGAAAGTTGGAATATGGTTTCATGGTAGGATACCCTATAATTTACCATAGAAGTGTTAGGATAATCATATTCCAACTTTCTGGCTTTTACCTTAAGGTTCTACTGGGATGTTTCAGGGAAGCAGGTTGTTTCAACCCAACAATGAACGGTAAGGCCCCTGTAGAAATTCTACATTAGGGTTTTTAACGAGGGCCTGCAAAGAAGGTAGGTTCTGGCAGTTTAAGGTAGACCTGCCTAAACCCTCAACCCCCTAAACCCCTAAAGCCGTAAAACCCTAAACCCCTAAAGCCTTAAAACCCTAAACCCCTAAACCCCTAAAGCCTTAAAACCCTAAACCCCCAAAGCCCTAAACCCTTAAACCCCAAACCCCCAAAACCGTAAACCCCTACAGCTCAGTTTAAGGTAAAGCTGCTTACAGGATCATGGGACTTAGTAACTAGGGTTATTATTGGGGTAACTATACTTATTAAAGTACTTATAGCCCCAATTAAGGGGCATATAACTATAGTTACTAAGTCCCATGATCCTCCAAGTGCCCAAACCTCTAAACCCTCAACCCCTGAGCCCCTAAAACCCTAAAGTCCAAAACCCTAACCTGAGCTTTTGCTACCTCAACCCTAAGGAACCTACCTTTCTGCGGACTTATATAAAGAGATCATATTAAGGAACACTAAAAAGGTAGGTTCCTCAGGGTCCAGTAGCCAGAGACTCCAATATCACTGAATTAAGGAATAGACCTTGAATCATATAAGGGATCCTACCATAATTTAAGAAATATTCCTTAATTACGGGATATTGGAGTCTCTGGGTAAAGCTTAGGTCGGCCTTGTCTTCGGGGAGCTGGACATCCACCGCGTGCACGGCCTCCGCCACGGCGTGGAGTGGGGAACCCAATAGCACCCGGCTTCTGGGGTTTACGGGGTTCCTTTAAGGGTTCCTTTAAGGGTTCCGTTAAGGGTTAATTTAAGGGTTCCGTTGAGGGCTCCTTCAAGGGTTCCGTTAAGGGTTCCTTTAAGGGTTCCTTTTAGGGCTCCTTTGAGGGTTCCTTTAAGGGTTCCTTTAAGGGTTCCTTTAAGGGTTCCTTTCAGGGCTCCTTTAAGGGTTCCTTTAAGGGTTCCTTTAAGGGCTCTATAGAAGTTTGGGGTTTAGGATTTAGGGCTTACTTGGAGGGTGGGGGGACTTAGTAAGAGGGGTTATAAGTAAGGTAGACTATAGTTATATCAACTTGTATTTTCGCCGTCATTTTTTCAGGGTCTCCTTATTAAGTCAGAATGTTAGGAAAAAGGGCACCCTTACTATTAAGGGGTCACTCAGGAACACAGATGCTTTCAGCCCCCCACCAATGAGAGGGAGGCCCTGGGTTCTAGATAGGGACCCTTAGGAGGGGTAGGGGGGTTAGGTGTCGGGTTGATGGAGGTGCGGGTCTGCTGCGCTTTGTTGGCTTGTGCCAGGCGTTTCCAGGCTGCTCATAGATTCCTAACGCTCATGAATCCCTAGCCGAGAGTATTTGAGAATGGCTTCGAAGGTTTGTTGCACTTGGGTTTGTGGTTCCAATCTCAGGAGGAATCCCCAAACGGGTAGTTCTCTGAATTGGGGTCCCTTTTTAGGTCCCCAACATAGTGCAGCGCCCTCATGAAAAGGATCCGCAAGTGGACCCTGAACCCTAATTCCTACAAAGGGACCCTAGTTTAGAGAGCTGCCCAAGTCATGTTTCGCACACACACAAACCTTCGACTAGACCGGTCTGCAGAAGAAAAAAGGAGCAACAAAAAATATACCCAAGACCTACTTTATTTGTGGGTGCTTCCTGTTAGAATCACGAATATGGAGTTTATAGCGACCCTACAAAAACAGGTTTTGGTAGGTTAAGGTATGGCCTTATGGCTAGTCAAACCGTATTCCGTATTCTAGCCCCTCAGAGCAATATCCTGAAGCTCAAAACCACAGCAAAAAACAAACTTGAACCCTAAACCCTTGCAGCAAAGCCCAAGCCCTAAACCCTAAAGCCTAGACCCGCTAAACCCACCGTTTGAAATCAGGTGGTTTGACTGGCGACTGGGCGACCGCTGTGACGGAGGTGGCTCAGGGCTCAAGAAAGTTGGAACAAAGGTTTAGGGGTTTAGGGTTCCGGGGTTTAGGGTTTACGGGGTTTGGGGTTTCGGGGTTAAGGGTTTAAGGGGTTTAGGGTTTCGGGATTTAGGGTTGAGGGGGTTTAGGGATTAAGGGGTTTAGGGGTTTAGGGTTTCGGGGTTTAGGGTTTAGGGGGTTTAGGGTTTAAGGGGTTTAGGGTTTCGGGGTTGAGGGTTTAGGGGGTTTAGGGTTTAGGGCTTAAGGGGTTTATGTAGGGGTTTAGGGTCTAGGGTTTCGGGGTTTAGGGTTAAGGGGTTTTAGGGTTTTAGGGTTTTATTGAGGGGTTTATATTGGGGTTAGGAGTTTAGGGTTCAGGGTTTCGGGGTTTAGGGCTCGCGGGGTTCAGGGTTTAGGGCTCAAGGGGTTTAGGGGTTAGGGGTTTAGGGCTTAAGGGGTTTAAGGGTTAGGGGTTTAAGGTTTTAGGGGTTTAAGGTCGAGGGGTTTGGTGAGGATGATTCGTAATGTTATGCCTTATACTTATACTTTACCTTAACGGCATGAGGAGAATAGTGCTCCAAATTTCTGGCTTCTACTTTGACATGTTACAAGCATAAACCTGTTACAGGCTATCCCTATCTCAGGATGTATGTGGGTTACCCGTATCGTATTATTGCTTACTTCAGTGGTTGCTCACGGCACTAAACAGGTTTTGCCAAGGGTTCAGAGCTTTGCACCTGATCCTTGGACAAGCTTTCGACTTTCAGAAAAAAAACGTATCCAGGGAAGTCTTTGGGGTTGAAGTCACCCTTTGCCTTCAAAGCACGTTCTTCTCGTTGCTTCCGCTCGCCCGCAAATGTATACATTAATGAATCTTACGCCTTTCATCCCCAAAGTATGAAGCCTTAAACATGAAGCTTAAAAATACGACAGTTTCAACCGCCCGCCCCCCCCCCCCCCCTATATTTCCTCGAAACCTTAAAATGCCGAAGCCCTAAACCTCAAAGCCGAGAGTTTGGGTTTGCGCGGCTTGTAGGGTTTTTAGGATTCAAAGGTTAAGTGCCGCTGGAGCAAAGGATGCCGGTGGGGAAGCATCGCATGCTATTGCCTTTGACTCGCCTGCGCTTGCCTCAGCAGAGTTCTGAGCTTCATTTGCCCCTCTCTACAAGCATGAAGCCTCCTTTGCAGCGTTTCATGTTGATGCACACCATGGCATGCGGTGCGAAGAGCGCCTGATGTGATCACAATGCCGGTGGTCTCTCTAGGGTACACCAGCAGGAATCTACGTCCACGTCGAGAAACTGTCGCAAGATGAAGAGGGTGCAATTTCGCCCCAGCAGCCGTTGCGCAATGCGGCTCGTGCCAATTCGTGCAGAATTCCATTTGCGACAGTGGCACTCGAGGATTTGATCTCTGGAAGATGCGTCAGGTTGGTGCCCTTGGTGGCCTGGGCCCACTTCTGCCCAGCGGGAAGCATCTTGGCTTCCTTGGCTCGAGACTTATTGGTTTAGGGGTTTAGGGTGTAAGGGCATTGGGGTTTAGGGTCGTCTTTTGCCTCTGTCTCGTCGAAGCGCAAATGTTAAGTAAGCTTGTTGGTTTTGCAGATTTTTGATCTATACCAGGTTCCTGAGAAGTACCCTTTTGCCCTTTGCATTTTGGGTTCTCCTGCGTAATTCAAAAAGAATATTAGGAAAAAAGGGTACGCTTTTTCTAAACGGGCTACTCGGGAACCTAGGATACAAGGGACTGAGCCTTTGTGTCGGCCCGGGTGGATGAGGGAGAAAGTATCCGCAAAGGCCCTGAGCCGAACAAGTCCTGCTAAACTCGAAAACACTGACAAGGTCTGAGGTTTCGAGTTTGGTTCAAGGTTCGGGCTTATGGTTTAGGGCTTTGGGGCTTGAGTGTACGTAGGTGAAACCTTACTGAACCGGCATAAAACCTCACAGAGCCACAACCGGAACACCCCCACCCCAGGTTCATGAATAGTACGGCTTTGCTCTTTTTATTTAAGGGTCCCCCTACTTAAAAAACTGAACGTGAGGAAAAAGTGTACCCTTATTATAAAGGGACGACTCAAGAACTCCCCGCCCCCTTGTCACAAAAGGGGTTTTAGCCTATGGGGGTTTAGCAGGGATTAGGGTTCCCATAACAGGGTTCACATTAAGGAATCCCTACCCCAAGAATCTTAAACCCCCCTTTTTGGCCTCCCATCACCTTGACAGAACAGCTCATCATCGCTCATGACCTAAAGACGCCGCGGGAGCTCATGGATATCTGGGCCAGGTGCGCTTCCTACTTCCCAGACCCCCGGGAGGATCCAAAAAGTAGATCCTTTAATGGGGGTTCCTATAAAGTACCCTCAGCAGTATAGGACCCCAAATCAGGGGATCCACTTTCTAGATTTAGTTTTAGGTCTCCGGGGAATCCAGGGATGTGGGGTTTGGGTGTCGCGGGTTTTGGGGCTCAGGGTCCTAAACCCTAAACCCTAACCTAACCCAGAGGGTCCATATACACTACCATTATGGAATGAGGTCCCCAAAACCATAATGGGGATGGTCTTTTAAGGCCTAATTCCATAATAGTAGTGTATATGGACCCTCTGGGTAAAGCGCAATTAGGGTTTGGGGGTTCGGGATTTGTCGTTTTTCGGGTGTAACTCTTAGAATCTTGGATTTCAGGGCAGGGCTCTCGGATTCGCGGTGCTGTAAGGAGTCAATGTAAGGTTGAGGGCTCGAGGGGTCATAAAGCGCCGTTACTTCCACGAGTTTCGGACCTTCCGTGGCTTCTTATAGGTCACGACTCACCGGTTGCACGGTATATAGTGCTAGCTTCCTGGGTAGCGCCCTTTTGCCCTTTTCCCCTTATCAACACGGAATATCATGAAAAAGGGTACCCTTATCATCAAGGGGCTACTCAGGAACCTATAGAGTATCAACCCTAGAGCCTCAGCCCTGCAACAGCACATAGCTGGAGCCGCGGTTCGAGAGGAAGCAGGGCAACTCATAAGGACCCCAAATTAAGGTACCCCTAATGTTCGGAAACTACCATATAGCTCACGAAGATATTATGCTTAAATAGGAGCCCTAATAGATCCCAACACTCCGTCATCCCTGGCTGCATGATGCGTAAACGCATTTAGCACTTACCTGGACCCTCAGAAACCTACACTTTCAGGGTTCCTTATTCTGGTTTCCTAATATGGGTCCTTAAAAGGGAAGGGTTTAAGAGTTAAGCCTTAAACCCGAGGCCCTAAACCTTAAGCCCATGTGCCCAAAGGCCAAAGCCCAGCCGGTCCAACAACCGGAACCCCGCCACTCCCAGAGGTGAGCCAGGAGGAGTAGAGCAGATGGTTGATGATTTGCACCTGATTTCTTCCTCCCCAAGGATGCCCAGTAGTACCCTTATTCCCTTTTTGTAGTCCTAGGTTCCTTATAAAGTTACCCAATACCAAAAAGAGAGGCCTTTTTATTCTTAGGTTACTGGGTATCCTAGTCCCTTAAAAACGTAAAGTCAGGGCTACAAACCCTTGCTTCTGTTTAGCTCCTTCAGTCGGAGGTTCAGGTGACTTACCCAGAGACTCCAATATCACTTCATTGAGGAATATACCTTAAATTGTAATAGGATCCGTAATATGATTCAAGGTATATTCCTTAATTAAGGGATATCGGAGTCTCTGGGTAGGCACTAGGGTTTTGCAAAAGGTAACTACAGTTCCTACTCGCAAAATCGCCTGATCCTTCGCGAGCCCCAAAAAAGACCTAGCGCGCATATACAACATCATTTCTTGACGTTCTTCTGGTTGGCTCTTTAGACTTTAACTTTTTGAGTTTCTATACGAACTGTAATAAGGAGGCAAAAGGTTTAACTTTTAGGAGGGGTTCAGAAGTCCGCCAAGATTTAAACATCAGAAAAGGGGTTTAAACCCCTGCCAGGATGAGTTGAAGCCCATATGCAACATCATGAAAGCTTAGGGGTACTGAGAGATAACTTTTAATTTTTGGTTATTATAAGCCCTAAGAAACAGCTAAAAGTATAATTTTTGCTAGGGTTCTAAGTTCAGTATAGAAAACATCAGGAAAAGCACCAATAAATCCCTTTTATCAGATCAACTAACACCATGAAACCCTAAACCCAAAACATGAAGGCAGCTGTTCTTCGACAACCCGTGCCACGAGGCCGCAGAGGGTGAAGTTCGTTGGAGCTCCAGGCCGGACAGGGAACCTGAGAATCGACCGGTGTTAAATACTACTATTCGCTTAAGAACCCCCCAAAAGATAAAAAATATAATCCCTATATTATCCTTATAAGGAATCTATGTTTTATTTTTTGGGGGTTCTTAAGCAAATAGTAGAATAGAAGGGGACTCAATAGTCTTATTGGCTGTAAACTCAACTTTTCAACGTTTGGGGTTCTTGTAAGGTGGTCGATTCTGAAAGTTTCAACTTTTATTTCCTTGGGTTTTGGGCCAGTGAGAAGTCTTCTTGGCTGTAAGCTCAACTTCTCAACTTTCGGGGCTCTTATAAGGTAGTCGATTCTGACAGTGTCAACTTTTATTTCCCTGGGCTTTGGGCCAGTGGTTAGTTGGAGTAGGGTTCTGGGAGTTTCCTTCGTGGGTTTCTGTGGGTTTGTTTCGGGTTTTTGGTGCAGGGGCCTTATGGTGGTCTATCAGGGGCTGATCGGTGAAGTAGGAACATAGACCCTACAGAGAAGGGGACCTTACAGAAAGCACCACTCTGAACTCCAAGCCCTAAGCTCTTGAGATGCTCCGCTACATGAGAGACCCCCCCAGCACCTGTTTCAGGTGTAGTTTAGGGCTTGGGATTCCGAATTTATCTTTAAGGCTATTGAAGGATTGAAGCCGTACAGCTCTTGCGTACCGTTGTTGTTTTGCTTTTCAGTGTCAACGAATCTCTTTCAGCGATATCTTGTATACATACATACGTAGAGGCTGGTGTGTGTGTATATATATGTGTATATTATGTATACACATATATGTAATATGTGTGTATATTTATATATGTGTATACAGGTATGTATGTATGTATATACAAACATGCATACGTATGTCTTTTGCTCACCTCGTAAGAATACAAAACCCTAAACCCTTAACTCCCGAAAACCGTTGACCCAAGGCCCCAGGATTTCATGCCGGCGTCGTGAGCGCGGAGTCACCAGCAGTCGAAAAAGTCAAGCTGGGAGTCGCGAGTTTCGAGGGTTTCTAATATAGGGGCCTAAACTGTTACCAATACAGTTTGGGGGGTTCCTTATTAGTTTTTTGTATAATGGCCCCACAACCCAATTCTCATTACAACAAAACATAAGGCAGCCAGGGGACCAGACATGACCGCAGCACCTCCTATGCTAGAATCCTGGGTAGTGTTATTTTGCCCTTTTCATGTTGGGTTCTCCTTCTTAAAACAGAATATAAAGAACAAGGGTACCCTGGTTCTTAAGGTGCTACTCAGGAACCTAGTATAGAAAGGCACAACTCATTAATAGTTTTCTTCCCTTATGGTTATTTATGATGTGGTATCCTTGGGACTCTTTTCGAATTCTACAGGCCCCTATACTGCTAGGCCCGGACTTTGGTCAGCTCATCGAGAAATCTGAATTCATCCGCCCAACAGAGGTTCGGTGCCTGTAAGATAGGCTTCAGGGTTTAGGGTCTGGTATGGGTCCAAACTGTACTCTATTACGGGCCTGCATGTTGCATCCCCATCACTTCCTTCTTTATTCATAGACCGGATAGTTAAGCTTGTAGACTTCAGGTTCTGTTAGGTCCAGGGCTGAGGTTTGAAGTTATCATGGATTCCTAGATCATAACCAAACTTGTTCGAGAAGGCTTCCTACATATTTCAGCTAAACCAGAATATGCCCTCGAGTCTTACTCCAAAAGTTAAGCCCCTATATAGTATACTGCTGAGCTACCTTGTAGGAATCTTGTTCTAGTCATTATTCCCGCTAGATTAGTGCCAAAGCAGGAAATGTGGGCTTGTGAACTGGACACCTGATTCAGCGCTTTTGGCGAAGCGGCGATCTTGAGTACGGTTTCAGGTTTTTTTGAGTTTGGGGTTTAAGGCTTTTGGGGTTTTCAAGGCTATGCAGTATTCAAGGTTTTGTTGTTTAGGGCTTTTAGGTATTGGTGTGTTTCGCATGCCGAACACTGACGCCATGTCAGCCCACGCTGCAACACACCAGATCAGGCACACAAAGCCTTGACTACCCAACAGCCCACAGGCGAAGCTCCAAACCCCAAGAGCTTTGCGGCTGGTTGTCAAATTAGGGTCCCTCTTTGGGTCCTTGTTAAAATACGGCACCTGTTATTTAGGGTACCCAAAAAGGGACCATATTTTTGACAACCACCCATGCACTGAAACGCTACCCAACAAACAACCATCCCCACTCCAGGCCCTCAAATGTTCCAACGACCCTTTTCAAAGCCTCATGTCCTATAAAGCTTGCACTAAAAAGTAAGCAGAGCAGTTTTTAAGAGTTCTCATAGCACCGCCTGAAAGCCAAGAGACAAGTGTTATGCACAAACAAAATCCCCCCAAGCTCCCAAATCGTTTCAGTTCCGAAAACCCAAGCCATACAAGTCCACTTAGCCTTGAAAGAGCTCCCTTGCGGCCCTTGTGCGCCGTGTGCGATGGCTTGGCCATGCCACCAGGCCTTCATCTCGAGCTTCCGGCCCCATCAAGGTTTAGGACTTTAGGGTTCAGGGTTTTTAGGGCATTAGGGATTCAGGGTTTAGGGCTATTAGGGCTTGATCGTTTGGGGTTCAGGGTTTTAGGGCTTTAGGCTTTCAGCGTTTTGGGTTTTATATGCGTTTTTTTTTTGTGTGTGTGTGTGTGTCTGTGTCTGTGTCTGTGTCTGTGTCTGTCTCTGTCTGTGTCTGTGTGTCTGTGTGTCTGTCTGTCTGTCTGTCTGTGTGTCTGTGTGTCTGTGTGTTTGCAACAGCAGACCTTGCTGGCGCGGCTGACAACTGAAACCTCACTATTGATACTATCAGGTCCGAACGCAGGAGAATGTTCTTCATGAATAGCTGTACTGTGCTGTAGTTAGTAAGTTAGTTCCCTAGGTTTCCTAAATCCTTCCAGCAATCAGACATTCCCCCAGGTTCAATGCCACTAGCCAGCGTGATACGAAGGAGATCGTCCTTGCGTGTTTCTGGGTGGAAGTATCGACCGAGTTGGCCGCAAGATGATATGATGTTGTTGCCAGAAACCCTAGGACCCAGAGTAGGCCCTTATCCCCTTTTTTTGGGGTTCAGGTTCCCTTATAAGCCCCTTTAAACCAAACAGGGCACCCTTTTTATTCCTAGGTTACTCTTGGGTCTAGAACCCCAAGCCCTGAAAATCTGACATATCCCACGTCTCCCTTCCAGCCTCGGCACGGAGCAACGCCGATGCGGCAGCGAAGAGCGCAAGGGGGCCCCAGTTACTGACGAATGAGATCTTTATGCCGTTCAGAGTATGGAGTCATCGTTGGAGACTAAGCCAGGGATTCGTATTGCAGGGTTATCGTTTCTAGCCCATCAAATCTACCACAAGAGCATGTAAACCCCTCCTATATAATTCCTACCAAAAAGATCTAAATCATGATCCTTAAACTGCAAATCAACACGTTTATAGTAAACCCCAAAAAGTTGGAAACCGGATTAAGAACTAGTGCTGGGATTCCCTATACATGACTCAGGATTGAGCTATTGGGTTTCCAACTTTTGTTGGGCTTCTACTGTAGGATGTTGGGTATAGGGTTTGGGGTTTAGGGTTAAATTTAAGGGAAAACTCAGGGCAACTTGGAAATAAAATATGTTGTAGTTTGGGTTCCCATAATCCGTGAGAAACAGCTGAAATTCTAATTTTTCTGGGGTCTGAGCTCAGTATCGAAAGCCCCAAGGCCCCAAACCTAGGGTTTAGGGCCTTGTGCAACTCCCGAGATCTTAAACCTAGGGTTCGGAATCTTGGGCCACTTGAACAGGTATATAACATAGGAAGAAGCTCATGGTCGTAAAGATCTTATACCTGCCACGCTAGAAGTGGCCGGCCGTTTCCGGCAGCGAAAGTCAGCGTGCACTCCCCGGGTGCGCGCGCGCGTGCGGTCTATTTTTCAGGATTTTGCGCATCACGGACTGCCACGAGTGCGAGGGCGAGCTAGCGTAACTGAGAGCCCGAGTCCACCCGAGGGGTGGCCCCCGGGACTCTGACCCGTTGGCTTGCTCTGCATCACCGACACCACAGCGTAGCTTAAAAGATCATGGGACTTAGCAACCAGGGTTATTGTTGGGGCAACTATACTTTTATAATTACTTATAACCCCAATTAAGGGTCTTATAACTACAGTTACTAAGTCCCGTGATCCTCCAAGTAGAGTCCTGAAGTCAACGAAGCCCCAAACCCATATCATAGAACCTCCAGAGATATCCGAAGACTGCCAGGGGCCGTAAACCTAAAACCCTGAAACCCAAAAAGGTTAACCTTTCTAGGACCCAGAGTAGGCCCTTATTCCCTTTTTTAGGGTTCAGGTTCCCTTATAAGCCCCTTTAAACCAAAAAGGGCACCCTTTTTATTCCTAGGTTACTCTTGGGTCTAGCTTTAGTTCCCTATGATACCCGCCAAGTAGGTTAATCAGGTTGCAACAACCCTGGAGCTGCTCAAGGGGTGGCTTCTCACAGCCCAGAGACTCCGATATCCCTTAGTTACGGAATCTTTGTTACACTTGGGTAACATTTTACATCTTTATGGGTACTTGATCCCAATAAGGAATAAACATGTAAATTTTTAATCCTAGCCCAACACTGAAGGACGGAATATCCGTCAAATCATATTAGGGATCCTACAATAATTAAAGAGTCTCTTGTGGGGAAGCCAGTGGCGGTGGCACCGGTGAGGATTGCGCCCGCAGAACTAAGGACCTTGCACTAAACCATACTAAATCTAGGATGCCCAGTAGTACCCTTATTCCTTTTTTGTAGTCCTAGGTTCCTTATAAAGTTACCCAATACCAAAAAGAGAGGCCTTTTTATTCTTAGGTTACTGGGTATCCTAGAAACCCTGAGTGCTGAGCCCTGAACTCTAGACTTTAACAGCTCAGCTAAGCCCTAAAAACTCTACAGACCCGTAAGCCCCAGACGCTAAAACTCTGAACCCTACTACCTAGACCCTACCTTAACCCGGAAGAACCTACCTTTTTAAGGACTTATGTAAGGAAATCATAGTGAGGAACCCTAAAAAGGTAGGTAATTCAGGGTTGAGGTAAACCCCTAGATGAAAGCGCCCAGGCCACCCGCAGGCCCCCTCTGCCGGCCGCAAAGAAGCTTGCCGAGCCCAAGGGCGAGGCTTTTGCGGGGAAGATTCGGGATCTTAGGGTTCTTAAAGGATCATGGGACTTAGTAACTAGGGTTATTATTGGGGCAACTAAGTTGAAGATTTACGAACAACCTCCATGTAAAGAAGTGTAGCCTGACTATGTAACTTCTGAAGCCTTAAGTACGCCATCGACTTTGGCTCAAGATGAAAAAGGCGCCGCTGAGCTGTGCCTTCACGTTCAGGGCAGGGTCCTTCTTTTGGGGTTTCCCTTCCCTTCCTCTCCTTTCTTACCCTAACATAGCGTTGTCTCTGTTTGGGGTCAGAATAACTGGTTATCAGCCGTAGTGTTCGTTCTTCCCTTTTGGTTTGGTGAAGTCCTTTAGAGCGTAAGTCTCTCCATGGATGCACCGGACCCAGATCGTGGCCCAGAGATCCTTCCGAGGCCACGTGGGATCCGAGCTGGGAAAAGTGCGGTACGTAAACGTAAAGCGTACCAGCAGTACCAGCTGAATCTTCAACCGTTCCGATATACTTCCTTAGACGACGTACCAGTCCGTCACTCCGACGGCAGTCAGCGGCCGCTTTATTCGAAGCCGGGTTGGCGACCCATCTTTGAATCCGACAGCGAGCCCGAGGAAGAATTGGTTGAGGTTGAAATAGAAGCAGAGGAGCCGCCACTCATTCCAAAGGCGTCAGGGGCAGTGCCAGGATATCATAGGATTCGCACGCCACCTGCTCCTCCTGCGCCGCCTGTGCGGCCGTCGTCTTCGTCATCGGCGAGCGCAGTGGCTATAGCACCTTCTCAGGGTCCGTCGGCGAAAGTATCATCTTCAGCGCCTTCTGTTACAGCTTCAGTTTCTGGACAACGGTTGGCCCCTACGCCGAAGGTGAGGATTGCTCCCGCAGCGAAGACTGCGGCGGTGCCTAAGGTGTCTGTTCCGACTCCGCCGGCGTATCCTCCTGATCCTAAGATTACTGCTCCGAAGACTCCTCCCAAGAATCCACCGAAGCCTCCAGCGTCAAGGCAGAGCCAGGAGAGTCAGGCTGCAGTGATCCCGAAGGTGCCGCCGAAGTCAGCTCTCACTTCAGATCCTATTGTTGACCTACCGAGGAGCGTCTTGTTGTATTCACCAGACACTTTTAGCAGGTGCAACTTCAGAGTCGAAGATAGCCAGCGGCTTGAGGGCAAGGTCGTCGTATTTGATTTTCACAACGTGATTGACCGATATTATTGGGCACCTCGCGTTGGACAGCGGAAGCAGCAGTATAAGATTCCTTACCCGAACGAGGCACCGGAGTTGCTCTCGGACGTTCAGGGTCTTCTTAGGCGTGTCCACAGAGCTGCAGAGGAGGCGGGAGCATTGGTGGTGATTTGCTCCCACATTGGTGAGGGATCCAGGAGCATCGAGGATTGGGCCTTGGACACCCTTCGAAACACCTTTATACAATCTGTTGGTCAACGCCAAGCCGATTTAGTCATCATCACTCGATCCCGCACAGGACGCCTCGGAAAGCTTGACATCTGTCGACGCCTTTTCCAGCAGCCATCGTTGTTGATAATAGACGATAACACGGGGATCTGTGAGGAGTGGAGCAGATCGGCTAACGCTGCTGCGTTTCACATCCAATTGCCTCGGCGGGATCTGCCGTCAATTGGTCGTTCCTTTTCCTCGATTTTCGAGGCGGAACCTTCCATTTTGAATTGGATCTCTGGCTGAAGTGCTCAGCGTGTGCATTCGGACTTGGTGTGAAAGGCTGCCTTGCGCCACCACCTTGTCTTCGGCAGTTTGGTTTAGGGTTACTTTCAGGCTTCAGGGTACTTCTGTGTGGTCTGTTAGGCGCATTGCGCCACTGACCGGGGGTATCTGTGTGGTCTGATCGGCGCATCGCGCCACTGACCTGCCTTCCTGCTAGCGCACATCTGTCATCATGTCACAATCTCAATCAACCCCAACTGATCCAAGCTCATTGCTTGACATCTCCAGTGCCTCAGCAGCCGCGGTTCCGGGTATGAGGGATTCCTCTTGTGCTTCGGGTGGTTCAGAGAGTAGTTCAGCCTTGGTTGAACGCTCACGCTCACCTCCTGCCAACCGAAGAGCCTTAGCTCGGACTCCCAGGAAAGCTTCAGCCCCGTACCCAGCTGTCAATGCCCCTCTCGACGAGTCTGGTATTCCTACTGTTGTTCATAACCAGATGCTCAACATAGGAGCCACGCCTCAGCAAGTCCTTGCTGCTCAGCAATTTGCTGCTGGTGAAGCTGCCAATCGAGTCGCCGCTCAGGCGGAGCTGCTACACCAGGCTTCTATCAGTGAGGTACAAGGCCAAGTCAGGGACGTGTTGACCGAAGCAGGGTCTGCTGTTGATCAGCTTCGGGAACAGCTTAGGCGTTCGGAGATTCGATGCGGGGAATTGTTTGAGTACGGTCAATATGTTGAACGTCAGCTCGCAGAGGCAAAGGCAGAGTTGAATATGTTGAATTTTCAGCTAAATCAAGTCCGGGTAGAGTGCCAGATCAAGGAGAGAGAGATTCAGAGGCTTCGGTCGGCTGCTCCATGCGCCTCGACCTCCGGATCTCCTCCTAAGCCACCGAAACCCCATGCTCCGCTAGGCGGTTCCGGGTCTGGTGCTAGTGAAGCGTCATGGACTCACCTTGAAGCTTCCGATCCTCCCACTCAGCATCTGCTGTACTCGGGTACCTTTGTTCCTCCGCCCGCACCTTCATGTCCTGCTCCTCCTCAACCCACGTCTCCTGTTTCAGACCCTCGCGTGGACCAGCTGATTGAGGTAGTCCAACAGTTAGTCCAACAGGTCGGTCAAAATGCTACGGGTATTGTTGAGACCAATGAAGATGATGAAATTGAGGATCAAGAAGCTGCCAAAGAGCTTCGGGAAAAGGACATTGTTGATCAAAGGGCTCTCTTACATCTCAAGCTTGAACCTGTCCCTTCAGATGCGGCAAGCTTCAGAACTTGGAAGAATGGTTTCAAGGTTCAGTTGTCCAAGCTTGATACTTCGGGTCAAGGTCTTGTGTTGGCTTGGATTTCCAGAGGCTTTGATGCTGAGAGAGCTGATTTGCAAGATTCGGAGCTTCTTCCTCGTCTCGATGCATGGATAGCTGGTGAGCTGTCATCAGGGCGTGTGTTGAAGCAGTCCTCTGAACTTGAGCAAGATATCACTGCTTACATTGAAAGGTGTAGTCAACTTGGCCAATCGCCCAAAGGTCGAGTGATGTTGTCTATCATCGCAAGACATTACGACCTCGATCGGGTAAGAGGTTCTGTTCTGACTGCATCAACCTTGTTTCAGATCGAACTTGGTGGAAGTTCCATAAAGGACTTGAGAGACTTTGTGAATCGTATTCGCCTCGTCCTCAGTGCAATTCCGGTCGGGCAACGGCCTGATGATCGCCTCACCGGTGAATGGCTCTTCCATCGAGTGAAACACATTCGCAAGCTTGAGCGCGTTATTGAGGACATCAGGGAATCTGGGGCATCTTCGTATAGGCGTGAGTGGTCTTACTTGTGGGATAAGATTCAGGATCTGATCGTGCAGGACCGTGAGGACTCCAACGCGCAGTCTGTGCTGAAGTCTCTGCAATCTGCCACACCCGCTCCGAAAACGAAGGCTGTTCCTGCTGTAGATGGAGGAAATGGCAAGTTTAAAGCTTCCCCACCTGCTGCACCTCCGAAAGGTGCTCCGCCCAAGGCAGATCCTCCTCCTCCACCGATTGCTCCTGGCGCCCCAGCGCCCAATGCAAACGCGAAAGCCAAATCAAAGGCTAAGGCTAAGGCGAAAGCCATGACTGATGCTGAGAAAGCCAAGACGCCTTGCATTTTCTTCCAGATGCCGTCCGGTTGCATTCATGGAGATAATTGTAAGTTTAGTCACAAGGCTGCTCCGCCGAAGTCGAAAGCCAAAGCGAAAGATGGAGCCAAGAGCAAACCTGGAGCAGTAGCCAAAGCTGTCGTCGCGCTTGTTGCTGCTTCTAGCTTGTGTACTCCTGTTACCTCTGCTGGTCCATCCTATGCTGTTGAATGGGCCGCTGACACTGCTGCTGGTCGTCACTTAGGTTCGGCCAAAGCCTTGTTTGACCAAGGGATTCCGCGTGACGCCTATGATCGGTTCTTAGGTGCGTCTAAGTCTCCCGTGACGTTTCATACCGGCGGTGGTCCCCAACCTGGTGTGCAGACCCTTGGCTTCGAGTCTGACAACATGGATTTTGCTAATCATTACATGTTAGACAGTTGCCCTTTGGTCAGAAGCACAGGGATTGATGTTGATTCTGGGAAGGCCTTCATCTGGCTGCCCGGTAGTTTGCCCTTCTTCGTCAGTGACGTTTCGCAACTCGTTGTTCAATGTCCTGAGAAGTACAGACATTATGCAACTCGCGTTGAAGAGCATGTTCCTATTTTTACCAGTCAGGTGAGGTTTACTCATGGGGCACCAAACCCTGTAAGTGACCTTTCAGGGGGGCTCGAGAGCGTGGGTCCGGCTGCTATCCCAAGCGCCATCCAAAGCTCAGAGCACCATCCTGCTGAAGTACGAGCCCGACAAATGTTGAGCTCTGGCGGCAACATCAGCTGTCGTGCGGTTCGCAATTTGTTCGGTTTGGTTGACAAGGAACCTGCTGCTAGAGGTGATCATGGGGAATCGTTCTCAACTGGACTTTATCGGTTGGGCGGGAATCTTGGACTTAGGACTTCCGCCCACCGGTTTCCTTTGGTTACCAAAGCTCTCAACAAGTTTGCATGTTCGAAGCTTCCCGGCTTCGGATATACGACCCTCTGCATTTTCAGCAACGTTACGACCGGTCCCCACAAAGACTTCCACAATGCCAACCTTGATAATGCCGTCATCTCCTTAGGTGGATTCTCAGGAGGAGGTGTATGGGTTGAAGAATCAGGGGGGACAACTCCGTGTCCTGGTGATCCTGACAAGCTTGGAAAGGTTCTTAGTTTCAAGAACGGTGTCATTCGGTTCCGAGCTAAGAGCTGCATCCATGCCACGATGCCGTGGAAAGGAGATCGCATTGTGGTTGTCTTGTTCTCTGCAAAGCATCCTTCTGAAGTCAAAGATTCGCACTGTGAAGAGCTCCGTGCTCTGGGTTTTCCAATCGACTCTTGTGAAGAGCCCCTGCCAGCATATGCTGCTGAGGCTCCCGAGGGTTCGGCTGCTGATGCGCCACCCGAAGGACCTGGCGCTGATGCATCTGCGGAAGGCGTAGGTGAAGTTGAACAGGATGATGGAGCAGAGGATAAGGTTCCCGAAAGGATTCGGAAGCTCAGAGATCAGGCCATGTCGCTTGAGCACAGGTTGTTTCACTTCCCGAAGAATCCTTTCTGTGACATATGTAATCAAGCTCGCATGCTATCAAGGCGCGTGCGCAGAAAGCCTCGTGATGCCGAGGAAGAGCCTGATCCGTTCGAAGCTTTAGAGTTTGGAGAAGTCATTGCCGCTGATCACATTCACGTGTTTAGATCGCCAGACGACTCCGATGCTCCGGACAAGTCCTATGTTGTGTTGTGCTTGAGGGACAAGTACACTGGTCTGTTTGCAGCTTATCCTGGAAATGATCGTTCGACCAACGCTGTTGTGACTGCCCTGAGGAAGTTTGTTGGACGTAGAGCTTGCTCAAAGCCTGTGACCTTAGTGTCTGATGCAGCTGATGAATTCGAAGCCGCAGCAGAAGAAATGGGATGGATCTCTTCGCCATCCTTGCCTAATCGCTGTCCCCACAACGCTCAACTTGAGCGGGAGATTAGGACTTTCCAAGAAGGTGTGAGATCATCGTTCCTTGAAGCTGGGTTTTCGATCCGTCCCGAGTTGTGGCCCGTTGCTTGTCGTTACGGTGCCATCGCCCTGAATCTGACGTTGCCTTCACCGCAAGATGAGTCGCTCTGTAGGTGGAATTTCAACATCGAGGACTCAGGCAGGGATGATGTTCACATCAGAAAGCTGATCCTTGGCCAGCTTGTGTTTTACCGACATAAGCATGAAAGCAAGTTTGGTCCAAACGCAGCTCCGGGCGTGTTCGCAGGGTGGAGGTTAGAACCAGGTGGCATCTATCGTTCAGTGACCCTTGTGCTTGACTTAGAAAAGCTTCGTTCCAAGATTGGTGCTTGGACTGAGCCGATCAGCGTTCCGAGGCTGAGCTTTATGTTCGGTCCGGTGACCCTGTGTTTCCCCTTCGCAACGCCGCAGAGCACGCATTGCTGACATTTGCTGATGAAGGCGAGGTGCCTGCTCAAGAACCTCTTCCGATTCCTTTCACGCCGCATGTGTTCACAGAACAGGGTGAGAGGAAGAAGCTTCGTAGGATTTACATCACGTATGCTAGGTTTCGTAAGATAGGTCCCACACCGGGGTGCTATGCTTGCGACAACGACAAAAGCAATCACAATGCTGAGTGTATTGCGAGGTTTGAGAAGGCGTTCGGTAGAGAAGCTAAAGCTCCCGAGACCCCAGTTCCCAAAGAGTTCTTGTCTTACGAGGAGCTCCAGCTACCTAGGCCTCCTGCCCGTCCCGACGGAGATCATCTCTCCGATTATGAACCGTCTGAGGCTGGTCTCGAAGATCCTCTCGCATTGCCTGCCATGTATCGACACCAGAAGCCTGGAGCTCTTGTGTTGTTTGAAATCGCGTCCCATTCGCGATCCAATCTTGCCGGTATTGCCAAAGGGTCAGGCATTCAAGTTGTCTCGATATCATGCGACCGCGTTGATCTGTCTGATCCGGTTGTCATCGATCAGCTCATCAGCCAAGTGTCTGCTGTGCCGGGATGCTGCTTAGTCGGTTCTTTGCTGGGGGACGGATGGGGAGCGAAGTACTCTGGGTACGTTCACTGGAAAGCTCAGAGGACATTGCTGAGTTTTCTTCAGGTTGCATCAGTCATCGTTTCCAATGGTGGCGAGGTTTCTCTCGAATGGCCGCAAGATTCCACGTGCTGGTTGCTTCCCGAGGTTCAAGCCTTTGAGGATCAATTCAGCCTTCGCAGAGTTTCGTTCAAGGGTTGTGCTCTAGGTATGGTTTCGACATCAGGAGCTCCGTTTGACGCTCCATGGCAAATCATGTCTTCGAGCAAACGGCTTGTCGAGAACTTCAAACCTTTCAAGTGCACTCATGCCTCACATGTCAAGCATTGCTCATCGAGTACGCTTTGGCCACGGGTAGCATTCTATCCTGAGGCATTCCACAAAGTGCTGCTCATGTCTCTGTTCCCTTTTGCCGAAGCGTTTCAGACGCCAGCGCTCCCATGTGTTCCTTCCTTGCCACAGTTCCATCGTGAAAAGGATTCTAAACCCAAAGTTCCTCTTGATGTTCTTATGCATGAGTCTGGGATGAAAGAGGTTAAGCTTCCGGGTTCACCGCCTTCTCGATAGAAAAGAATGGTCGGGGCAACCAGGAGCCTACGAGGCAATAAAGAAAGAGAAAGATGGCCTTGTTGATGTTGGGACGTGGCTTGAAGATGAGATAGTGTCCAAAAAGGATGTTCTTGCATGGGCTACTAGGACTTCTAATGTGATCCACTTCGGAAATTTGATGGTCATTTTGTCCGTAAAAGGATCTGAGCTGAGTCCTGATCAGTGGCGCCTCAAAGCAAGAATCGTCTTCAGGGGTGATGATATCAGGGACCAATCCGGCATGTCTGCTGTATTTGAAGAACTTTTTGCATCATCCCCATCTTCACTTGAAGGGTTGAACACAGCGGTTGCCTTCGGTTTGCTGGAGTCCCATGGCGTGACGACCAGCGATGCCGTACGAGCTTACACACAAGCCAAGCTCAAGACGAAGCACCGCACATACGTCCTTCTACCTCCAGAGCTAGTCCCGCTCGACAAGAAGCACATATTCCAACCATGCGCGCCCCTGCACAAAGCGCTGTATGGGCACCCCGAAAGTTCTGCCTATTGGCAGCAACATCTCCACGAGATTTTGGTTAAGCTAGGCGGGGTTGAGTTTCCCAATCTCCCATCGGTTTATTATTTCAAGTCCCTAGGATTAGTCTTGTGTGTCTACGTAGACGACTTGACTTTGTCTGGACGTCTGTCCCTGCATGACGACTTCTGGCGCTCCCTCTCCAAGGAGGTTGAGCTCGAGCCGTACGCAGCACTGTCAAGGGTACTTGGAAGATGCCACAGATTCGTGTGCTGGCAAGAAAAGAAAGCACTAGCACTTGAATCAACGGATTTCTCAAAACAGTGTGTTCAATTGTACGAGACTGTATGTTCGCTTAAGGTTAAACCTCAGCTTACTCCCCATCTTGACATTAGCACACTACCTGCCGCAGACGACGATTGCCGCGGGCAACTTACCGAAGTTGCCGCAAAAATCTTAATGAAGGTGTTATGGCTTGCAAGGTTAAGTCGGCCCGACTTGATTGTGGCAGTTACAACGCTTGCTTCGCACGTCTGCAGCTGGTCCAAGAACGATGACCGTCGGGTTCATCGATTGATCGGTTACATTCTACATTCAGTCGATTACGCATTGGTTTTGTGCATCAGCGATTCTCCTTCGGATTTACGGTTGTCCCTCTACTGTGACTCCGACTTCGCCGGCTGCATCGACACGTCCCGGTCCACCAGCGGGTACGTGTTGGCTATCGAAGGCCCAGGAAGCTTCGCTTTGTTATCATGGTCGAGTAAACGTCAAAAGGTCGTGTCTCGTTCCAGTACTGAAGCAGAGTTCGTTTCACTAAGTGGAGCTCTGTACAACGATGCAATTCCCTTACATGAAGTCTGGGAGGCCCTCATCCCCGGGATCTGCTTGCATATCTACGAGGATAATCAGGCTTGCATTGCTATCGTCAGAAAGGGATTTAGTTCCAAACTTCGCCATTTAGGCAAAACCCACCGTGTAAACGTGTCATCGACTTGTGAATATGTCAATGACAACTCCAATGTCATCCTGGAGTATATCCACACGAGTGAGCAGAGAGGCGACCCTCTCACCAAAGCGTTGGCAGTCCAGAAATGGTCTCATGCGCTCCAACTGTTGACAATGTCAACTTCCGTTCTACCCTCATATAGCTAAGCTTGGGTTGGATTGGATGTTAAATCGGGTTAAGATGCTGAGCACTTTATGCCCACGAAGCTGAGCTTCACATGTCAAGACCTCCTGGGTGTTTGGCTGCTCCTAGCGCCGCACCAGGATGGTCGTGGAATCAACCGTCACTGACCGTGTCGTGACACATCGGTCAAGAAATCAACGGCAGGTTGTTTTCCTCAGTTCATTAATTCAGTGGATCCACGTGCATTGTATAGTATGTCAGCTTTTGCGATGCAAGAATGTACAGATGTTTCAAGTCAGGAGGGGGGAGTTGAAGATTTACGAACAACCTCCATGTAAAGAAGTGTAGCCTGACTATGTAACTTCTGAAGCCTTAAGTACGCCATCGACTTTGGCTCAAGATGAAAAAGGCGCCGCTGAGCTGTGCCTTCACGTTCAGGGCAGGGTCCTTCTTTTGGGGTTTCCCTTCCCTTCCTCTCCTTTCTTACCCTAACATAGCGTTGTCTCTGTTTGGGGTCAGAATAACTAGCTATACTTATACTTACTTATGTCCCCAATTAAGGGACTTATAACTATAGTTACTAAGTCCCATGATCCTCCAAGTTTAGATGTTTGGGGGTGTTAAAACAGTTTCGAGGCAGGTGAAGTGTTTTCAGTTTTCTTGGTTTGGGGTCTTGGGTTCCGGCAGTTTGCTGTTTGCATTTTAGTTGTGTTTGTCATTTTGTTGCGGGTTTTGTCTTCCTGGATGTTCAAGCATGCCTGGTTGGATTCATTGTGGCATTTCTTTGTGGCGTAGCAGCGGATTGTTGTTTGGTTTCGACTGCTAGCGTTTACAGACGAATCGCAGTGGATGGAATGAAGGGAATTTGGGGCTAAGATACAATTCTTTCAGTGATCGTGGTTGAAAAAGCTAAGAGGCAGCCCGATAGTACCGCTGCTTAAAAGGGTGCCCCGTGCTGTCACTTAGTAGCTGGGTTCTGGAATACGTACCATACTTTACTCCTTTTTTGGTGGGCCCTGAAAGAAACTACAGACCTAAAGTGTATATGTTTTCTCCCGCCTTGCTTCAAAAGCCCGATAGGGACGGCTAAATTAAATGCCATCATTTTTTCCGTAGGAGCCCAGTTTAGGCCCCTGTGTTAAATAAGTTATCTTACTTCTCCAATACCCCTTAGTCAAGGAATATACCTTCGATTATAGAGGCCTTGATATTATGATTTAAGGTATATTCCTTAATTAAGGGGTATTGGGATTTGTGGGTACTTCTCCAGTACCCAACCTTTTGGACTCTTGGCTTTCTAATAGCTTGGCAGTACTCTGAGAGTTTAACTTTGTCATACGGTTGATGATATAAATCCTGCATTACCCATAATAAGGATGATACCATAATTCCCATAGTTTAGGGTCCTTAAAGTGATGCAGGATTTATATCATCAACAGTAGTTGGGTAACATTTTACATTTTTATGGATACCTGAGCCCAATAAGGAAGAAAGATGTAAATGTTTAATCCTATCCCAACAATGAACCAGATAACCTTTGGTTTCTCTGGCTTCTTGGGGACTTAACAGAAAACCGGAAACCCTACACCTTAGAAGGGGCCCCCACCCTGTAATAGTCAGTAATAGTGGTATATAACAGAATATAATAGGGCCCTAATATAATCCTTATAGTCACTATTGCACGGTGGGACGGTGGGGGGCCCTTCTAACCTACACCCAAATCGCATGCTTTGAGCTGACGCCCCAAGCCCGGGGCCTTGAAGCGTGCGCGATTATAAGTGATCTTAGCAGCCCTAAAAGCTAAGCCCCTAAACCCCTATATCCCTAAAACCCCTAAACCCCTAAACATCTAAACCCCTAAACCCCTAAACCCCTAAACTCCCTAAAGCCTAAACCCCTAAACCCCTAAACTCCTAAACTCCTAAATCCCTAAGCCCCTAAACCCGATTACACGTGATCTTAGCAGGCTCGGCCCGGAAAGGAGAAGAAGAAGGTTGACGATTCAGATGCCACTCTGCTTCGATTTCAGGGGAAGGCCCAAGGGTTTTATGTAGGGGCCTTAAAAACTAGGTTCCTGAGTAGTACCCTTATTCCTTTTTTGTAGTCCTAGGTTCCTTATAAAGTTACCCAATACCAAAAAGAGAGGCCTTTTTATTCTTAGGTTACTGGGTATCCTAGTAAAAATAACCTATACTATTAACCCTACTCTAATTATTGAGGCCCCTGTATTAGGGTTTCGGGGTTTAGGGGTTTAGGGCTTTGGGATTTAGGGTTGAGGCTTAAAGCTTAAGGGTTTAGGGCTTTAAGAGTGTTGCTTTGATGTCAGGGTTGAGGGCTTAAGGTTTCGAGCTTTTAGTGTTTCGGGCTTCACTGATGTTTCTTGAACCCTAAACCCCACCTAGGCTTTTAGGGTTGTGGTTTCCTGATCTGCGGAGTTGTAGTTCCGTGGCTGAGGTCAGGCAATGCGAGCTGTTCAGTTTCGGGTTTGGTGCTTTTGGGCTTGGTGGTGTTTGGGCTTAAGAGTTTAAGGCTTTTGGGGGTTCTAGATTCTTTGAGTTGAGGGTGGAGGGTGTGGGGTTTGAGGGCTTAATATACTTAGATCTCCAATACCCAACCTTTAAACTTTCTTGAGTTCTTACAGTATAGTAGGAATCGGAAAGTTTTACCTTTCAGTTCTTTGGCTCATTGGGGTAGTAAGTACAGGGGTCGTAGTGCTTTAGTAAGAGGGGCTCGGTGTTCAGGCTTCATGCCGGGCGGGGAGGGGGCGGTGGAGGTGAGCTTGCCGATGGAAATATTTTCGTTTAGGGTTCCTGATACAGGTATAGAAATATTATGGTTTAGGGTTTTAGGGTCTAATACAAGTATACTATATTATACACCAAAACCCTATTCTAAACGTTGGCTGGATTGTAATTACCGTGCATGCGCTTTTACTTGCTGCGGACTCTTCAGGGGCTCAGCATTCGCGTCTCCATTCCAGTTAACGACAGTAAACCCTATAGACCCTAAACCAATCTACTGGTTGCACTTTGCCTGGTGCCGCTTCCTTTCACAAGCTCAATGCCCAGACCTCCTCGCAACCTCGCGCACTGTGCAGTTCCTAAGCGCCGGCTGCCAGGAAGCGAATGTTTCGGCTGTGGGGGTTGAAGGGCGCTGACAAGAGGAAGCGGCACTCTGGCTCTTGAAGCATGGGCGTGCTGGCAGTGGTCATTCCAAGTGCGGTTGGCCAGTCGCTTGAGTCTGCTGCTAAAGAGCTGGTGACAGCTGGGTATGTGTACATGCCGAAGCTTTGCTTCTGCTGTTGCTACCGGCGGCTGCTTCTGCTGCTGCTGCTGCTCAACTCCTACTCCTATTCCTACTCCTACTCCTGCTCCTTCTACGACCACCACCAGCACCACCACCAGCAGACGACGAGCAGGAAGACGACCACGACGACCAACACCACCTCGACCACCGCCACTACTAGTACTCCTCATTGAATCCCAAACTAGTAGTATCCTGGGCTCAGTTGGGCTGCATGCAGGCTAAAGGCACCGTGATGCGTGACCTTAGGATGTACTCCTTCACGGGGCGTTGACCACACGCACACATTGTTGAAGGCATATGCGAGTGTAGCGGTGCGGAGAGTATGAGCAGGTGTGAACACGAATTATGCAGAACACAATGTGGGAGGTCGCAAACCCCGGGCTAGGACTGTGGGCCAAAGGTTTTTTTAGCCTATGTCCTTCAACTGGCCGCATTAGTCCCGTTAGTTCCTTAGAACCCCACCTCCAAAACGCTAAACCCTGAACATGCCGCGACCTCAAGCCCCAAACCCTAAACCTTAAAACCCTACAACCCTAAACCCTACAACCCTAAACCCTAAAACCCTTCAACCCTAAACCCTAAAACTCTAAACCCTAAACCCTAAAACCCTACAACCCTAAACCCTAAACCCTAAACCGGCTCCGAGCTGAGGCGACGGACCTTGCCAGTAAAGGTCTGCCTACGCGCTTGCCAGAGAAAGGCATCGTGCAGTCAGAGACGCCGAAAGCTCAGACAAGTTTTTTTGGGGGTTTATGGGTTTAGGTAGGGTTTAGGGTTTATGGGTTTAGGGTGTAGGGTTGGTCTCAGACAAGTTTTTTGGGGGGTTTAGGGTTTAAGGTTTAGAGATGGGGCTTTAGGGTTGGTCTCAGGCAAGTTTTGGGCGGGGGTTAGGGGTTTTTGGGTTTAGGGTGTAGAGGTTGGGCTTTAGGGTTTAGAGTTTGGGCTTTAGTGCTAAATCATGATGTAATGGTGTCGCGTTCCGGGTATCAGGGTTTGATGAAGGCACCATGGATAATGGCAATCATGTAGTCCACTTCCCCTACTTTAGTTGCCCGTTATGCACAAGGTTCTGTCTGAGCTCGGGTCTTTTGAAACCTACTTAAAGGATCATTGGACTTAGCAACTAGTATTACTATTGCGGCTAACTGTACTTATAACTACTTAACCCCAATCGAGGGACTTATAACTATAGTTACTAAGTCCCATGATCCTTTAAGTAGACTGACCGCAAGTTACACTACACTTGCAGCATAGAGCCACTGGAAGACCTACCCAGATACTTGTACCTCATCTGGAAGATGGAGCTGATGACAAAGACAGTATGACGGTGGGATCTTTGTTTCAACGCCTTACTATCAGGATCCCAACTACTTACCTACTAGTAGAGTAGGGAACATGTGACCTTCTTGGAGTGATAACGAATATATAATCCCAATATTCCAAGTAGGTTCAATTTTTTTTTTAGGAGAGAAACTCAGAAACGATGCTAAATCCTCAAGCAAATCTCAACCAACCCTTTCTCTCCTTGCGCCTACACCTCCACCCTCAACACAAAGACCCCGCAGGTGAGCGCTGCAGTTGTGCCTAGGCCCTTATACATGGGCCTTAATGATTAGAATAGGGCTGTGGGGCCCGTTATACTCTAAGTCGAATAAGGAACTCTTAAAGTAATATAAACAATGCGCCTCAAAAGGCAACTTCCGTGAAATGTCACGAAAAGTATTCCAAGCATCAAGCAGAATCAAGCAGCAGAACGTGTTTTACAGATAGCATAGGAGTATGAACATCCCCTAAACCCTAAACCCTTAAAGCCCCACGCCATTCACCCTAAACCCTAAACCCGTAGCCCGTAATAAACCCTAGACCCGAAACCCTTAACCCCCAAATCCGTAACCCCGAACGTGCGAGCTTCGAAAAGAATCGAAGCCGTCTCCCCGACGGAGGCGCCGGAACAGCCGGGAGATTCCATTTGCCCGCGAAGTCTCCCTCTCCGGGAATCCTTCGCACCTCGCTTATACGCTTTTTGTTAGGGGTTTAGGGGTTTAGGGTTTAGAGTCAAGGGGTTTAGGGTTTGGGTTTTGGTGTTGCTTATTTGGGAGTTTCCGAATACAGGGGACCTTAATATAGTACCCTATATAAATGGTAGGATCCTTATTATAAGGACCCCGAAATAAGGTACCCCTAATTCTCGGAAACTACCATTTGGTGTTTCGGAATTTGGGATTTTACGCTTAGGAATTTCGGATTCACAGTAGGTAGAGGACGTATAGGATGGTACTTATAGAGCTTCGCACCTTTTTCACTTAGAATATCAGGGGATCTGGCAAGTGGGGTTATAGGTTACTTAGTCCTGAACTCCGATTAGTTGGCTCTTTGGGATTTTGAGCTTAAGAGTTTAGGATTCGCAAGTGTTTCTGCGTGCTGTTGCCGACTTTTGGTTTTGGGTTTCGCAGTTCCGGTACATGTTTTAAAGTTTGTAGTATTGTTGAGGCGCTTTGTATCTACTATGGTTTTGAAATTGGGGGGTTTCCAGGTTTGGGATGCACACTTTTGATTGGTGGGTTTAAGGCTTTTGGGGCGGAGTGTGTTGGGATTTACGAACAGTGCGTACTTGAACTTGCATAATGAAGGCATGCCACATTCTTTAAGTCGTTGCTACCGCCGTTGAGCAACTTTTCACGTCCGTTGTTCCAGCTTGAGCACTGGTTCGGCGACAAGACATGTTTTTCTGCGTGTGGCCAGCAACGCAAGTCTTAAAGAGACAGTTGGGTCACTTAGAAAGACTTGTCTGCTTTTAAGAAGCTTCTGTGAGCCCTGGCCCACCTGTTGCAGGTGGCAGGCGAAAGGTGGGGGAGCCACACTCGACATCCCTACGTGGCGACAGTTATGTGATGCCTTCAAGGCCACCTCCCCTCACAAAGCCTGCGGGCCCGACTTGTTGCCGCCGGTGCTCTGTATGCGCTTCAGCCAGTGGCAAAAGCTTTTTGGCCGATCTTGCTGAAAACTGTCCTTCGGGCCCATGAGCCTATTGGGCTCAAGGGCGGGGTGCTTCATCGTATCGCCAAGCCCTCTGCCGTGGAGAACACCACTGCTGGGTACCGCCGCAATCTTGTCCAGTCATGCCTCTCCAAATTGCTTCACCGCCCCATGCGAGGCATGGCGGTCCAACACTGGGACCGGCACCTTCTTCCGTTGCAGCTGGGTGGCCGGAAGGGCTGTCCCCCGCATCGTTTGGGCAGTTCTGCTCCCGAGGTTTTTTTGGCTTATATGCTGATACACTTCATCCTTTTCGCGAGAATTTCTTGACAACGCAAGCGATGGCTTGCTCCTGGGCCACGCCTGAAACCCAGCCCTGAACCCTACTCAAGGATTCTGGCTTTGTATTTTAGGGCTCCCAAGAACCTATAAAGCCTCAACCCCGAAACCCCAAGCAATCATAAAGGCGCTGAGACGGCAGCAGTAGTATTACAGGAGTTTGAGTAATTATGCTTATAACCATAACCTACCCCCAAACCATATCACTAAAGCTCCTTTGCCTACCCTAGGATCGATCCCGGAGCTCTAAACCCCATGATTAGATGTAAAAGTATGGTATAGTACTACCCGAAATCCCATTCAATTAAGGCCCGTGGTTATGCTAAACCCTTGCAGTCGAATAGAGTAGTTCAACAGAGTAGCACTTATCGGGCCCTAAGGATTAAAGGATCCCCCCCAAAAAAAAACAGCACCCGCGTGGTTAAGGGTGAAGGGCCGTAACAAGCTCGAGAACGGCAGCTACATGTGCAACACGTGAACCGTCAACCCGAAGAGCTTAAGCAGCTGTAATGCTGCATATGTAGACCCCTGCTAAAGTTAGATCGTACCGACGGCTAGTGCAAAGCCCCAGCCAAAAGCATTCAAGGCCGCAAAGCCCACGCAACCTTAAACCGAGGCCCTAGATTCGGAAAAACCAGAACCTTAAATCCTCATGCCTAGAGGGCCTCAACCCAGGAACGTCCTCATTAAGGCCTGGAAAGCCCCGTAACAACGCTATCGTCTCCCTGCAGAGCACCCCTGGAGAGCCGATTTTGTTGCAGATGCTGTTGCTCTCCAATACAACCCGACACAAGCCTCATGACACCCTGTAAAGTTGCAGCCCTGAACCCTGAACCCCAAACCAAAACCAGCCGCAAAGTTTGAACCGTGAAGCCCTAAAGCATATAAATCGCTGAAAAACTTTACTTGCAAATCCCAAACCCTAAACCCAATAAAAACCCTACAGAACCCCTATTAACAAACCCCTGTACCGAGGTCGATAGCCTCGGCAGCAGTAGGTCCCGTCGACGCCAGCGAGTCCGTGCCCTGCCGCCGTGTGCGCTACGAGGAGGCCACCTGAGGTTTACTAGGTTCCTGGGTAATGAATGCCCTTTGGCCCTTTTTACCCTTATTCAGATTGAATATTAGGAAAAGGTACCCTGATTATAAAGGGGCTACTTAGGAACCGAGATATTGTCCTTATTCAAAAAAGGCCTGAAACCTTAAACCCTAACCTACACTTGGACCCGCTTGCTAAATCCTCAAAAAGCCTTGAACACTATACGGGTAGTTGTCAAAATGATGGTCCCTTTTTGGCTACCCGAAATATGAGGTGCCGTATTATAATAGGGACCCAAGGGGGACCCTAATTTTGACAACCACCCATATCATATAAGCTCCTAACCCCAGCATTCGCCGCGATGGATGCTGGTCCCATAAGTAGCTCTTCTGTGTGGAGAAGAGCTACGGCAGAGCCAGGCTTCTCAGAGGATCATGGGACTTAGCAACTAGGGTTATTATTGGGGTAACTATACTTAAAATTACGTATAACCCCAATGACTTATAACTACAGTTACTAAGTCCCATGGTTTTCCAAGTTGTCAGAGGTGCCGTTGTGCCGTCGTCAACGGCACGTTCAGCATGAGCTTGCCACGGGTGCAGCACGTCGACCGGCACTTCGCCGGCATTGCAGGCGACGGATCCGTCTTTTTTGGATGCAACAAGCTGCCGACCCTTCTTTTGAAGTAGTGGAGTTAGACATTGTCGTTGGGTATGGAGCGAATTGGCCCGCGAGTCTGCAGATTGGCTGGGGTGACAGGAGTGAAGAGGACCAACAACTTTCTTAACCGTTCCATCGTCAACCGTTGCCGTGCCATCGTGGATCATTCGAATGATGAACCTCTACCAGACGTTTTTGTTTCCGTTGCATGTGATCAAAAAAGCAGCGTGGTCGTGAGCAACGATCCAAAGTTACTTGCTTGTTTCGTCTGTTTGTAAACGGGATGTAGATATTATTTGGGGTTAAGGTAGGGCTTGGGGTTCACATTAAACCCTTCGGGTTTAGGCTTTGGGGTTTGGGGCCTAAAGTTCGCCTTAAACCTTACACCATAAACCCCAAAATAATGCTTGAAATCTAAAGCCTAAACCCTGAGCCCTTCCGTTTGTTCAAGGAGGTTGTTTGAGGTAAGGTTTTATATGGTTTTAGGATTTGCAGAGCTCGTTTTTTCTCTTCTAGGAAGTGGAATTGGTTGAAGTGCATATGTTTTGAATCGGGTTTTGGGTCATAGGGGCATCCTCGAGTAGGTTACGCGCACCTTGAAACTCCAAGTAGCACCGCCTCCTTTCAGAGTCGTGGTTTAAAGCTTTTGGGTTTAGGGCTTGGGGCTTAGGGTTTAGACGAGTTCTGGGTCTTGGGGCATTGGGATTAGGCTTCCGGGATCTTTAGGGTCATGAGGCTAAGGTTTAGAGTTTAGGGTCTGGGGCCATGAGGCTAAGGTTTAGAGTCTAGGGTTCAGAACTTTGAGGTCTAGGTTTGCCCTTGCACCTCAACTCGGTCTTCCAATAATGCCGTTATGCTCCCCTCATGTTGCGGTAAGCCCATTAAACCTTGGATCGTGCACCCGAAATGCAAAAACCTTTGCTACAGTCTCCTCAGGAGCTCTTTCTTGAAGTGTTTTTCATATAAAACCCTCGAGAATATTGAAGATATTGCTTTTGATTATGGGTCTAAGGGGTATAGTATACCCAAGCAGCAAGCTTGTATAGTATACCCAAATAGCAAGCTTTGAGCTGATGACCGATTTCCTGAGCCTTGAACCGTACACCCGCAGAAACCGAAATCCTACACCCAAGCTCTGACTTGTTGGTAGGGAGCCCAGTAGTACAGTTTTATCAATCGAACTTGGGGCCTCTTTATTGCAAGTTAGCAAGGGAACTCTTTTGCAAAGGTGTTGTTCGGGAACCCGGTCTTCAAATCAAGCCTAAACTTTGTCATAGTTGGGTAAAAATTTACATTTTTATGGATACTTGAACCCAATAAGGAAAAAAGTGTACATCTTTAATCCTATCCCAACAATGAACTAGTAAACCCTAAACTGGACCCCCAATGTGTGTGTTATAATGGCTTTTCTGGGTGTGGTGCCTTGATTCTTGCTGTTTCGGGTGGGTTTTTCAATTGAAGGGTTTAGGGTTTAGGGTTTAGAGTTTATCCTCAAGCTTGCGTGGGTCCAGATTCATAAACTTACATGGGAACTTCCTGAAATTAGGGGTACCTTATTTTGGGGTCCTTGTAATAAGGATCCTATTGTTTGGGGTACTACATTAGGGTCCGCCTTTATTTCGGATTCTCCCAGATTTGGAGTTTCAGAAGATATTGTACATGTCTTCATATCGAACCGTAAGTAGTGGGACGTCTTTTTAGCGGATCCTAGGTGAAGAAGGCATCAAGAAAAGCCCTGTAAACCACACCGCAATTCTGTAACACTGCGAAAAATCGGGCTACAAAGCCATTTCGAACCCTCCAAAACCCTTAGCTTCACACTATGAGTCACCCTATCAAAACCTGTAAGGTACCTAAATACTGCATCGGTTGCCAGGGTGAGAAGGGCGATGCTGCAGCTGCCGGCACCCACAGCTGGCCGCTGGCGATGTCGCGGGAGCGCTTTAGGGACTCTGACAGCTTTGCCATGTGGGTTTGGGGGTTGGATTTAGGTAGTTGTGACCCAAGTACAGCTGGTCTGAATTGAACAGCTTCTAAGCTGGTCTGAACTAAATTATGGGGTTCTATAACAGGGTCCCCTTTAAAAGGTCCTTTGGGGTTCAATAACAGCTTCTTTGTTTTGAGGCTTTTGGCCCTTGAATCCCACATGAAGCCCATGTATAGAGCTCCTTTGAATGATTACTTTAAAGACTCCTTTGAAGGATTCCCTTAAGGTTCGGATACTATGGGGTTCTATGGTTCTATAACAGGGGTCACCTTTAAGGGGTACTATGAGGTTCAAGAAGATCGTCCCCTTAAAGGATCCTTCTCAAAGGACCACCCCGGATTTCTTTTTAAGGGTTCCTTTAGGGGCTTCTTAAGAGTTCCCTTAAGGTTCCTTTGAAGGACCTTTTTTTACAGGACCACCCTAAACCCTAAACCCTATAAACCCTAACCCCTAAACCCCTAAACCCACCCACCCCCCCGCCTCGCCAGGAGGATCGGGACGACCAGAAGCGTGTCACCATGTTCTTCCTCGACCCGGCCAGGGCCCCAAAAGGGTTGAGGGTTTAGGGGTTTAGGGTTTAGGGTACTTGCAGGATCATGGGACTTAGTAACTATAGTTATAAGTCCCTTAATTGGGGTTATAAGTAGTTATAAGTATAGTTACCCCAATAATGACCCTAGTTACTAAATCCCATGATCTTTAAAATAGGGTTTAGGAGTTTAGGATAGTTCTCTAAACTGGCGTCCCGTTTAGGGCCCTTTTTGTAAGGGTGCCATACTATTTGAGGGACTTAAAAAGGGACCCTAATTTAGAGAACTTTTAGGGATTACGGGTTCCGGGTGTAGAGATTAAGGGTTTGAGGTTCAGGGTTGAGGACAAAGGGTTTGGGCTCAGGGTTTACTTAAAGGATCATGGGACTTAGTAACTTTAAAGGGCTCCTTAAAGGGATCTATAGGGTTCCTTAAAGGGATCTATAGGGTTTAGGGTTTAGGGCCTACTTACAGGATCGTGGGACCTAGTAACTAGGGTTTTTTGGGGGTAACTACTTATGACCGAACTTATAACCCCAATTAAGGGACTTATAACTATAGTTACTAAGGCCCATGATCCTCCACGTAGGGCTTCGGAGTTGGGCCCAAGGGTAAAAGGAGGGACCCTTAGTAAGGACCCCTAGGTATATACCCTCCTTCAATATAACTATTATATACCCATTATATAGCCCATTATAGGGTAGGGGTCGCCATTAAGGGTCCCTCCTTTTCCAGGTTCAGGGTGTAGAGGTCAAGGGCGACACACCCCCTGAGCTTTAAACCCCTATGAATTAGGTACGGCCCCCGTACACTAAGAGTCGAAAATAGGGCTGCTATTAGGGCTCTAATATATCTATATTATGAATATTATTCAACTATTACTGAGTGGGGGCCGTACCCAACCTATGCACCTAGACCCCCAAACCCCAGCAGAAACAAAAAACATAGTTTCCAGGCTCAACTCCTAGAAGAGATCGGCAGCCACGGGAAGAAGAAGGAGAGGGCTCTATGGTTTTGTGTGTTTTCCGTTGCTTTCGGCCAGCTTGGGGGCTTTAGGATTTGTAGACCCCGGGTTGGGGGGGATTTAGTGTTTGCGGGTTTGGGGTTTAGGGCTCTAGGGGGCCTCCTACATGTAGTTTTGATTGGGGTTCAGGGTTTTGGAGATGTTTGGTGTCCTTTCTCTGCAGCTACCTAGGACATGATCTGTGATCTTGCCAAGGAGCTGAAGTTAAAAGTTGCCATAAGCGGGTCCATGGTAAGTCATATTCAGTTCCTTGTTGTGGTGATTTAAATGAAACTCCTGAACAAGAACATCATTGGGTCAGGTAGGTTGTAAGTACCCAGAGACTCCAATACCCCTTGATTAAGGAATATTCCTTAAATCATATTAGGGATCCTACTATAATTTAAGGCATATTCCCTAATTAAGGGGTATTGGAGTCTCCGGGTATCCCGGGGCCATGGGCTCGAAAGCCCTAATCCCCGCCCTAGAAAGTCCTGCTTGATGTTTTCAGGGGATCGACATCGGAACCCTGCAGAAAGGCACCGTCCTAAAAAGATTTGTTTGAGGGCAGTGTGCGGGGGCGGGGTTGACTCCGTTTGGTTTAGGGTGTCTGGTTTTGGATCCATGGGCTTAACTTGGGTACGGCCCCCACTCAGTAATAGTTGAGTAAGATTCATAATATAGATATAGTAGGACCTTATTAGTAGCCCTATTATAGACTCTTACTGTACGGAGGCCGTACCTAAGGTTTAACTTAGAAGCTGCCCCCACCCTGTAAAAGTGACTATAAGGATTATAGTAGGGCCCTATTATATTCCTATACCACTATTACAGGGTGGGGGCAGCTTCTAAGGTTTAACCTCAGCCCAGGATCCACAATGCCCCGGTGGGATGCACCTTTTGGGGACAAGGGAAGATCGGAAGCCTTGCGCCAAAAAGCCGAAGGCTAAAGGGTGGTAGAGCTTCAGGGTTTAGGAGTTTAGGGTTTAGGGTTTAGGGTTTAGGGTTTAGGGTTTAGGGTTTAGGGTTTAGGGTTTAGGGTTTATTTAGGGTTTAGGGTTTAGGGTAGAGCTTCAGGGTTTAGGAGTTTAGGATTTAGGCCAGAGACTCCAAGATCCATTAATTAAGGAATACTCCCTCAATTACAGTAGGATCCGTAATATGATTCAAGGACTATTCCGGGATTAGGGGATATTGGAGTCTTTGGGAGGGTTTTGGGATTGGGGTTGGCATGATACGTTTAGCCCGGCCGTTGCAAAGGCTCACCAGAACGGCCAGGAAGCCTTTCGAAGACAAACGCTCAGTCAGAAAAGCTGAAAATCGTCCCATGAGAACCTAGCCTCTCCAAGAAACGAGCATCGGAAAAGAAGCTTAAAACCCTAAATCCTAAACCCTAAACTTTGAACCTCAAGCCCACCCTCAAACCGAACACTTCTAGATATGAGCTCTTAATGCCTTGCCAGCGCTCCAACGCACTCGAATACAGATCCAGAAGCCCAACAGCCTCTAAATTATGTGAGATACATCCCTAGGCCCTAACCCTTAAGCCCTAAACCCTAGCCCTCAACCCGAACTTTACATCCTGAACCCTACAATAACCCCACACCAGAGACCCTCATACAGCGACAAAAACCTTGCTGTTGGGCCCATGGCGTCTGCGGGGGCGGGCTACCTTTCCGCCCACTTGCAAGGAGGTCGCCGAGGGTTTGGGTTTCAGCTTTCGGCCTCATGGTTTCTAGTGGCTGGCATTCCATGTTCCGTTTCAAGTTTGGACCCTAAACCCTAAACTTTTGTTCATGAGCATGAGCATGCGACACATGCGTTAAAGGGGTTTCGGGTAGGGTTTTCAGCCTGAGGCTTCGGGGCTAAAACTTGGGTGTGCCAGTGGCCTTTACAGATTGCCTTCGCCCCAAATGACCTACCTTTTCAAGGACTTGTATAAAGACATTATTAAGGAACGCTAAAACGGTAGGTTATTCGGGGTCCAGGTAGGCCTTCAGGCTATGGAGGCTTCGCAAGCTTGATGTTGCCAGGACGCTTTTTCGCCGTGCCGTCCATGATCATACCATCTTTGGGATTCCTACATTATCATGTTAGCTGCTACTGTAGAAGATACCCCCCCACAAACCTTATTCTAGTCATTTAAGGCCAGAGCCGGCTTCGGAGTCACGCAGCACACAAGGCCGTCTCGGAACCGACCTTAAAGTGATCCTTCAAGGGTTCCATACCGGATCTATGGTGGTTTAGGGTCTACCAGGTTCCTGAGTAATACCCTTTTGTCCTCTTTCTTCTAGGGACGTTACATGGAGGATCAGGGGACTTAGCAAGTAGGGTTATACGTACTAAATATAGCTACTGCTACCTTACTTATAACCCTGGTTCCTAAGTCCGCTGAACCTCCCAGTATAGAACCTGCTTTTGTTCGGTTTTAGGAAAGTTTCCTCCTTGGGATCATCACTGCAGGGAGGCAGGTTTCGTAGGATCCAGACGCTTAGCTGTTTTGGATTTTCTGTTCAGGGTTGAGGGTTTTGGATTTGGGGATGCCTTTTGGCTTTCTGTGGTTTGGGTTGCCGAATAGTTCCACAGCGAGCCCAATAAAGATCTTGCTTCTTCCTAACACTCACCCTGTCAGAGGGCTCAGGGCTTTAATCCCATCCGGTCTCCTGCAAAGCTTCTTCTGTAGGGTTCAGGGTAGTAGAGAGTTTCAGAACGATTTTTGCCGAAACCTAAACTCTAAACCCGTAGCAAAATGCTGGAGACCTGCACAAGGCAAGCAGCAGCTGCAGCCGCTGCCCAAAGTGGCACCCGGGCATTTAAGTAAATCCCTCTTAAGATTTTCGCGATGTTGTGGACGGTGGCAATGGTGTCGTTTGTGGGGATCTACAAAAAAGCTATGTAGATGTCCGTGTCCCTTTCTTTCCAAAGAGGTAGGGAACTTTTTGTCTTTTAGTCTTGAGAAGATATGCTGCATTCGTTAACTGTGGGGTGGGTTCCAAAGTGTTCTTAGTTGGGAGAGGAGTAGACTGTAGAAGGTCTGTGGTCCGTAGGTATCTCTCCCTCTCTCTTGCTCCTGCTGCGCATCTTTCTCGCTCTCTCTCTCTCTCTCTCTCTCTCTCTCTCTCTTCTCTGTCTCTCTTGTTCCTGTTTGCAAGCAGGCCAATGTGCGATTTTGCAGCTTTTATGTTTGGCACCCTGGAACTGTTGTTCGACTACTTTCACAGGATTGTTGATATCAACCCCTGCTTTGAATAAGCCGAGTAGAAAGGACTTAGATGTTCAGCGGGCTTAGTAAGCAGGCCTAGACGGAAGGTACCTTAGTCACTTCTACCTTTCACCCCAACTTAGGTATCTATAACCCCAGTGAACCCCCAATACACCCAAAACACCCTAAACCCCCCAAACCCCTAAACCCTAAACCCTAAACCCTAAACCCTAAACCCTAAACCCTAAACCCTAAACCCTAAAAAAAAAAAAAAACCCAAACCCTGGGGTGCTCCTTCACCCAACTTCCAACCTTCAGCCTACAGAGGCAGCGTTATCCCCACGTGTCACCACGGTGCTCGGCATGAACCCAGCTCCCTACTCGCTACAAGGCCGGCATCTGGCAACTGCGGATGCGATTCCGGGGGTTTGGCTGCATAGGGTGGAGGAAATAGGCTTAGTGAAGGAGTAGATATTGGGGTTGGAGCAATGCGTATCAGCAATCGATTATAGTCCCTAGTATGATTGCAACACAACATGTCCATTTCCGAGAACCCTCTTCCAGTATGAAGGTTCAGCATTAGGGTGGTTGTCAATATTAGGGTCCCTTTTGGGTCCGTATAATAATACGGCACCTACTATTTAGGCTACCCAAAAAGGGGCCATAATTTTGACAACCATCCATGAAGTTGAGGAGCCTTGCAGAGGTTATCGGGTTCGGGGTTCCCGGTCTGCGGGTTGGGGTTTCGTAGGGCCTAATGTAGGGGGCCGTAATAATTAGAATAGAGTTTGGGGGATAGTATACTATAGTTATAATAAGGAACTCCCAAAACCCTATTCTAATTATTAAGGCCCCTACATTACGGGTTTAGGGTTTAGGGTTTAGGGGATGTCTTTGAAGATCTTAGGTACTTTTGCTTTGGGTTTTGACTTTTTGGGTTATGGCGTTGTGCACTTTAGAGGTGTTCATATCGGAGCTTTGTAGGGGGCCTATCTTGGCGTTCTTCTGGTTGACTCTTAGGACTTTAACTTTTCGGGTTTCTATATGAACTATAATAAGTAGGCTAAAAGTTTAGCTTTCAGGAGGGGTTCAGAAGCCAGCCAAGTTTTAGGGCTTTAGGTGAACACCCCAGACCATCAAGTCAATGAGTCAGCCTTATAGTAGGCCTTTCTAGGATCTTCATAGAACCCTGTAGTAACCCTAGAGCCCTAAACCCTAAACCCTAAAGCCTAAACCTAAACCCTAAACCCTAAACCCCTAAACCCCTAAACCCTAAACCCTGAAAGCCCTAAACCCCTGAACCCTGACCTGAAAGGTACCAACTGCTACCTCATCGGCACTGGCTCAGAGCGGCTTCTGCTTGATACCGGCGAGGGGAAGACCGAGTTTCATGAGAGCTTCGCCAGCAGTCTCGGGTTTAAGGCTTTTAGGGTTTCGGAGTTTAGGGTAGGGTTAGGGTTTGGGGTTTGGGGTTTAAGGGTTTAGGGGTTTGGGGTTCAGGGTAGTTGTATTGTTGAGTTTCGGGGGCTCGGGCTCCTCAACTGTGGTTGTCGCGCTTTCAGGCTTCTAAGCGGCTTGAAGTTTAGGTACGTGAAAGGGCCGGAGGTGGTTAGGAATCAACGTTTCATGGTTTGGCAAATTTAGGTTGTAGAGTTTGGGCATGAGGATTCGGATTGAACCTCGTCACCCTGGAAACCAATATAGCGTATGAAAGAACCCCGGGTCTGGACTGCGAACTTTTCAAGCGATGCCACGGTTTTTAATAGCTAGCAGAACATCAAAACACCGCAACCCCCGCCCAAATTATGAGGAGTCCCTTTTTCGAGAGACCCTGCTCAACGTGGAATTCCATGTTAGTTGCAAGGAGAAGGAGGGTAACGCAGGGAGCGATTTGAGTAGTCATACTCTACTATTTGCTTAAGAACCCCCAAAAAATGAAAATATACTCCTTATGGGGGTAATATAGGGATTATTATTTTTGTTTTTTGGGGGGTTCTTAAGCAAATAGTAGTTTAAGGAAAGAATACAACAGTCTATAGGGTTTCGGGTTTGGGTTTAGGGTTTAGGGGTTTGGGTTCCTGAAAGTGCCTTAGGATGCCCAGTAGTACCCTTATTCCCTTTTTGTAGTCCTGGGTTCCTTGTTAAGTTACCCAATACCAAAAATGGAGCCCTTTTTATTCCTGGTTTACCGGGCATCCTAGTTAAAAGAAGTATACCACAGCCTAGGCACCGGAACTTCCACTCTAATTCTTGAGGCTCCCGAGAATACTTAAACAACTGTCGATTTTCGGCTGAGGCTGAGGGTTCACAGCGGCTTGAGGTGGTGGCTTCACTTTTTCATAGGGTCCCTTAGGGGGGCAAGGGGGAGGGGGTAGGGGACTATATTTCCTTAAATAGACCTTATTAGGTCCTTGTTATGGGCATTAAGGCCCCCTACCCCCCTCCCCCTACCCCCCGTAAGGGTCCCTATGACTTTTCCTGAGACCCCGAACCCCTGAGCCTCCAGCCTGCCAGAATAAAGCGCACGTTTATTTTTTTTGTGTCGGACTCATGTTGGCCTCATCCGAAGGGTTAAGATTACTGTAGGGGCCTTAATAATTTGAACTGGGTTTGGGGGTATATTATAACTGCTATACTTGTAATTCGGAACCCCAGAATTCTATTCTAACTATTAAGGCCCCTGCAATACATTTTCGCCTCGATCTACCCTGCCAGAGCATTTGTTTTCCGAGTACTGAGAGGACCATAAACCTTGGGCACGCCCCCACTCAGTAATCGTTGAATAATATTCATAATATAGATATAGTGGGACCTTAATAGCCTTAATAGTAGCCCTATTATAGACTCTTACTGTATGGGGGCAGTACCTAACAGAAGCCATTGTGTTTTGGCGCTTTGCCTTGTTGTGGTTTTGGTTTCTGATGTGTGGATCAAAAACGAGAAAAGCTCAAAAGCACGACCTCACAGGCCCTCAGGCCTTGGGTTTTGGGTTCAGGGTCAAGGGGTTCGGGTTTAGGGTTTTAGGGGTTTAGGGTTTAGGGGTTTAGGGTTTAGGGTTTAGGGGTTTAGAGTTTAGAGTTTAGAGTTTAGGGGTTTAGGTTTAGCGGTTTAGGGTGTTCTTGGGACTAGGTTGAAAAGAACTGGGCGACATAAAACCGAAGCCGGTGAACAAATCAAACGACGATTCGGTCAAACTTAAGCAGCCCTTCCACTTTGAAGCCGGTAAAAGCCCTTCCCACAGAATTCTGTTCAGCCTTGTAAGAAGTGCTTAATGGTTTTGGATATAGGGATTTACATTGCTTTACACTTGGAGGGTCGGGGGACTTAGTAAGTCGGTAGTAAGTAGACTTATAAGTACCCTAAAAGGGACCCTAATTGCGGTTATGGTACTTATAAGTCTATAAAATAACCAGTTACTAGGTCCCCCGACCCTCCAAGCAAGGCTGCTCGTCGGGGTTTCATGTTCTTATACGCCAGTTCTTGAATACCAAACTTGTTGCATACTAGGATGCCCAGTAGTACCCTTGTTCCTTTTTTGTAGTCCTAGGTTCCTTATAAAGTTACCCAATACCAGAAAGAGAGGCCTTTTTATTCTTAGGTTACTGGGTATCCTAGTATACGTCAGTTCTTGAATACCAAACTTGTTGCATATCTGGTGTTACTCCACACTCGTGCACTTTTGAAGTGACACGCTTTCGCTTCCTGCTGTAGAGCACTGGGAAAAGTAAGCTTTCAGCACCCTGCAAACTACCCGGCAGCATTCCTCAAGCTGGTGCCCTAAATCTAACCTGCTGGGCCATCGAAATCCTCGAAGCTCAACACCTGGGGTTGGAATTAAAAGAACTTCGAAAGATTCATTCGGCTATGACCCATAGTCCTTGTCCTAGTAGTGGAGCAGGTAAAGTTTAACCTTTTGGGGCGTTATAACCAGTATCTGATCCCAATGTACACCCCCGAAGGTTAACCTTCAGTTCCCTAAGAAACACGACAAATGGGAATCAATGCCATCAAGACCCTAGATCTTAAACCCCTGGACTCCCAGACCTTTGCAACTCCTACTTAGGGGTTCGGGGGGACTCAGCAAGTAGGGATAGAAGTACGGTAACTACAGTAATATCTACAAAACCTCAATTAAGGTACCTATCGCCCGAGTTACTACGTCCCCTGATCTTCTGAGTACCAGGAACCTTCAAGCTCTCCTGAAGAGCCTGGGCTGTCAGATCTCCGGCATCCTCCTCACGCACTCGCACGTTGACCATCTCGGAGGCAGGGCCTCTTGATGAGTTGAAACATTGGGCTCTATCAGGTGTTGTAAAGAATTATATGGGTGGTTGTCAAAATTATAGTCCCTTTTTTGGTCCCTATTGTAATACGGCACTTAATATTTAGAGTAATTGAAACGGGAACATAATTTTGACAACTACCCATATGATATAAAGGGTGTTTTCTCTGTGTGGTGTTTGTATAAGTTTTGGGTCGAGGGTTTCGAGTGATTATGAGTTTGGGGCTTCAGATTTTGGGTCAATGCTTAGCGTCTTCGGAAGTTTAGGGTCTACGTGTTTAGTTTTGAGGAGTTTGAGTTGGGGGTAGTTGTAAGGTTGAAGGTTTCGCGTTTCAGCGGTTTAGTATGTACAGGGGAGGCTTGATAAACGGTCATCGGAAGGTGCCTGGTCCCTGAAGCCTGAAGGTGTATAGTATAGCTGACGTTGGTTTATGGGGTATATGAGAAACTCACCGGACATGGTTCTTGGTGGCCCTAAGGGGTAGGTGGTTTGCCAGATATGTTTAGGGTTTAGGGTCGAGGGATCTATGTGCTTAGGGTTTAGGGTCTAGGGATCTATAGTCTATATATGTTTAGGGCTTAGCGTTTAGGGTCAAGGGATCTATGTGGTCTAGGGATCTATATGTTTAGGGTTTAGGGTCTGGGGATCTATATGTTTAGGGTCTAAGGATGTGTATGTTTAGGGTTTAGGGTTTAGGGATACCTAGGTTGGGGTCTAATCCAATATTTCTCACCTCCAAGCCAGGTACTCCTCTTTCTACTTACTGACTCCCCTGATCGTGTAAGCAACAGCTCCCTGTGCAAAGACACAGACCCCTAGACCCTGAACCCAGACAGGGAAGAGCTGGACCCTTCCGGCACAGGCCTGCCGCAAGTGCTGCAGAGCTTCCCGACCGCGCCGGTCGGCCGTCCTTTGTCTTCGAGGGTCTAAGGCTTTTCAAGGGGTTGGGGGTACTTGGAGGTTCAGGGGACTTAGTAAGCAGGGTTATGGGTACCTTACTTGGGGTTGTAAGCAGATATGACTATAGTTACCTTACTTAGAATCCTGGTTACTAAGTCCCCCGAACCTCCAAGTAAACCCTAAACCCTGAACCACTAAACCTTAAACCTAAACCCTAAACCCTAAAATTCAAACCCTAAACCCTAAAATTCAAACCCTTAACCACTAAACCTTAAACCTAAACCCTAAACCCTAAAATCTAAACCTTAAACCCTAATCCCAAACCCGAAGGGAGTCTTGGGTTTCTGTTTTTTTTTTGGAAACGGCGTATGGTTTCGGGTTAATGTAGGAACTTGAGTAAGAAACCCTGAGCCTATTACCCCAAAACAGTAGGATTCAATATAAGGAACCCTAACAAAAGCCTTGGATTCAATCTTAGGAACCCTAATAAAAGCCTTGGATTCAATCTTAGGAACCCTAATAAAAGCCTTGGATTCAATCTTAGGAACCCTAATCAAAGCCTTGGGTTCAGTCTTAGGAACCCTAGTAAAAGCCCAAGGTTTCTCAAATCAGGTTCCTACGTTAGAGCGGTTTCTGTTGCTGTCCCGTGGTGCCTGGGCCTTGGCAGGATGTTCTATGGGGCTTGTGGGATGAAAGTTATGACGCTTTTTATAGTACACTAAATCGTAGGCTCCTTATGATAGGACCACAAAACAAGGTACCCCTACTCTTCGGAAACTCCCATGAGGGTTCTACACTAAGGTTCTACACGGCTTCTTGAAAGGTTCTTGACGGTGTGTGGATGAATGTGACAGCGTTTTGTTTTGGAAACTAGTAAGTCGGGTTCATGGAAACTAAGGCCTAAATCTTAAATCCTGCGGCTTTGGGATTTTAGTTCGCATTTATGGAGGTCGGGACCTACTGTCGATGATATAAATCCTGCATTACCTTAAGGATCCTAAACTCTGGGAATAATGGTATATTACTTATTATGGGTAATGCAGGATTTTTATCATCAACAGTAATAATTAGGTAGGGTTGTAAGGAAGGGAACTTGCGTCATGTTTGTTTATCACCAAGACTACGGCACTCTTACTTACAACCTTCTTACTACGTCGCGACTGTAATCCTTTAATCTGGGGGCCTTAGAAGTTACCTACACTACCTTGAGGGTTCCTTCTTATAATTATGGCAGAATGAGCCCCAAAACCCTGTTCTAATTATTAAAGCCCCTATATTACAACCCTGCTTACGAAGCCCCTACGGTAATCCTTTACCCACCACCAGCAAGACAACAACCCATGTCCTCAAGCCGGCTTTCCAAGTCGTTTGTTATTTTAAGTATAACAGTGGAACCTAAACCCTAAACCTCAAAAACATCCTTGAAAAGGAGCCCTCACAGGAATCGCAGCACATGAGTCTTGGACCGGTCCGGGATTCTAGAAACCGGTCGTGACAGCAGTGTGCGGAGTTCAACATGTGTCTTGGGTCTAACGTTTGCTAGCATGTCCTAACCAGGCCTCCCGGTCGTGTAACGCAGAGGTTTGCCCAGGAGTGGCTCCGCCTGGCAGGGCAGCTCGGCGGCCAGCTGGAGCAGGGCAAAACGGTTGATGCGGTCATCGCCACAACGGTTGCCCTGCATCTGCATGGTGCCCCATATGCGTCAGTCCAGCTGCAGGGGGCCCTGCTGTCAGCACTTGCTTGGAGGATCATGGGACTTAGTAAGTAGGTTATAAGTGGGGTTATAAGTCCCCTAAGTGGGGTTATCCTAAGTATAACCTACTTATAACCTTACTTACTAAATCCCATGAGCCTCCAAGTGGGGCTGTGCAAACAACAGCTGTCCGACGGGAGCTCTTGCCACACTCACAGACTTCCTATTCATGGACGGTGAGGGCAGGCCTTTTCCAGCGACGCATGTCAATTTGGAGGCCGATCGTGAGCTCACAGCAGGATCATCTACCGTCATGACTGTCATCATCGACATGAACATCATCGTTATCGTCAGCAACAGGCCATCAGGATTGTCATGTTGCCCCAAATCCGGTCGGCGCATGCATCATGCGCACCTGAGCGCGCAGTGTTTGCATGTACCGCGCCTCAACCCCAAGGGCAAGTGCCGATATGCCAAAGCAGGATGTCAACAACGCACACTTCGTGCCTAAAGGCCCTTATGCCTAAACTTTCCAAGGCCCTACCAGTCCTTTCTAGAACCCTCATAGAATCCATTCCAAAACATTAAAGCCCCAACACCAAAACCCCGAAACCCTCCAAAAGGATAAGCCGTAAATCCGCAAACCCAATAGCCACGAACCTCAAGAGGTGGGATGTTGATGTAAAATAGGTAGGATGAAAGATCCCTGATGTACATAAGCACCATTGTTCGGGACAACCCGACCTACCTTCATCACGCGCTTGGATCCCTGGAATCTGCTCATATCCCCTTACAGGCCCTGCACAAAAATACTAGAATTTTACCCCAAAGCTTTTGTATTAAACCTATTGTAAGACGTATATTTATTAACTCTTGTAGACCCAACTGAAAACAACCTTTCCTATTCTCATGACCCTAAACCTTAAAACCTAAACCTACACCCTGAACCTAAACCCTTTAAAAACCCTAAACCCCCTGGAAATAGGTTTGGCGATGCCACCCCGCCGCTGGGCTGCCTTTTGGTCGCCTTGGCACGGCCGAGGCTGGCACACGAACCGTGTTGTCTTACTTGGAGGTTTAGGGGACTCAGTACTTGGAGGGTCGGGGGACTTAGTAAGTAGGTAGTAAGTAGACTTATAAGTACCCTAAAAGGGACCTTAATTGGGGTTATGGTACTTATAAGTCTATAAAATAACCAGTTACTAAGTCCCCCGACCCTCCAAGTAAGGGCTCCTGTAAGGTTCGTTTAAGGGTTCTATAGAAGGTTGGGGGTTATGGTTTAGGGTCTAGTTGGAGGTTCAGGGGATTTGGTAAGTACGGTTACAGGTAAGGTAACTGTAGATATATCTGCATGTAGGCTCAATAAAGGTACCTATAGCCCGACTTACGAAGTCCTGTGATCCTTCAAGTACAGACAGTTTGCTTCCGGCTCGGGATTGGGTTTTGTAGGGGCTCTGCAGGGTTGAACAAGGGCTTTAGTCAGTGTTTTGTCGTCTTAAAGTGTTCCTTCATGGGTTTAGCATTGTGTAGAGGGTTTTACAGGGGTTCAGGCCTCTCTGTGTAGTAGTTTTTTCAATGGTTTGGAGCCTTTATAGGGTTGTATGAGGGCTTTCGTGTTCTTTGGCACCTTTTTGGTTGTGATTTCTTCGGTAGTTCTCTCCAACTTGTGCTTTCCCGTTTTATGAGCTTGAGTTTCAGAGTCCGCAGCATCACAAAGAGCTATAGGGTTTAGGGTTTATGGAGTTTGGGGCTTCAAGTTTCTTTAATGCTGCGCAGGTCAGCTGTAAGCCCAAGGGGACTCTAGAATCCTAACATAGTTTCAAAGGTTGAGCGAACTGAGCAACACGTTCTTGATTGTATAAAATCACCATTATGTTTGCTCTGTTTTCGTGAAATACGGTTGATGATGTATACATCCTGCATTACCCATCATAAGGAATATACCAAAATTCTCATAGTCAGGGTCCTCAAGGTAATGCTAGATGTATATCATCAACCGTAATGTAGAAGCCTGAATGATTGGTACTTGGAGGGTCGGGGGACTTAGTAACTGGTTATTTTATAGACTTATAAGTACCATAACCCCAATTAGGGTCCCTTTTAGGGTACTTATAAGTCTACTTACTACCTACTTACTAAGTCCCTAAAACCCTCAACCCTAAACCCTATACTACCCCTATAGAGCACTTTAAAGGAACCCTTAGAATCCCCTTTAAAGGAGCCCCCTACTTACTAAGTCCCCCGACCCTCCCAGTAGTACATGCTGGTATTTACACCCTTCGAGGTTCCCCCAAGCATCTTGGCGTTCTTCTGGTTGACTCTTAGGACTTTCCCTTTCTGGGTTTCTACATGAACTGTCATGGGTAGGCTAAAGTTCAACTAAACCCTAAACCCTAAACCCTAAACCCGGATTTTGGAGTGGAGATGGTGCGTCTATTTCACAGCGTGCCCAGGCTTGTGAAGCGGCTCTTCGGGTGCGGCAAAGGTATACTACTATTTGCTTAAGAACCCCCAAAGAATAAAACATATATTCCTTATGGGGGTAATATAGGGATTTTTATTCTTATTTTTTGGGGGTTTCTTAAGCAAATAGTAGTATATCTATTCCACGAAGCGTGGCCAAGAAGTTTCAAGTCAGCTGGCACGCACCGATGGCACCGTCGTCTGAGTCGACCAGGCTGGTAGCGTACGAACGTCGCAGGGTTCCTCCGAGTTTTTTTCGCAATCTGCGGGTGACTGCTGGAGCCATCGGTGTGTCCATACAAGCTCGCTTGGAGCGGAGCCGGGCAGCGTCCCTTCGTCGAGGTCAAGCCGTCACGGAAACTGGCGTTGCGCAGGACAATGAAAGCTTTGAGACGGTTGGGGCGGGACATGTTGTTTCCTCGCATGCTGCGGTTTGTTGCTCTTCGATATGATTCCAGGATGCAAGGCGATGACCGATGAAGAAAGCCAGTGGAATATAACCATACTACAGTCAGCACACCCCAAGAGCCGTTTCCTGCCATTAAGGCCCCCACACTAAACCTATCTAGAGAACCTTGTAGCAACCGTCAAGAGTTGTACTCTATTTACGAGGGACCCTCTCCTACTCCATATAAGACTCCGCTACAAGAACTTCTTAATAAACCCTAAACCTTAATCCTTCGTTGGGAGGAGCTCCATTTCTATTACTCCGGCTCCCCATACTCGTATGTCTTCCGAGGGCAGCATAGTCTCCAGAGCTTCAGTATGAAATTTGCATTTATGTTGTGAGGGTTTGAGGCTTTTTGCGGGTTTTAGACATTTTCGGGTTTTAGGCTTCCTGGGGGCGTTATATAGGGTTTTCATCAGAGTTTTGGTTCGGGGAGTGTTTTCGGTTGTCAGATTTATACTGGTGGTTGTTCACAACCAAACCAGACAGAACGTAGGCTCCCACTTAGCTGGTGTATACCCCGAAGACCTCCACACAGGATGCTGTGAATCCGGCTGCTGTTCTGGATAGCTGCGGTGCGTCGGGTACGAGGCTTGTGGCGGGAGGTTGGGGTTCAGAGTGGTCTTTGACTGGGGTTGTTGTTGTTGTTGCTGCTGCTGTTGTTGTTGTTGGTACAGACAAAAACAGCAGCCCGCAATTGTTGTTAATTGGAAGCAGTTGGGAATTCTTCCGGCGACCGCATAGGGTGCCTGTAGACATCTGCCACATGATACAAATGCGGTGTAGGCTGGATGGTTGTTGTTAAGGGGGGGGTGAAAACAACAGACGGGGCTCCAGCTTTTGTCTCTACCACAGGGTAGAGACAAAGGCCCCATTGAAATCAGGACTTTGTACCCTGTGGCAGAGACAAAAACTGGAGCCCCGTCTGTTTTTTTGACCCGCCCCCTTTACAACAACCGCCCACATTAGACCACATTTCCACCACGGGTATGGGACTATACGAAATCCAGAAGGGCTTCTCATGGGTTTTGAAAGGGCTGGTCTGGAATGTTGAAGGGTTTGCATTAGATATTGAGCGACGCAAAAGGATTTGAGGGGAGATTGACGGGTTTTATGTGATGGGGAAGGGCTTTAAACCGCCTGCACCCAAAACCTTGAACAAGTTCATAACCCTCAGCGCCCCAATCCAGTCATAGACCCTTAGATAACTCTTTATAGACCCTTCTTTAACATTCTTGGACCCTTCATAGAACCCTTTATAGAACTTCACGGATCTCAATAATATAGCGGGGCGCTCCATTTTGGGGCCTTAATCATTACCCATACTATTTGTGGGGGCTCATTCTTAAGATCATAGCGTTGCGGGCCCCAAAACTCTATTCTAATTCTTAGCCTAGTAGTAGAGTAGGTAACCTTTAACCTTTTTTGGAGAGTATAGTCCCTATATAGTCCCTATACTGATTGGCTATAAACTCAACTTTTCAACGTTTGGGGTTCTTATAAGACAGTTGATTCTGAAAGTTTCAACTTTTATTTCCTTGGGCTTTCGGCCAGTGAGTACATAACCAAAAAAGTTAACCTTTAGTTCCCCTTGATACCCGACAAGTAAGTTAAGGCCCCTATATCTCGATCCCAAAGGTTCCTTCGAGATGGCGATGTAGTCGCCACTGCGGGCGCAACCTTGCGAGCTGTGCACACGCCCGGGCATGCAACTGGGCTTAGCTCCTATCATCTATGGACGTCCTTTAAAGGGGTCCTTTAAGGGATTTGTGGTGGGCCCTTCAAAGGATCTGATCCCTTAAAGGACCCCTTAAGGGAAACCTTTAAAGGGAGTTCTACTATGGGACCCGATAGTACTCTCAAAGGGACCCCTATCATAGTACCCATGCAACTGGGCTGGGTTCTATTGAAAGGAAGCTTTAACCCGACAACACCCTTCATGGAACCCTAAACCCGAACACCCTTCAAGGAGCTCCGATCGATCCCTTTAAGGAGCCTATAGAGTTAAACCCTACAAAACCTAACTGGCATCGCAAAACCTAAACACAATCACCCTTTCAGGAACTCCTATGGTTCCTTTCAAGGAACCCTTAAAGGACGGATAGCGCTCCGCGAGCGATCTTCAACAAATACCTTGTTGCTGACGGCTTGCTTACTGTAAGGGAAGTCGAGTTATTCCTAAGGGTCCATGCACCCAAATACTGTTGATGACGGCCTTGTCCTTTTGCATTGTTCCCCCAAAAGAATAAACAGACCGGCTAGTAGACCTTCTTAAATAATTCCTACTAAGGGATATAGGTATAGGGCTCTGTCTATTCTTACTAAAAGGACAAGGGTGGTTGATGATATAAATCCTGCATTACCGTAGGGACCCTAAACTATGGGAATTATGGGATATTCCTTCTTATGGGTAATGCAGAATTTATATCATCAACCGTAGTATATACTTTGGACCTACATAGGGATTACCTTGAGGCCAAAGAATATACTATTTGGACGGTAAGGTTTCCGATAAAGTAGCAGATACATAAGGATACCACCAAGGCCAGCGACCACCTCTGCTTCTGGCTTCAGGAGCTCGCTGTCTCGGCCTATGTGACCCGCAGTTTAGGGGCTTAGGGTATACCCTAAACAAGAAACCTAAACCCGACCCTCCATTTTTGGAGGGTGGGGGGGCTGAGTTGAGGCCTTGAGCAAGTCATGAAAGCAAGATTTCCATCAGTCATTGCTTCACAACGTAGTTGACTGGTGATATTGAGGGCTGAGGGTTAAGCGTTGACCGTCCAGGTTTCAGGGGCATTGGGAGCAGATTAGATAGCCTTCTTTTCGTCGTAATGAATCATTTGCTATGTCCCCCGACGCCTCAAGCGGTAGCGGCAGCAGGAAGAGCGTGCACTCTTCACCGGTGACGTGATTCTGGGCGTTGGCACTGTCATCATTGACAGTTTCGAGGCCAGCAGTATGTGGCTTTGAGGGTCGACTGGAGGAGCCAGAACAACTAGAAATTGGTCTTTTCTAGTAGAAGTATGTGGGGACTATAACTGGACACCCCTACTACCTTTTCCGACCCCTCTGTTTCAACTTCTAATGCCTGGGGGCAGAATTGGCAATAATGTCCGGGCAACGACTTAAAGGTTGGGGTGGTTGTTCATTCCATGGTTTCTTTCGAAAGGACCTCCAAAGCAGAAATGTGTTTTCCTTGGAAAGTCGGGATCTCCCAGGTACTTGGAGGCTCATGGGACTTAGTAAGTAAGGTTATAAGTAGGTTATACTTAGGATAACCCCACTTAGGGGACTTATAACCCCACTTATAACCTACTTACTAAGTCCCATGATCCTCCAAGTAGACCCGACATTCAAGCCTTTAAGCTCTGAAACTCTAGATACTCGATGATTCCGGGATATCTTCCGGGGGGTCTGCTGTGTAGATGGTTTAAGGGGTCGAGATTTTGTTGACGCGTGGGGGGAATTCTCAGGGCTGTAGGATTGTAGGATATGAGCACGAGTCCGTAGAGTCTGAAATTTCGAGTTTACATCATGAGGAATCCTAACAGAACCTCAAAACCAATCGGGGGGTCTCCAGAGGTTAACGTGCTAAGATAAATTCCTATACAGCTCTACCGAAGATCATGGGACTTAGGAACTGGGGTCAGAAATGAGGTAGCTGTACTTACTACTACTTAAGATTCGCATATAACCTCACTGACTACTGACTAACTGAGCCCCGTGATCGTCCAACAATGCCAGAGGGTCCATGTACCCAAACAGCTAGTATGTGGTTTAAGGCTTGAAGCGTAGGGTTTAGGGTTACATTGGTTGGCCTTCAAGCTACTACATAGGTGGGAACCCGGCAGAAACCAATGTGCATACGACTATAGCTGGGTAATACAAGGGTCGGGATAATGAGCCAAAGTATCCCAATGTAATTGTGGTATACTATGGTCCAATCTACCCCAACACCCTAACTCGAGAGAGTCTAGTGCCTTCGTGTCCATCATGGCGTGGCGTGTAATGGATGGTCGTGGCATGTCACGCACCATCCATGCTGCGCACCAGGAATTTTTGAGACACGAGGAGGTCTACGAGCAGCTGGCTTTGGATCGCCACGCCCGCGAGGTGGAGGCGCAATCCGAAGCAGCGACATCTTTACCCTCCGACCCCCGGAAGCAGCGGGAGGACTTCTCACCGCAGTGGCAGGCCGTGTGGTCCGAGGACTACGAGCCTGGAGCCCCTGTTAGGGTCGGAGCGTCATCTTGGCGGGGATTGGGTGCATGTTTCGTGCCTAGACCCTAGGCCCTGGACCTGCATGCAGTGCTTGTCTTTTCAGGGCTTAGCATCAAGAGCCCGATGAAACTATTGGGTAAGGCTCGAGCGATTGCATGTCGAGGTAGGCTTTCTCCCCTTGGATTTGTTTCCTTGTGCCTCTTGCCTCGGCTATAGGAGCTCGCGATGGCCTGTCGAGCATCACTCTTAAGTGCTGCTATCAAAGCCGCGTGCCAGTCCAAGGCTCCACGGCGTACCATTGCAGCGATAGCCTCTGCTGTAACTTCGGCGCTCTTGCAGCAGCCAAGTACAGCAGGGTCTCCCACTGCTTTGGTCCCTGGTAAGCCCACTGGTCCCTTGGAGCCGTCAGGCTGCCAAAATGTGAATGAGCTGGAGTTGCGTCTTCGTGAAGCCAGGGCGGCCAAGCGCAAGCTCAAACGCAAGCGAAAACGGGAACAAAAGGCCCTTGCTCGTGAACTTTCCGCTGACAAGACTGCCGAGAAGTCAGTGGGGGTAACGATGCCTGTGGCCAACACGTGGGAAAAAGCTTATGCTTTGACCGGAGTCTGTTTGGGGGAACCGTCTGTGGTCAAATCTGAGCAATCGGGTGCGAAGGGCCCTCAGCTGGTGAGGCGACGACCTGCTGAAGACGACATGGTACATTCGCAGTCGCTGGACAAGTGCATGAAGACTCCTGACCTTCGCAGCGTCCCTGCTGCAAGACGACAAGGAGACAGGCGTGTGCCACAGAAGGATCAGCAGAAGGAGTCTCTGCCAGACCCTGCTACGACGAGCAGGAGTCGAAGAAAAGGTCCTTACTAATTCGTTGTCGTTGGCAGTTTTAGTTTTGTGTGAAACCCATTATGCGTCGTGCCCAACAGAGGCACCTCGCCGATGCAATGCACAGGTTCATCCCTGCCTACGAGCATTAGGTGAAGTCGCGTGCACCTGCCACGTTGACTTGCTTCATTTTGATCGCGACAGGCTTTCGCCCGCGGGCTTAGAGTTTTGGATTTTGGGGTTTTTGCGTTTAAGCGTTAAGGGTTTTGGGTTTAGGGGTTTTGCGTGTAGGGTTTAGGGGCTTTTGAGTTTAGGGTTTAGGGTTTTAGGGTTTAGGGTTTGCCAATGTTCCGCACCATGCGGGACGTGTTGTGTGGTGTGCGCCCAGGTCCACGCTCCCAACCCAGCCACCCTCATCTCAACCTTGGGCGGATTCAGGGTTTACTTACCCTCCGCCCCCCTAGATAGGGGAGTCGACTTTGTCACGAGCTTGCATGCAGCTGACGTCTTTCAAGAGCTTTAAGTCATAACGTTATGGAGCTTGGCCCTCACATCATCTGGCCCGTTCTATGCGGTAAAGGCATCACGGCCCTAGCAGGGGAGACTCCGATGGGGACGATGTCGCCGTAACACTGAACCAGGACCTCGTCGAGTCTGTGGAGCACACGGAGGCCGCGGTTCACAGCTGGACTGGGAGCAAGCTTGCAAGCCAAGAGGCGCTGGAAGTGGAGGGTTTCTCCACAATTGCGTGGGCAGGCAACGGCATTGGCGGAGCAGTGCCAGCAGGCTGTCATGGAATCGCCAGGAGATATGAGACTTCTCATGTGCATGCTGCAAGTTGGCTTTCTCTGCCATGCGGCTTACGACTGCCCAAAGAAAATCTCCGAGGAAATCGTGCTGGCAGCAATCCGACAGGTGATACGAGCTGCAGGAGCGGCGCCAGCCACGGAGCGGTCACTTTGGGCAGACGCATGGCTCTTGGCGTCTCGCGGCTTGCCAAAGGCAACTCGGAAACCCTGGGAAACGGGGAAGCTGGAAACCCTACGTGACAAGACACAGCCCTTGGGACAGGTGTGGTTTCCGCTCCCCAAAATCGTGTTGGGTAGAGCTGCAGGACAATGGATGCGGCCAATGCTTCGAAACATGACGCCGCAGTGGGAGCTGGTCCTATCCCGGAACCTCGACGTAGTAAGAAGTGCTATACGAGGGTTCCTTCCAGGGTCACTTCTACTGAAGCTTGCAGGCCACTGTGTCTAGGGTTTAAGGTTTAGGGTTTAGGGGGCGGTTCAGGCGTTTGGGGTTCAGGGGTTTGGGGGTTTAGGGTTCACGGGTTTGGGGTCTTGTGGTGCTTAAGATTGTTTGTCCGAGTTCGTGCAGCAAGACCATATCCACGACCGCATCCACGAGCATAGGGGTAACGCACAGTTCCTGCCTATGCGACAACCCATCAGGATATGTTGGTGGTCCGCATTCTGCGAAAGATGTGCTGCAAGAACTCCTTAATGGTCGCGCAATTAAACTTGAAGTGCGTCTTGAGCCGCCCGTGACATGCGATTGGTGCAGGGCTTATGGTTGATGGCGATTGCCCTAAAGTAAAGACCTTGGTTAAGCCTTCCTCGTGTTTTTTTGCAGATTGGACCAGTTCTGTTTTCCTTTGGATATTCGGCTGACATCGACCAAGGCTATGACCGTCCTTCTGTAGTGTGGAGGCATCCAGCTCCTGCTCCGCTTCCAGAAACGATGTGTGTGAATGATGAGTAATGCCCGATCTCGTCTCTAAATACAGTAGCAAGTTCCCTATGTTAGCGTAGCCGTAGCAGGAACCTGTAACCTACAAACCAGAACTTTAGGGCTAGGGTTTATGCACAAGTGTCGGAACCCCAGACCTCAACTCGGACTGCAAGGCTATCAAACTTCCGACCGATATAATGGCATGTGCAAGACGTACTGGGGTTTACGGTTTGGGACACAGGGATTTCAGGTTTCGGGTTGTGGCACTGCAAGGTTGAATTGTCGGTCGGAGCGCACAATATGCCTACATGATAGTTTATTGAGCGTAGAAAACTTTGTTTCCTCATTGTTCCTCATATATGCTAGTAGTGCAATAGTGTCTCCAAACTTGTCCAGACCCCTAATCTACAGGAGTACACGGCATCGCTGCAGCGCCTGAAAGAGCTCGCGCCCGATCGAATCTATCCGGGACACGGGCCCATGCTGGAGGCCGGTCTTGTCTTTACCGCTCGGCGTTTATGGGGAGCTTTATTGGCTGTAAATTCAACTTCTCAACTTTTGGGGTTATTTCTTATACGACAGTCGATTCTGAAAGTTTCAACTTTTATTCCCTTGGGTTTTGGGCCAGTGAGGAGCAGAATCTTCAAGGGTACTTTGCATTTTGCGTTTTGGTTGGAGGTGTCTTTTCATGAAACATTGTCTGCTAACTTTCTCATTGGAGTAGTTGTAGTAGTAGTAGTAGTAGAAGTAGTAGTAGTAGTAGTAGTAGTAGTAGTAGTAGTAGTAGTAGTAGTAGTAGTAGTAGTAGTACTGTAGTAGTAGTAGTAGCAGTTGTTGTCGTAGCAGTAGTAGTCGTAGTAGTAGTAGTAGTAGTAGCAGTAGTAGTAGTAGTAGTAGCAGTAGTAATAGCAGTAGTAATAGCAGTAGTAATAGTATTCCCTAGTTTTATTCGGTGTAACTAACCAGAACCTGCTCCAGCTGCAAAATGGGTGGTTCATGCCTGGACCATGACGGTGCTTCCGAACGTTTGTGAATCAGACATGCGCAACCGGAGGGGCACGTTGCAGATTTTCGGCATCGTGTCGCCTCAGCCTCAACAGCGACCGACCATGCTATTGGAAGCCGCAAACAGGTGGGGTTCGATGTATGTGAGTTCGGGCATATCAAATTGGCATCCCGTCAGCTTGCTATCACTTCGGGAGTATTGCAATCTTACTTTAGATTACCCGTGGACATTCGAGTATCGGCCAGGACCATAAACAAGCACCACACAAAACCCTTATACCGAAAATGTCCGCTTCATGAACCTCGCAAGTTCGACCATTTGCAGCCCCGGAGAAAAGCAAACAAATAGAACTACCGATCCTTTGTCAGGCTTCTACAGCAGACTTGGGGTTTACTTAGGGGATCGGGGGACGTCGTAAGTGTGTTTACAAGTACCTTAACCGGGGCTATAAGTAGATAGAAGTTACAAGTAGATAGAATTATAGCTGCCTTACTTATAACCCTACTTATGAAGTTCCCTAAACCTCCAAGTAGAGTTTAGGGTAAGAACTTTTGTAAAACATTCGAAACCCCCAACAAACGGAACCCGCACTTGGATACTGCCCCCACTCAGTATCAGTTGAACTGAACAATATGTGTCATATAGAAATGAAAGGCACGTCATCGTAGCCCCACAATAGACGGTTGCTGCCTGGGGGTCAGTACCCAGCCAACGCCCCTTTTACCATACAACTTTTAAGAAGGAGACCGTTGGGCTTCTCCAATAAGTCCTAAAACCTGAAGCCGCATCTCGAACCCCAAACAAGTTTCTCTAGAAAGCCCACAGCACCAAGCCCCAAACCCCAAGCCCGCAAAACCCTAAACCCCTGAGCCCTAAACCTTATGACCCCCAAGCCCTAAACCCCTAAACCCTAAACGTCCAAACCCCCTAAACCCTAAGCCCCTAAGCCCTGAAGCCCTAAACCGGAAGCTCCAATATCCCTTAATTAAGGAATATTCCTTAGATCATATTAGGGGTCCTACTATAATTTAAGGTATACTCCTTGATCAAAGGATATTAGTATCCCCTAAACCTTAAATCCTATAGATCCCTTTAAAGGAACCCTTAGAGGAACCCTAGGTATTCCTTAGTTAGGGGATCCTGGAGTTTCTGGGAAACCGGAAGCCCCTAAGCCCTAAAGCCCTAAACCCCTAAACCCTCCCAAATCCTAAACCCTAAACCCTATAGATCCCTTTAAGGGAACCTAAACCCTAAGTATTCCTTCCTTAAGGGATATTGGAGTCTCTGGGAAACCGGAAGCCCCTAAGCCCTAAACGCATATACATCCCTTTAAAGGAACCCTTATAGATCCCTTTTAAGAACCCCTATAGATCCCCATAAGGAACCCCTGTAGATCCCTTTAAAGGAACCCCAACCCTAAACCCTAAACCCTAAACCCTAAACCCTAAACCCCTAAACCCCTAAACCCTAAACCCCTAAACCCTAAACCCCTAAACCCTAAACCCCTAAACCTAAAGCCCTAAACCGGAAGCCCCAACACAGAGCACAGGGCGCCGCGGCCCGGGAGCGACCTGGAGACTCCCGACGAAAGCTTTCAGCCAGGGCTTGCAAAGTGGGTTTAGGGTATAAAGTTTAAGGTTTAGGGTTTAAAGTTTAAGGTTTAGGGTTTAAAGTTTAAGGTTTAGGGTTTAAAGTTTAAGGTTTAGGGTTTAAAGTGTAAGGTTTAGGGTTTAAAGTTTAAGGTTGAGGGTTTAAAGTTTAAGCAGTTTAAGGTTTAGGGTTTAAAGTTCAAGGTTTAGGGTTTAGGGGTGAGGGTTTGGAGTTTAAGGTTTAGGGTTTAGAGATTGAGAGGGCTTGCAAAGTTAGCTTCTTTGGGTATGTGTCTTAGAAATTTATGGTTTAGGGTTTAGGAGTGAGGATTTGGAGTTTAAGGTTTAGGATTTAGAGATTGAAAGGGCTTGCAAAGCTAGCTTCTTTGGGTATGTGTCTTAGTAGTAGAGTAGGTAACCTTCAAGTTCTTTGGTGTACCGTAACCCACACGCCACCTCCAAAGTCAACCTTTAGATCCCGAATCGTTCGCTTAGGGTTGCCTGCGACCCTAAGCCCCTTAAATGGAGCCCTCACGCTGCTTGCGAGTGGATGTTAAGGGGTATAATGGATCCTAAGCTTAAGCAGTGCAGAGGGTACGGAAATGCCTTGAAAATGAGCTCGCGGAGACCCCGCCACCCAAAACAATGGTTCTACCAATTTAGAGTTGACGTTTAGGATTTACGGTTACAGCTACTGGCTTACTACACCCTTAATTCGGCCTAAATCCCAAGCCCGAGGCCCTGAACCCCTTAGAAGGAAGCACTGGCGGAGATTCCAAGTTGTGTCTCCCTTTCCTCTGCTGCGAGCGCTGTCCCGAAGAAGCTGAGACATTCATTCGTTCAGAACATGTATCATGTTAAGGACTCTTACTCTGTTCATCATCAGGGTTGCTGCTGCCTTCAAAACCACAGCTGATCTTGGTTCCAATTGACCGCAACCCCATGTCGGTCACGGTGGAAGTTGGACTGCTTAGCGGCAGGAAAGTTTCCTTGGAAGCCAAAGTGACTGATAGCCTGGCAGACTTAAAGCAGCGGGCACAAACTGAGCTTGGAGTCGGCAAAGGACGGCTTTTGAACTCAAGCGGATGCCTATTGGATGGGTTTGAATCGATTGAGCAAGCCGCGCTAAACAACGGCGATTCGCTAATCTTACAATCAAGCACAGTTCAAATATGCAGCAGCTGCAGCGCTTTTGCTGCCATCCTTGGAGATGGATCCGTCGCGACGTACGGCTTTGTGCTTGTGCTTCCGATCAAAAAAAACACTCATAACAGAATCAGAAAGCCTGTCCAGGATCAGCTGAGGAATGTGCAGCAGATTCAAGCCGCTTATCGTGCTTTTGCCGCCATTCTTGGTGATGGATCTGTGGTGACCTGGGGTCATGCTGACAGCGGGGGTGACAGTAGTGCTGTACAGCATTTGCTGTTCAATGTGCAGCAGATCCAGGCCACTTCAGAGGCTTTTGCTGCCATTCCTGATGATGGCTCTGTCGTGACCTGGGGTTCTGCTTACTCTGGTGGCGACAGCAGTGATGTGCAGGATCAGCTGAGGGGCGTGCAGCAGATTCAAGCTGCTCATCGTGCTTTTGCCGCTATTCTTGGTGATGGATCTGTGGTGACCTGGGGTGGTGCTGACTGCGGGGGTGACAGCAGTGCTGTGCAGCATCTGCTGTTCAACGTGCAGCAGATCCAGGCCACTTCAGAGGCTTTTGCTGCCATTCCTGATGATGGCTCTGTCGTGACCTGGGGTTCTGCTTACTCTGGTGGCGACAGCAGTGATGTGCAGGATCAGCTGAGGGGCGTGCAGCATATTCAAGCCACCGGTAGTGCTTTTGCCGCCATTCGCGGTGATGGATCTGTGGTGACCTGGGGTCATGCTGACAGCGGGGGTAACAGCAGTGCCGTGCAGCATCTGCTGTTCAACGTGCAGCAGATCCAGGCCACTTTAGAAGCTTTTGCTGCCATTCGTGATGATGGCTCTGTCGTGACCTGGGGTTCTACTTACTCTGGTGGCGACAGCAGGGATGTGCAGGATCAGCTGAGGGGCGTGCAGCAGATTCAAGCTGCTCATCGTGCTTTTGCCGCTATTCTTGGTGATGGATCTGTGGTGACCTGGGGTGATGCTGACTGCGGGGGTGACAGCAGTAAGGCGCAGGATCTGCTGAGGCTTGTGCGGCAGAATGTGCAGCATATCCAAGCCACCGGTAGTGCTTTTGCGGCCATTCTTGGTGATGGATCTGTTGTGACCTGGGGTCATGCTGACAGCGGGGGTGACACAAGTGCTGTGTGGGAAGAGCTGAGGAATGTGCAGCAAGTTCACGCCACTCGTGTTTCTTTTGCTGCAGTGCTTGGAAATGGTTCAGTCGTGACCTGGGGGCGTATGGATGATGATGATGATTCAGTATATTCTGATTCAGAACCTTCGTCCGATGATACCTGAGTAGTAGGTTATTCTGCAGTTGTCGGCGATGGATTTGTCGCAACTGGGCCGCGAGAAGCCAGCAGCGCTGTATGCAATAGTTGCACTCGACATCAGACATCAGACCCCTGCTAATGTCCGAGTGAGTGAACAATTCTAGGATGCCCAGTACGAACCTTATTACCTTTTTGTAGTCCTAGGTTCCTTATAAAGTTACCCAATACCAAAAAGAGAGGCCTTCTTATTCTTAGGTTACTGGGTATCCTAGAATTTGTCCGTGCTTTCTGTGGCGAGCGATCGCATGTGTGGTGGTGGCGGCGCAAACCGATCATGTAAGTCTCCAGCGGCAGGCATCGCCCGCGTGGCCTGCACCCTGAACCTTAGGTAAACCCTAAAGTATAGAACCTAAAACCTATAATGACCAATCATCGCTTGCAGGGTCCGCGTTGCGCGAGTCCATGCGAGAGTCCAAAACCCCTAATTATAATGAACCCTATAAAGGGAACTCCAGAAAGTTGGAATATGGATTAATGGTAGGATCCCCTATAATTTACCTTAAAGGGGTTACGATAATGATATTCCAACTTTCTGGCTTCTACTGTAGGGTTTAGGGAGTTTAGGGTTTAGGGGTTTGAGGGTTGGATCCTTATCATAAGGACCCCAAATTATGGTACCCCTAATTTTCGGAAACTCCCATATAGGTACATACTCATAAACCCGAGGTCTCAACTCCACGACCTGCCTTCCACTCCTGGTCCGAAACTCCCAGTTCAACCCTAAAGCCCCGAGGCCAGTACCGCCCTGGCCGTCTTGAATCGAAAGCCTCAACCCCCGTGTCCCAACATTCAGAGTTTTGAGGGCTTGGGATTTGGGAGTTTCCGAAAATAGGGGGACCCTAATATAGTACCCTACAAAGTAGGATCCTTATTATAAGGACCCCAAAATAAGGTACCCCTAATTTTCGGAAACTCCCATTTAGGGTTCACCCTAGGAGTCTCCATCTGCAAACAGGGTTGAGGCTTCAGGAGCTTAATCATAGGGATCCTTAGGGGTGTAGGGGGGAGGGGTGTAGGGGACTATATTTCCTTCAATAGGCCTTATTAGTCCTTATTATGGGCCTTAAGGCCCCCTACCCCCCCTCCCCCTACACCCCTAAGGATCCCTATGACTTAAGCATCTATCACTAGGGGCCGAACAAGCCCGTAACTTTACGCGACTTGCATGGCTTGCCTACTCTGCAATTCTAGCACTCTGTCTCTATCTCCCTCTCCTTCGTTTTCTGTTGCGCTCGGGACATTTACATAATAAGAAATAAGAGCCCCAAGGACCCGAGTCTGGCTATCTGGGGGTTTCCGAAAATAGGGGACCCTAAGATAGCACCCTAAATAGTAGGATCCTTATTATAAGGGACCCAAATAAGGTACCCCTAATTTTCGGAAACTCCCATCTAGCCCCCTATGTTGACCACACCTCAGACCCATTTTGGTGACGGCCGGTTTCTTAAGGCTTTCACGAAGGCCTCGGAGCTTCCATAGTGTTTTGGAGTGTGAGGCACCCCGGCCTACGATTCTGGGATTTGGAGATAGAGTCTACATTTTCAACATGACTTGCATTGTTTTTTCCAGCTTCTTTCGGCTTAAGGCGCCTTGCGGCATATGCTAAAGCTAAAGCTTTTGGGGCTTGCGAGAAGGGTCTGAAGAATTGGTAAGAGTATCACCGCTTCGGCCCTTTCTTGTTACAGTACGATTTGCCCCAAAACGCAATTCCAAGCATTAGTGCCCCTATACTGCAAGTCTAATCTGCAGTCAGAAAGTTTCGGGCTTCATTGTTTTGAGAGCGCATTGAGTTGCTTGGCTTATGGTTTGCAGGGTACAGGGTTTCTAGGGGTTGCCTATGCAACGGAGTTTTGGGTTTGTGGTTTGACTGTGACCCTAAACCCTAAACCCAAAACCCTAAACCCTAAACCCTAAACCCTAAACCCAGGCCAAGGGGTTCACGTAGTTTGGAGCAATACCCGAGCCAGTGCAGTTCAAGGCGCCCTGTTTAGGGTTTAGGGTTTAGGGTTTAGGGTTTAGGGTTTAGGGTGCGCCGGCCTACCGAGCACTGGTGGAGCTCAGCCACTGAACCGGTAGGTCGTGGATGGCCATCTTTGTAGGTAGTTCTCTAAATTCGGCCCCCTTTTTAGGTCTCCAATGTTACGGCACCTTTAAAAAAAGATCCTACAAGGGACCCTAATTAGAGAAAGAGAAGTACCAGTATTACGAGACTGACCGCCAGCTTCTTGTGGCTGACGCTGAGGTCTCGCAGAGGCTCCCTTCGGCAGGGTTTACGCATGTGGTGAGTAAAGGAAGTTCGAACTTCCTTACCATTTCCTTACCCAAGCGGTTGAGATCGTAAGAAAAACTTATTGGCTGTAAATTCAACTTCTCAACTTTTGGGGTTCTTATACGACAGTCAATTCTGAAAGTTTCAACTTTTATTCCCTTGGGTTTTGGGCCAGTGAGAAAAAGCAAGGTATAAAGCTTTTAAGAGCTGGTACTTAGCTGCCAACTCATGGGGTTATAATTAGGATACCTTTTTATAATGCTACTCATTGCCACTTACCAAGTCCCGCGACCCTCCAAGTAGGAACCATGTGTCATTGGCCGTTCTTCAAGTCGATACTGCACCCAACCCCCTATGCCCTTGTATTCAAACCTATAATACTCGGACCTAGAGTAGGCCCTTATTCCCTTTTTTTAGGGTTCAGGTTCCCTTATAAGCCCCTTTTTAAACCAAAAAGGGCACCCTTTTTGTTCCTAGGCTACTCTTGGTTCTAGAATAAGAGCCTGCAAGCTTCTGAATAAACCCTGTGGTCCCAAACCTTAAATTTACAACCTTGAACTTAAAACCCTACAACCCGAAACCTCAAACCCCTATGCTTTCCTCAAGCCTCAAGACATAAAACCCGAAGACCTGAAACCCCCACACCCTAAGAATCCCAAGCCCTGAACCCTAAGCCGTCTCGTTTTGCTTCTGCTCCGTGTGTTATCACCGCTCCTGAAGCGCTTAAGGTATACGTACCAACAAAAGAAACAACCTAAAGCTTAAACCCTAAACCCCAACCTAAAGCTTAAACCCTAAACCCCAACCTAAAGCTTAAACCCTACACCCCAACCTAAAGCTTAAACCCTAAACCCCAACCTAAAGCTTAAACCCTGAACCCCCAAACGTCACGAATTATCCGGATCCGTCCTGCTGAGGACTACCTGCGACACCGCTGGGAGAGGCTCGAGGCTCGGTGGTTGCCGAGCCGATGATCCCTATTTTGGGGTTTAGGGTTTAGGTTCTTTGGGGTTTGAGGTTGAAGGTTTTCGGTTTAAGTTTTAGGAATTTTAGGGCTTAGGGAATGTAGGGTAGTTACGCTTTAGGGCTCAGGGCTTAGGATCTTGGGGGTAGCTAGGAGTCCAAAACTCCCCTCCCGCCAGCGTAGAGGCAGCCCGCGCTCTGCTAAACTCACGACCGGGCGCATGGACCACGGATCAGCTGCTGCGTGGCCCCTTGTCCTCTTGTTCATCTGTAAACCATGCAATCCCAAACTTTCTCAGAACTCTTCACAATTTGGGTTTTAAGGTTTACGAGGCTAAAAGGAGTGCAGAGATTCAGGGTTTAGGTTCTATGCAGGGGTTCATGGTTCAGATAATTGTCCTGATTGTTCTTCAAAAGGGCAGGCCTTTCGGGCTGAAAGATAACTCTTAGGCAGTCCAGATTGGTGTAGGGTTTATACGGTTTAGGGAGTCCAATGTCTAATGTCTGCGGTTGTCCGGACACTATAGGCCACAGAACGTCTTTGTGCACTATGGGGGCCAGAATGATTATCAACACTTTTTTAGTAGGGTCCACATCGTATCTTTGCTATCCTCCAAACCCTATCCTAGCTACCGTGTATAAAGGTCCGTGTATTAATACTACACATGAACCATCCTCCTTACTTAACGTAGTGATTCAAGAGAGTGTCCAAGTAAGCATTGCCCTCAGCCTAAGCCCAGGAGTCTACGGCGCATCTCTGCCCACTGATGCGTTCCTGCACCATGCTGCGCGAAGGAGGGGCTTTAGAACTAAACCCCTAAACTCCACACCCTGGACCCTAAACCCTAAACCCTGAAACCTAAACCCCAAAATCCGTAAAACCCTCATCAAGCCCTTGACCCTAAGGTGCTAGAAGCCCCTTGAGGTTCACGGTCGGTGAAATGAACTTGGCCTTCTTCTGGTTGACTCTTAGGACTTTCACTTTTTGGGTTTCTATCTGAACTACAATAAGTAGGCTAAAAGTTTAACTTTTAGGAGGGGTTCAGAAGCCAGCCAAGTGAAGGTTTACCGTAGCAGGGATGTAGTTTGACCTAAGGGGCTTAATTCATGCGAACCCTTGGTTACTGATCCTAATGTTTGTGTCCAGTTAGGCGTTGGGGTGGCTCAGGGGTTGTGTAGTGTTTGGCTTAGTAATTCTATTGCCCTTGGTTGCCTAATACCCCAAAACATAGATTTCTATAGTATCGAGAGCACAGCTAGTGCTGAGTCCAACCCCAAGCAGGCAAACCTGTAGCCGTGCCCAGAGCACCCGTTACTCCTTTATCAAGACTACACTGGCTGTTCCGTTACGACCTAGTGTAGGCCCTTCTTCCCTTTTTTAGGGTTCCCTTATCAGCCCCTTTTAAGCCAAAACGGGCACCCTTTTGGTTGCTAGGTTACTCTTGGGTCTAGTCCTTAACTTAAAGAGGCTGTCCTCCTCTGATTTAAGAATCTCCTTTAGTGTATTAGGCTGCTTTGTGGTATTCCTCCGGCGTTCAGCTTTTGGTGAGGATTCTTCTGGCAGGTGCAACCTCTCCACGTATCTATCTCTATCTATCTATCTATCCATTCTCTTGGCGTTCTTCTGGTTGACTCTTAGGACTTTGACTTGTTGGGTTTCTATATGAACTATAATAAGTCGGCTAAAAGTTCAAATTTTAGGAGGGGTTCAGAAGCCAGCCAAGTATTCTTCCATACATCCGTTTACCCACCTAGACATCTGCCTGGCTACCTACATGCCTGCTTACATGCCTACGTACCGATCAGTCTATCATCTCTATCCATCTTTCCATCAAACCACCTATCAGTCCGTCTTTCTGTCTATCTGTCCATGTGTCTATCCTTCTACCTAACCATGTATCTTTCCATCTATCTGTCTATGTATCCATCTGTCTATCTGTCTATCTACCCATCTACCTCTCTCTCTCCCTCTCTCTCTCGCCCTCTCTATTTGTCTATCTGTCTGTCTAGGTATCTATCTATAACTCAATCAGTTTGTCTACATGTCTATATCTCTATCCTTTTTTGCTTGGGAGTTTTAAGGTTTCGGGTTAAGGGCTTCGTACCCATATAGAGCCCGTAAGGGGCCCAAAGGAAGCCTTCTTAAAACGAAACGAAGTACCTTTTATTATAAACCCCATGAAACCGTATAAGATGCCAGTAAGCTCCTATGCAGCCAAACTCTGTATAACCAAATCCAACCCTGACAAGATCTTTCTTTGACCTCATACAACCCCTTATAAACCCCTCTTACATCCAAACAACACCGCTATAAACGCCCGAAGCCCTAAACCCCAAATCCTACATCAACCCTAGATCTGAACCCTAAACCCCGAAACCCTACCCTAAGGGTCCAAGTACCTAATACTAGGATGCCCAGTAGTACCCTTATTCCCTTTTTGTAGTCCTAGGTTCCTTATAAAGTTACCGTACCCAATACCAAAAAGAGAGGCCGTTTTATTCTTAGGTTACTGGGTATCCTAGAATAACTTATTGGCTGTAAACTCAACTTTTCAACTTTTGGGGTTCTTACAAGGTAGTCGATCCTGAAAGTTTCAACTTTTGCTTCCTTGGGTGTTGGGCCAGTGAGATAATCATATACGCTCATAGATATTGAGCTACATAACTACTATCCTAAACCCAAGTACCTAATTATTCGGTCCTTCGGACCACTATCCTAAATCCGAAACCTTAAATCCCAAACCCGAAACCTTAGATCCCAAACCCTAATCGGTAGACCCGATCTCCCAAACCCAAGTCCGAAACCCTAGATCTTAAACGCCATCTTACCCGGAGACTCCAATATCCCTTAATTAAGGAATATACCTTAAATCATAGTAGGATCCCTAATATGATTTAAGGAATATTCCTTAATTAAGGGATATTGGAGTCTCTGGGTTTAGGGCTTCCGGTGTAAGGTAGGGTTCATTGGGAGCAGCTGAGGCCGGATACCTGAGTGCGTGCCCTTGTAGACCCCATACTTGGAGGGTCGGGGGACTTAGTAACTGGTTATTTTATAGACTTATAAGTACCATAACCCCAATTAGGGTCCCTTTTAGGGTACTTATAAGTCTATTTACTACCTACTTACTAAGTCCCCCGACCCTCCAAGTACCCAGCCCTAAACCCTAAACCCTAAACCATTCCGACAGGAATCTCGAGGCTTCGCTGGCTCAGCTCCAGGTCTCTTGGGCTTTTTTTTTGCGCTCTTCTTTTCTTGCGCTTTGGGGCTTTGGGGTCCTTTTTCAGGGGTTCCTTTAAGGGTTCCTTTGAGGGGTTTAGGGTTCGTCTAATTTTGAGGGGCTTTGGCCTTGGAGTTTCCAGGACTTCTGGGGTTTTACAGTTCTTTCAGGGGTTCTATATAGCGTTCATTTGATGGGCTTGCGCGGGGTTTAGGGTTCCTTTATGGGGTTGCAGGGTTCTTTTAATTCTTGAAGGGGTTTAGGGCTAGGGATTTGGGGTTTTGGGTTCCTTGAAAGGGATTTCGGGTTCCTTTCAGGGGTTTAGGGTTCGTTTGAGAGGTTCGGGTGTAGGGTTTACAGTTTGGGGTTCAAAGTTTGCAGGAGATGAGAGGAGTTGAAATGGTTTATGACGGTAGTACAGGGGCCATGGTGAGTTCAATGTGGTTTTGGGGGGTATCTCACTATCAGAAATAAGTGCTACTAGCTATTTTAGCCTCTTCATTGCCCTGCAGCCAAAGGATTTCGGGGTTTGGGTTTCGGGTTCAGGGTCTAGAGTTTGACGTCCAGGGTCAGGGGTTTTGCATTGTAGGGCCTTTAGGGTTCGAGGCCCCAAGAATAGACCGAAGATAAGGCTGACCACATCACCAACATAGAAATTGCGGCGTCTAGGGTGAAGGCCGACGTTATGGCGTCAATGCCCTTTCAGCTTATCCTTGAACGAACTCTAAAAACCAAACAAAAGATGAACGTGAGACCCTAAACCGTAAACCCTAAAAACCAACTAAAGCCTTCATCCCACTGGCTCTTAGTCGGGAGCGGGGGGGGAAGGCATGTCAATGATGGTCCCTTGTACTGTAGTAAACCCTGTAATCCCCCACTACGAACCCTAAACCCTAAACCCGTCGACGATGATCCCTTATAGTTCCCTTTTATCCCCCTAGTAAGAACCCTAAACCATCAACCCAAAACCCTAAACCCTGAAAACCCTAAGAACCCCAAGAGCCCTAAAATACCCAAGAGCCCTAAGAATCCTAAACCCGAAGAGAGCGCCGAGGCCACGGGCGCCGCAGTGCAGCTCGGAACAGCGAGCTGGTCACAGCCTCCGAAGAAGGCCGGGCCGCAGGTTCGGCGCGGGGGGGGGGGGGGGGGTAGAACTCTATAACTCTAAGGTTTAGGGGTTTCTGTTTTTAAATTAGAAGGTTTAGGGTCTAAAGTATACAAGATTAGAAGAAATGTTTATGATTTTGGGTTTTTGATTTAGAATTCGACTATACGAGATATGTTTATGGTCTGGAGTGTTTTATTTTAAGATTTATCGCGTTTAGAGTGTGGGGCATAGGGTTCAGCGAAGAGAGTTTGACCAGGGATTTTATGGGGCGTTGAGTGCCGATTGACACAGAGGTCGGAAGAGTTGAATAGTTTACTCGAGGATTTCCGGGCTCCTGAATAGACCCTATTCTGATTGCTAAGTGCCACCCTTTTTTACGGGTTCCTCATTTTTCCAAGTTTAGGTCTCATGGATAGCCTTATGTTCCTTCGTATGGGACCTTGTATAAAGAGCACTTCGCTAAGCCAGTCTTGGGAACCACGTTCTCAGACCCTGGAACCTGCAAACTGCATCTTAGAAGCCCCACACCTGCACCCTGAATCCTCAATACCAAATGCTAAACCCCTAACCCCCGTAATGCATGCTCAACAAACACTAGCAAAAGCTGGGAAGAACAGACAAAAAAAGTAGCCCACATTTGCGGTGTAGGGCTTACTTGGAAAGGATCCTCAGAAGGACCCTTATTCCCTTTTTGTAGTCCTAGGTTCCTTATAAAGTTACCCAATACCAAAAAGAGAGGCCTTCTTATTCTTAGGTTACTGGGTATCCTAGTAGCCCTGAGCCCTAACCCTAAACCCCTAAACCCGTAAACCCTAAACCTTAAACCTCTAAACCCTACACCCCCAAGCCCTAAACTGGGTATCCTTGGAAAGGATCCTCAGAAGGACATCTCCCTGCAGCAGCTGCTGCGCCTTGCCAGGCCAAAGTGGGGCGTCGCGTGGCACTGGAATGGTGCAGAATGTCGAGGGTTTCGGCAATGGGTTCTGTACTTCAATTCCCGAAACCGTACCCCTTAACGATTTAATACAATTGTTATCTAAATCCTGCATTACCCATCATAAGGAATATACCATAATTCCCATACTTTAGGTTCCTTAAGGTAATGCAGGATTTATATCGACAGCCGTAAGGATTCGCGCGCGAGGCTTCTTGTTTCGTGGTTTATGATTGCGGGGGTTTTGGGATTGCTTGGGGCTTCAGGGCTCCTTGGGTTGAGAGCCTTCTGTCAAAGGGGAAAAGGAGGGACCCTTAATGGGGACCCCTACCCTATAATGGGCTATATAATGGGTATATAATAGCTACATTAAGGGTATATACCTAGGGGTCCTTAGTTAAAACTTAGTTTACTTGGAGGCTCATGGGACTTAGTCAGTAAGGTTATAAGTCTTATTGGCTGTAAACTCAACTTTTCAACTTTTGGGGTTCTTATAAGGTAGTCGATTCTGAAAGTTTCAACTTTTAGTTCCTTGGATTTTCGGCCAGTGAGAAGTAGGTTATACTTAGGATAACCCCACTTAGGGGACTTATAACCCCACGTATAGCCTAATTACTAAGTCCCATGATCCTCCAAGTAGGGCTTTGGGGCAGTAGCACGCGATACCGGTTTTCCTATGTGCTTAAAGCCTTCTCAATCATTGCCCATCTCAACATGTCTACATGCTGAACAAAATATTTAGAGCTTGGGTAATATCACTTCTTCTGATGACTTCGTTTTTGTCATCAGGGTCCTTGCCATAAACAAGTCGTTCAAACAAAGCTGCTTAAGCTGCTTCCATCTAACAGCAGGTAGCTTGCTAATTTTCATGTCCCTCAACCCCCACCCGAAACCCCAAACCCTAAACCGGAAACCCTAAACCCCAAGAGCCCAAAAAAAACAAAACATAATCCGACCCCCAAGCCCGAAACCCTAAACCCGACACCCTAAACTCTAAAAACTCAAAAGCCCCCATAACCCGACGACCCTTTAGACGACAAGCTCTGAGGCCAAAGACCTGGAGGCAGCTGCAGCAAAGCTGGACGCTGTCGGCTGCTTTGCTCGATTAAGGAGGGGCCCTTAATGGGGTTTAGGGTTTAGGGATTTAAGGGTTCTAGGGTCTAGGGTTTAGTGTTTAGACGTATATCTACTCCAAGGGTAAAAGGAGGGGCCCTTAATAAGGACCCCTAGGTATATACCCTTAATTATATAGCCCATTATAGGGTAGGGGTCCCCATTAAGGTTCCCTCCTTTTCCCCTTTGATCTATATAGTCTGTACACATGGGTGGTTGTCAAATTAGGGTCCCCTTTTGGGTACCCTAAATATAATAGGTGCCGTATTATATAAGGGACCCGAAGGGATCATAATTTTGACAACCACCCATATATCCATATAGCATACGTATATGTAGATATTATGTGTATTTATATGTGGATTTATATGTGTATATATATATATATAGATATATACATATGTGTTATGCGCGGATGTTGTACGGGTTTATTCTGGTGTTGAAAGATTTGTTCTGTCGGTCCCTGGGTTCCTGGGGCTTCAGGGTTCACATAGACGTCTGACATTGTAATCATACTGTATTGGGTTTAGGGTTTAGGGTTTAGGGTTTAGGGGTTTAGGGTTTAGGGGTGTAGGGGGGAGGGGTGTAGGGGACTACATTTCCTTAAATAGGCCTTATGAGTCCTTATTATGGGCCTTAAGGCCCCCTACCCCCCCTCCCCCTACACTCCTAAGGATCCCTATGAATTACTGTGGTTTGACGTTTACCGTAGAGGTCTGTATAGTCCGAGCACCTTTGTTTTGAGTCCCTACAGAAATATGCAGCAATGTAACCCGTAAAACTTAAAGCATTCCGCTTGTCAAAGCCCCAACACGAGGATGCTTCGGGGAGGTGTGTCCATTTTGGATCTACATGAGGTTGTTGAGGTTGACAGTAGGGTTTAGTTTAGGGTCTAGGCTGCTGATTCGAGCGTCTGGGGTGTCGGAGTGGAGCAAGCGCCTTTAATATCTTCACCCAACTCTAAACCCTAAACCCTAAACCCCTAAACCCTAAACCCTAAACCAAATTTAATATCTTCACCCAACTCTACATCAAAGCTGCAGGGGTGTGAGGGTTGCCTGGTTCGGGCACAGGACGCCTCCCCCAAACCCCAATGAACCCGAAAGCCTCCAAAAAGCACAGAAACCCCACAGTTGCCTGAACGCAAAGCCTGCATGATTGAAGTCACAAGACTCGCCTTGAAACACAAGGCTCCGGTTCCTAATCCCTTATTTGCGGGTTCACCTTCCTCAAAAACCCTAGTAAAACTGCTTTCATATCCCAGCGATAAGTCCCCCCCCGTCCTCCACTAGTATCATTCCGTCGTTCATAAGGGTTTAGGGTTTTATGACCCAAGTTATATTGAGGTTGTAAGTATATGGCTGTGACCAGGTCGTAAATACCCCCCGCCTCCACGTACGCGGAACCCCAAAATCCTACGCCTCAAAAGCAATACCCCATTAAGCCCCTGTAAACACCTTAATAACCGTAGGGGTACTGAGAAATAACTTTTAACCGTTGGTTCCGATTATAATCCCTAGGAAACAGCCAAAATTATTTTTTGCGTTAGTGTCTAAGGTCAGTATAGATTTTAAACCCCAATAACATATTACTTACTTACAGATTCGAAAGCGGGATCAGCTGACGAGCCGGCCCGGCTGTTTGTTTACGGTTTAGGAGTTTAGGGTTTGGCGGTTTAAAGTTTGGGGGGCTCAGGGGTTACTTCGGGTTTAGGGGTTTTCTAGTTTAGGGTTTAAGGTTTAGCATTTGGTGGTACAAAGCTGGCTTAGGGCTTCGGTCTAATTTGCGGCTTTAGTACTTGTTTTGCCGAGGGCTTGGCAACGTGAAGGCCCTCGCCGCAGAGTTGCGCGAAGGTGACGTCAACATGTCCCTCGGCAGATTCGATGGTTGAGCGTTGACTTGATCCTGGGTTTGGAGTACCATACTTGAATACTTTTTTTGAAACTGTTCCTTAAAGGAGCCATTATGACATAAAAAATGCTACACGTTTTGCTCCCTGGTTATGTCAAAGTCCAGTGACTCTATTCAAACTTAGTTGTCTACCCTAAGGCCCCAAAGTAGTTCCTTTTGGGGGTTCGTATATAGAATCCTATCAGGTAATCCCAAAAAAGAACTACTTTGGGGCCTCTGGGTAGTTTTGCTTGCAGAGCCTGAGAAGGAGGTTTGTGGGCTTTGGGAGTTTGTCGCGAGCAGCTACGGCCAGAGCTTTGTCTTTTAGGATTTCGGTGTTGAGTGATTTGTCTTCAGTTCTTCAAGACAAAACCCTTCGACTGTCAGGGTTCATTTTAACTTAGTCTCCTTAGAAATTATTGTTTTTGTTCATATACAAACCCAAGAGGGTTCTTAGTAGGGAATGAGGGAATGGATTATGGAGACCATTAATGGGCAGTATTTATTATGTAGGGACTACTATCGGGATCCAGTCCACATTCCCTACTAATCACCAGACAGTTTCAGGACTCAGAGATTGCGTCCGAAAAAATGTTAGTAATAAGTACTACCCCAAATAACCTACCTTATTAGGGACTTATATAAAGAGATCATATAAGAGGGCCCTAAAAAGGTAGGTTCCTTAGGGTCCAGGTAGTTATTTCTCAAGGCCCTGAAACCCTGAAACCCTGAACCCGAAATAGTTTAGGGTTGATGGTCTACGGTGCCGGTCTGTGACTTGTGTGTTCAGGGATGGGTCACTGTTTCGGGTTCAGTGCTCATCATAACCATAGCTGCCATTTGCCCTTATAGAATCCTAAATGTAAATAAAGTTGGTTGAACCCATGAAGGAAATACACCATTATGTGCCCGCTTGGGTTTGGGTTAGTGCTGCTTAGGGGGCAGCGCTAAGTGACAAACATACACCCTAATTCCTTATCCCCCAACCCTAAAACCTAGAGCTTAAAGCCTATACCCTAACTCCCCACTCCCGAAGAAGAGAAAGGGACAACTCGCAGAAGGAAGCTCCGTACTGGTGGCTTCCGAACCTTCGCCCCCGAGACGCTGAAGGCAGCAGCAGAGGATTTTGGGCTTTGGGGGTGGTTTTGCTTCTATATTTCGGTGGGATGGCTGTGCGCTGGAGCCTTTGGATAGTATAGTAGTCTCTATTGCAGGCCCTCCGGTATTTCGGTGTCGGACTTCATTCCCAAGAGACCGGCAGAATCATAGTCCCTTGGGGTTTAGGGCGTTCTGGCTTTCGGGTTTTAGGGTGTCGGGCTTAGTATCTTTTGCCAAAAGTACCTGCAGACCGACTCGAACTTGCGGCTGGGACCAACGACCGCTGAACCCCTAAACTATCAACAACGAAATATTGAGGCTATGCGCCAGACCACTTGTTTCAAGCAGCGAGAAACAAAAAGCTTCGAATCCTGTTTCCGAACTCAAATCTCCAGACACCGAGCCCCGAAAGCCTATGCCGCCCAAGCCCAGGATGGAGGTTGGAGAAGGCATAAAACTGTGTAAGAACATTCCCTTGGATAGTCCCTCATGCCATGTTCTAAAGCCGAAACGCTTTTCGAACACTTCATTGCGGCAGCCTTTTTCTTGAAGCTCGGTCCTTGTTACGGGACCGAAGCCCTATTCCAGTTATAAAGGCCCCTATAATGTGATAATCTTGAACGGACCCAAACCCTAAACCGTAAGAGCAACGCAATATCTGCCTGCAGGCGCTCGTAGAAGCTGCTGCTGAAGACGACCGGTGCGATCCCGTGAGCAAAATGAACACTGCAGTAACTAAAGGGGCCTAAATAATTCCCAATACTATTTTGGTGGTTCATCATTACTAATTTAGTATAATGGGCCCCAAAACCCTAGTCTAGTTAGTGCGGCCCCTATATTACGGTTTTCGGGTTCAGGGTTTAGGGCCAAGGGTTTAGGGACGAGGGCGCAGGCTGCAAAGTTGAGAGGATGCTGCATCGACTTTTGGGTTTTTCGGATGCTGGTTTGCTGGAATTTCGCATACTTGGAGGATCATGGGACTTAGTAACTAGTTATAAGTCCCTTAATTGGGGTTATAAGTACTTATATCTATAGTTACCCCAATAGTAACCCTAGTTACTAAGTCCCATGATCCTTTAAGTAATACCGGATTCAGAGCTTTCAAACTCACGGAAAGCTGCTGGGCCCTTCTTGATGTGCCAGCGCAAAACTTCAGATCCCCATCAAACTCCCAATCCCAATCTCAAGCTTAACCCCTGAAGCCCTGAAAGCCTAAACCACAAAACCCTCAAGCTCTACTTGGAGGGTCGTGGGACTTAGTAACTATAGTTATAAGTCCCTTAATTGGGGTTATAAGTAGTTATAAGTAGAGTTACCCCCAGTAATAACCCTAGTTACTAAGTCCCATGATCCTTTAAGTAGCCCTTTACGGACATACTTGCGCTTTGGGGATCCGGCTTAGTTCAAGAAGCCCTTAAACCCTGAAGCAGCCGCTTTGTGGTTGACGGCAGGGTTCTCGGTTTAAGGTTTTGGGTTCAGGGGTTTAGGGTTTGCTTAGGGGGCACTTCTAATTGTGCGAAAGAGGAAAGCGGAAAGCCTCAACCCCCATGTTGATTTTAGAGCACGTCAAGCCCGTAATAGTAAATCAAACTCCATACCCTGAAAATGTCTGATGTTGGAAGACGGTTTTGGGGCTTTGAGATTATCCTTCGTTTCGGGAAGTCAGATCTCTGCGGGCCTTGGGAGGTACGAGGTCCCTCAGTAAGTAGTCCGTTTTCGTTTGTGGTCTCCGCATCAAAAAACCCTAACCCCTAAAACTTACTCTAACAAAGAATAAAGGGTCATACAGTCATACAGAAGCCTGAATCATTACCAATCTGCCCAAGCTCCGAAACCCTATTCAAATCCGTGAGGCCCTTGTATATACCGAAGAACTTGGACTGTGTGGCTTAGAGTTACGGATTGTCTTAATATAGGGCTTAAAGAAAATTACCAATACTGTTTCGGTGGCTCCTTATTATAATTGTAGTATAATGGGCCCCAAAACCCTATTCTAAATTATTAACACCCCTATATTGCGCATAGAGGAGCCAGAGGAGGACGATGAGGAGGAGGCCTGCTTTTCGGGTTTCCTCTTGACGCTTTCGGGGTTTGGCCCTTAGGGTTGGGTTAGTAGAGTTTGCGGTTTTAGGATTTGGGGCTTTACAGTTTATGGCTTGGGGTTTTAGGGATTGGGCTGTAAGGATTGTGGGTCAAATGTGTGTTGTGTTTTTGTTGTTCGGTGTTTGTTCTGCGGAGGCTCTAGGATTTGCACCGTGAGTATATGGAGGCTTGAATAATTCGTACGACTATCCTCTTCACAGTCCCTGTACGCGTCTAACCATGTCGAGTCTGATATAACCCGAAACCCTACTCTAGTTACTCAGGCCCCTTCATTAGGGCAGGTTATTTCCCACAGTTCCGAAGCAAGGTATTCTTTCGAAGCTGCTCGGGCGACTTGTCCCGCGTACCCAGAACCGTAGTTCTGTTAGGTTAAAAAAGGGCGTTTCCGAAAATAGGGGACCCTAATTACAGTACCCTACATAGTAGGATCCTCATTATACGGACCCCAAAATAAGGCACCCCTCGTTTCCGGAAACCACCCAGATATGATCGTCCTGATCTCTAAACCCTAAACCCTAAACCGCATAAGAGGCCCTTTCAGTTTCGAGGGTTCAGGGCTTGGCTTCGTCCTGAAGCTGCAACAGGGGCCCTTCAGAATCTGAGTATGGAAGCCTTCTTTGGGGCTGCTAGGTCGATATGACTTCAGTTACCTTACTTGTAACCCTACTTACTAAGTCCCGCGATCCTGCAGGCAGGATTTGGGTTCACGAACCCATAAAGTTCAATCTTATTGGGGTTGTTGAAGCATTCGTGTCTGCGTTCATAGAGACGCCCGAATAGTCAGAATACGGTTTGGGTATGGTATGGCATAGTACAGCTGCACGGAGAGAGGCAAAGGCAAGTCATATCCAAATACTGGACCTCTACATGCAACCTCGTACATCCCTAAAGCCCAGAAACCCTGATCTTCGCTACAGCCTGTGAACCCTAGCATTTTGCAGCTTCGGCGGGGTTGTTAGGCTTGACTGAGGGACGCTTGCACAAGTTTTCGCAAGACTTTTGAGACCCTCAAGCCCAAACTTACCTTTGGTTAGTAGGGAATGGAAGAATGGTAGTAATAGTAGTCATAATTGTACCCCATTCCTCCATTCCCTACTAACCAAAGGTAAGTAAACCGTAAACCGGATTCTATAGGGAAGTGTCTCGAAAATGTAGAGGGTTCGTATTTCATCTCATACAGCAGACCTGGTCCATGAACGACTCCTGCTGAACAAGGATAGCAATTGCCGTACTACCTGGCCCTCTAAAAGAAGACGGTGTTGACTAATCGGTGGTTTGCACGGCGTACTGGTTGGAAATTGGTTTTGTGTCATGGTGAGAATCGGCGGACCGGCTATACAGTAGAAATTAGACATCCCTCATTTTATTCACTGTGTTAGGGCACCTTCAGTTACACGCTTGGTCTAGTCCTGAAGCCAGAAGCCTTACAAGCCCCAAACCGCTCAAGCGCTGAGCCCACTAAAACCCTCTGTTATGCCTGCCCCCGCCCTACCAAGAAAACTTACAGGTGTCTCGACAAACAAGCCATGAACAAAAACAGAAAGAATACTATAGAAAAACACTATATATCTCTATGCATACAGGTACATATACAGATGCAAATGTAAGTGTACCAAGCAACAGCAACACTCTACTCCATAACAATGCAAGAGATATTTAGAGACCGTCCTCTGTGCTTTCAGGTGCCGGTGGAAGACTCCAAGTCATTGCCTTCGACTGAGGTCTAGGCGTTCAGGATGTAGGGTTTATGTGGTCCACCCGAAGCACTGCGAAAGCCTCTGACCGTAATGCCCTAGTCGTCAGAATCGCGCTTCGGTGGCCCTACAAGGCACGCACACTCATCAGAGAAGCGAACGTAGGTTCCATTTTCGGTGCTACCTTATAAGAGGGAGTAGAGCCAGCCACAATCAGTCAGGCAACTACGGCTGACCCAGTAGGTGTAACGCACCTCTCACCGCACCTGTAACTGCCCAGTGGACCTTCAACTCTAAAACGAGCGCTACAAACCACAAGCTTGCGGAAACCTTATTGAAACCCTGTTGACACCCACCCTAAACCCTAAACCCTAACACACCCAGGGACGGCCGATTAAAGCCCGCCCCAAACCCTAAACCCTAAAGTCCCGTAGGCCGGACATTAAACCCTGGGTGGAACCAGGAATAAGCCCTTTGAGGGCTCCTTTTGGGGTTTTCTTTTGGAGTTAGGTATGAGGTTCCGGGTTTAGGATGTCGGGTTCTTTCTTTTGGAGTTAGGTTTGAGGTTTAGGGTGCCTGGCAGCGTTGGGCTCCTGTTGGGATTTAGGGTTTGGGGTTTCGGGGTTTGGGTGGCAGGTGTAGGATATAGGGCAATTAGGCCCCTGTTCAATGAAGCCCGTCGGATGCACAGTAACCTCGGAATAAAAAGAGCATCCTTCTTGGTATTGGGTCGTGTTGGAATCACAAAAAATGGAAAAGGGCCCAGTGCGAGACCTGGCTATGAAAGGACCCCAATACTGCACAACTTATTACCATGCTGACCCTACTTGGAGGCTCATGGGACTTAGTAAGTAGGTTATAAGTGGGTTATAAGTCCCCTAAGTGGGGTTATCCTAAGTATACCCTACTTAAAACCTTACTTACTAAGTCCCATGAGCCTCCAAGTAAGCAAGTTCAGTCGGGGGTCTACCTTGCAAGCAACCCCGAACTCTTCAAGCAATCCCTAGCCCCAGGAAATCTCCTTCACTTTTTCCGTTTGGAACGTTTACTAGGTTCCCCAGTAATACCTACCCCTGTTGCACTTTTGCTTTTTGGGTTCCCTTATGAAAACAAATGGTAGGAAAAAGGGTACCCTTTTTATTAAGGGGCTACTGGGGAACCTAGTTTATAAGACCCTAGACAAGCCTGTGGAACCCTGATAGCGAAGCGCTCTCGAACCGTGTAGAAGCGGGACGAAGCCTCTTGACCCTCTTTATCCAACCCTAAGGGCCCGGGCACAAGCTCATGTTCTCACTCATCATGGCCCACGGCTCATGTGGCTTTGTATGGAAGAGATGTGGTCCAGAGTGTTTGGTATCATGCCTTCCGTCATTTGGTACACGGCATCCTAAACTGAATCATGCGATCACTGGGTGTTGTGCTAGGAGGGCACACCAGAGCTTGTTCCGTGGGAGACGACAACAGCAAAGGACCTTTCCGGAAGGACCTTCTTGCTGTTAGGGACCCTAAACCCTAAACCCTAAACCCTAAACCCAACCGCAAAGGACCTTTCCGGAAGGACCTTCTTGCTGAGGAGAGCTGTCGAGGCAGGTCTTGCACAGGGCGAGACAACCACTGGACCCTGCTTCCTCTGCACTTACCTTTGGTTAGTAGGGAATGGAAGAATGGTAGTAATAGTAGTTATAATTGTACCCCATTCCTCCATTCCCTACTAACCAAAGGTAAGTGCAGAGACCGCAGAGACCGGCAGTAGGTGGAGATCCCTTGCGTCAAAGGAGGAACAGCTTTCACATCTTCTGCTGGAGGCCCCTATGAAATGACATCGCACCGGCTGTGGGTCGATGAACACGGGAGCCTCCATGCGCAGTACGTGAACGAAGAGAAATTCCTCGCGACGTTGCTACTAAGCACTTCCCCTGATGAAGAGAAGTACTCTGCAGACTGGGCGGGAAGCCTGTTGGAGCATTGGCACTCTCTGCAGATGGCGGTTCTCTTTGACAGATTGCGGTACTTGTCCGAGCACCTTGTCCAATAATTACTTAATTATCCTTAGTCAATCAATTAAACCTTAAACCCTAAACCCTAAACCCTAAACTAAACCCTTTACCACTCTAAACCCTTATCCCGAAGGTATGCAGCATGCCTGGGAGCCTTTTCCAAGCCTGGAGGTCAGGCCCTGCGAGTCGACGCGCCAAACAAAGCTCAAAGCCCAAAACGATCCTTAAGCGTACATCCTGAACCTATAAACCCCGTGGCAGCCCATATTAAATCCCTAAAGAGCAAGGTCCGCGGCCGCCACGGCGTCCACACCTCCTTTGCGCGAAGATGCCAGCACTGGGACGAAGGAGGCGGGAAGAGGGTTTGGCGTTTTGGGTCGAAGTCTAGGGTTGTATGGAAGCATTGATATGCGTAGTCTTCCAACACCGAACATTTTAAGCTCTTTGGGTTGTGCGAAGATAGTGTAACAATTGAAAATGTGGTTCTAGGGTTTGGGGCTGGGGGTTAAGAATGTTGGGAGACAGCTGAAGCGTTTGGGATTCAAGGTTCAGGATTTTCCTAACTAGTATTAGGGAAACCCCTTAACGGATTACCCTTCTTAATCCTACTTCTGGTTCTCCTTTATCCTCACTCCCAGATTTTGGGGATCTGGATTTAGGGCGCACGGGTTTGGATACTCAGTTAAAAATCATTTTCAGAGTGCTAAACTCCAGACCCTGAACGCTAGAATCCTCAGCCCTTTATCCTCAGACCGTCTACCCAAAGGCTCCAAAGTAGTTCCGTTTAGGGGTTCGTATATAGAATCTTATAAGGTAGTCCCAGAAAGGAACTACTTTTGGGCCTGTGGGTAAACCCTAAACCCTCAACCCTACGTCTATCAAAGCTTTTCATCCCACCTCGACCCTTAGACCCAATATCAAACATGAGGAAAATCCAAGGGTAAAAGGAGGGACCCTTAATAAGGACCCCTGGGTATATACCCTTAATATAGCTATATTATATACCCATTATATAGCCCATTATAGGGTAGGGGTCCCCATTGGAAAACATGTGTAGCGACAGTGTCCCGGTTTCGATCCCTATCGCATATGTACCCCGCCCTTTCGAAGATCCTAAGCCCTAAACCCTCATCTTAAGGCCTGCTAGAAATTTGTACAACAATAATCTTTAAAGGAAGCCTATTCCAACTGCTGACACCCCACTACGGCTTAGGGTGCCTAGCTTCGGTCTTTGTGGTTCAGTTGTCAGGGTGTGGCCCTCGGTGTCTCTTTATGGCAGAACAACGGCTTGATGCGGAGTTCAGGGGCTAGGGTTGCGGGTTATAAGGGTTAGGGTTTAAGGTTGTGTGTTCTAAGGTTCTGTGCGGTGTTGCAGGTTTTGGGATTTTAGGTTTAGGGTTTTTATGGCCCTAAATCCTACGCCTAGAGATCTACGGAACTCTAAACCTTAAATAATCTGTTTAGTCCCGCATCCTTGGCTAATTCTCAAAATCAGGTTTCCTTTTCAGGGGGTTCCCTTTGAGAGCTCCTTGTAAGGGTCCGGGGTACCCAGGGACTTCACAAACCCTTGGCGTTCTTCTGGTTGACTCTTAGGACTTTAACTTTTTGGGCTTCTATATGAACTCTAATAAGGGGGCTAAAAGTTTAACTTTTAGGAGGGGTTCAGAAGCCAGCCAAGTTTTAATCAGACCAAGGACCCGTACAGTCTACGGTATATGGCTGAACTAAAGGGTCTGACTTCTATCCCTTAACCTACTGGAACCTACTTCTTTGTAAGTTCTCATTGTAAACCCTGATACGGAGTTTATAGGGACCCTACAAAAACTAGTAGGTTCTGGTGGGCTAAGGTATTGCTGAGCTAAAGGGTCTTGTATCTTCTGGTTTCCGCAATATAGGGGCTGTAACAATTGCCTATACTATTTTGGGGTTCCTTATTATGAGTATAGTATAATGGGCCCTAAAACCCGATTCGAACTATTCAGGCTAAGGCCCCTATAGTTTGTAGTACCCTTATAGATCCCTGTAGCAACTCTTATAGACCCCTTTACAGGAAACCTAATCTGATTGTTAATGCCCCTATGTTAGACCCTTAAGCCCTTAAACCCTAAACCACTAAATCACCAAACCCTAAACCCCAGAACCCTAAACCCTCAACCCCTAACCCTTAACATCCTATTCTAATCCCCTCTCTTATGACATCAGCAGGTCCGCAGAAGGTCGAGCTTCACGCGGACCCCGGGAGACAACGAGTACATCCAGGTGCGCTTGAAAAAATGCCAACTTAGTTCTCCTTAGGGGTACTTAGAAATGCTTCTGAATCTTTAGTTCCTATACTCCCTGAAAACAGCTAAAATTAATTTGAAACGCTGCGCGTCGTCCGCCTCGGCCCGGCTGTACGCGCATGCGGCGAGTGGGTACTATCTGCAGTATCTGCAGCAAGCTCTTGTAGGAAAAAAGTAACAGTTGGAATCGCACTTATAGTAAAAGTAATGTTCATAGCAACACGAAGCAGGATGATTGTGAGTAGTATTAGTAGTGGTAGTATCAGTACGAATTTTGGTGTCGTCATTCCGAAACACTGGATACGAAGACTCTCGCAAGCGGCGGGATGCCTTAAGTAAGGGCCGTTGAGGTTGGCTGGGGTTTAGGGGCCCCCAACAAGTAAAGATGCTACATTACAGTCCCCTGTCGTCGGAAACTCTCACAGTGTTGCAAGCCTTGGCGCCCTTTGGCCCAAACACCCGACTGCAGGGAAGCGGGAAGGCAGGCAGGGGGGAAGGGAGCAGGGAGTGAGCATAATGAATCGGGAAAGTGGTGGGAAGAGGAAACAGGGAGAGGGGGGGGTGAAGGGGTGGGAGGCACGGGGGTGGCGCGAAAGGGGGGGGAGGGGGTGGGGGGGTGGGGGGTGGAAAATTGGGTGGACTGGCTACAGAGAGCCAAAATCCGTTGGAAAAGGCGAGAATTCACTGGCGGACCTTGGGCCTACCAGACACGTTTCCATTTTTAAGGGGGGGTTAGAGTGGAGGAAATCCGAATAGAAAGTGGGGTGGGACTCCACTCGGGATGCAACCCGGAGGTGCTTGCGGCCCTCAGGCTGGCGCTCCGTGATTGCCACAGCTGGATCGTGGTCGGGGACTGGAGCCGAGACAGTGGGGGGGGCCTTGCTTGCCCCCGAGGGTCCGACCATCACCACTGGCAATACCCTCGATTACGCCCTCATGGGTCGAGGCGAACTTGTGGTTTTTGCAAGGGGTCTACGTTCAGTTTGAAACTTAGTTCTCTATAGCATCCCATACCAACTCCCCTAGACCAAAAAACCTAAACCGAAGCCGCAGGTTCAACTCGCCAGGTTTCTGGGTAACACCCTTGTGCCCTTTATCTTTTTGGGTTCCCGTACTAAAGCTGAACATTAGGAACTTAGTTCTGCAATGCCTAACCTTTCAACTTTTTGGGGTCTAGTGGTAGACTGAAAGTTTAATCTCGTGTTTTGGTGGCTAATTGGGGGAGTAAGCTAAACGAATTTTATGTTGTGGGTTTTAGATTTGGCGGTTTGAGAAGGTCGACGGTGCAGCAAAGTTGGGTCGTCAACACTCTCGGACCATTTCAGAGCCCGTTCCCAGCACCCCAGACCCCAAACGCTAAACCCCAAAGTCTAATCCCCGGCAACCTCACATGCTTCAGGATCCCACAGGCAGAACCCTCGAGCAAAACCTTGCCTCTCCTCCTTGGGTTCTGCGCTTTGAGGGCTTCGGGTTTAGAGTTAGAGGGTTTCGGGAACCAAGCACGAAGCTTGGACGGGAAGGCTTGGGTTCGGTCATATTTCGTCGGGCGCCTTGCCTTAAGTATGTATTTATTATATTTATATAAGCAAGTAAATACATGAGTAGGTATATGTATATGTATATATATATATATATATATATATATATATGTATATGTGTGTATATATATATGTGTGTGTATATATATACGCTTCTACTTACATACACACACACACACACACACACACACACATCAAAACCCTCATTCTTCTCCGAAGGAGGCTTTCTAGCGACTTCTGGAGGCCTTCAGGCAGTTCGAAAAGAGCCGCTGAACAAACAAAAAAGCAAGCTTCTAACCCTAAACTCTAAACCCTAAGCCCTCAACCCCCTTCTAGAAAAGGAGGTTTAACAAGAAACTACACCCCTAAACCCTCCTCACCCTGAAACCTGAGAGCCAGAAGCCCTTCCAGAGCTTGCACAGCCCCAAAGATGGCTTTTCGGGTTTTAGGGTTCTGCTCCTTTCTTCGAGGAGGTCGGTCTTTTATATGCGGTTTAAGTTTGGGGGGTTTGGGGTTTCATTTAAGGGGTTCAGGGTTACGGGGTTTGGGGTGGGGTGTTGGGAGCATCTCCAAGAGGCAGATTGCGGCTGATCTTCGACGATGAGTAGTAAAGTTTTTTGCCATGGAAGGTGGCAGTGCGAATTCGGCCCTTCCTGAAGCGCAACGAGGGCGAGCGCAACACGCTGCCGAACCGGCATGATTTTTCGGTGGCTTTGGATTGAGGGTATGTGGGCCTAGCGGATTCGCAATAAGCAAAGCAAATTGGAGTTTCCGACAATGGGGGTACCTTATTTCGGGGTCCACATAATAAGGATCCGACTATTTAGGGTACTATATTAGGGTCCCCTATTTTCGGAATGTCCCACATGAAAGGAGCACGAGGGTTTAAGCTTTGGAGCTTTGGATGTTTGGGGATTGGTTAAATGCTTCACGGCTTCCTAACCCTGAACCCTGAACCCTAAACCTAAGGAAAAGCCTCACATAGAATTTTTGTGGTTGGTACGCTTTGCTGTTCAATGTTTGGGCTTTCAGGGTGGAACTTCCGGGTTCACTGTTTAGGGCTTTAGGCTTAGAGGGTCGAGGGTTCTACGGGTTTAGGGGTTAGGTCCAGGGTTAAGGCTTAGGGTTTAGGGTTCAGGCAGTGGGTTTAAGGGTTTGGTTTGTGTCAATATGGCCGTCAGATTTCACGCAAGATTGCTACCTGACCATGCAAGTAGAGTGCTTTGGGTGCTCAGCACGGAGGTCTAATGAATCCTAAACCCCAAAACTTCACCCCTAAACCCCTAAAGCTTCAGCCCTAAAGCAATAAACTTTACATCGCGTGTTCAATATAGTAGGGGGGGCAGAAACCGCCAAGTCTTCAGAGTTTCAAGCTGCAGTACGAACCCTAAGCCCTGGCACCCTAAACCCAAACCGCAACCCTAAACGCCATAGACTTGGCCCTTAGCCCTCTTCAATCAATTATTTTGAGGGGGGAAGCATTGTAGTATCCTTAAGGGAGGAGGGTCCAATGGGGGGTATATAGCCTAGTGATCCCTAATATTCTCCCTGGTAAACTCCCTAAGGTTCCCTTACAGTCCCCTAAGGATCCCTTGTACCCTCCCCCCTTGAACCACCCTCCCTTAAGGACCTATAAGAAGCAGAAGAAGACTTGAATCTCGTCGCCCAGTAGTCAAAACAAGGGGCCGTAATAGTCAGAACAGTGTCTTGGGGATGCCATACTATACATATAATTAAGAACCCCCCCCCCAGAATAATCCTGTGCAACTTTTTGAGGCTTCGTTTGTACCCTTGTACGGTTGGGCCTAAACAGAAGAAGACACTATTCAGAATCATTATTGATGAATGATTAATGCAGGGGCTGTAGAATGAATGACCAAGACTATTTTGGGGGGCCTCCTTATTCGACTTGTAGTATAGTGGTACCCAAAACCCTATTAAGATTATTAAGGCCCCCATAATATAACCAAGACTATTTTTTGGGGGCTCCTTATTCGACTTATGTATAGCGGGCCCCAAAACCCTATTAAGATTACTAAGGCCCCTATAATAATCAAGACTTTTTTTGCGGGCTCCCTATCAGACTTATAATATAGCCGGCCCTAGAACCCTATTACAATTAGTAAGACCCCTTTTTTTGAATCAGCGCCGGGATTCTGGCGGGGCCGAGGTCTGTGGACCCGGACAACCAGGCCGGGGCTTTTGAACCTGGGCCTTTGATATTTAGGCGGTTGCCAAAATTATGGGCCCCTTTTGGGGTACTCTAAATAATAGATGGGGTATTATATTAGAGACCCAAAAAGGGAACCATAATTTTGACAACCGCCCATGTTTGTTTTCCCTAAACCCTAAACCCTATGCCGATCCTTCTGGGGTTGAGCGCCTCTCAGTAGTTAGTGTTTTCTTCGTGATCAGAGAGCTGATCATCGAGTTGTGTCTTTTTGTGCATATGGCTTGTTTCTGTCGGGTGGTTGAAAGGGTTTTGCGGGGTTTTACATGCTCAGTATAGGCTCAGTATAGGGGTCTTAATGTCTCGAAGAGGTTTTGGGACTTCGCCATCGATGTTCGGAGAGTACTTGGAGGTTCCAGGGGTCTTGTGATGAGGAACAACAGCGCTAGTCACTAGTCATTAAAAGCAACCCACAAACAGTAGCCGTTTACACCTGCGGCTGTTGTGACGCAAGTAGTTCTTACCTTCCGAAGTGTATGTTGAATTGCTTAGGTGGCTCCGAAGTGAACTGTTCGGGTTGACCTACGACTGGTTTTGAGCCCTCAATAGTTGTTGTCGCTGCCCTGTTAGAAGGGGCCCCCACCCTGCAATAGTGACTACAAGGATTATGTTAGGGCCCCATTATATTCCTATTATACCACTACTACAGGGTGGGGGAGCCCTTCTAGCTGCCCTGTCTGAAGATAACATCGAGTCCCAAAACGGCCCGGCCCACCGTTTAGGGTTCAGGGTTTAGGAATTAGGCTTTAGGGTTCAGGGCTTAGGGTTTTGGGTTCAGGGTTTTGGGTTTTGGGTTTAGGATTTAAGGTTTAGGGTTTAGGGTTATGGCAGTTCTTGTTTGAAGAGTTATCTCTTTGCCACAGTCTCCTTGCAAATCAATTGTTTATCGGCTTTCGCAACTATCACACCCTGTGCTTCTTGTGCGGACTGGCTCCATGCGGACAATAATAATTGGCTTTCCGAGGCCATTTCCCTAAATGTCGACGGGCCAACTCGACAGCGTCCCTGGCGCTCAAACGCTGAAAGGGTCTTGCGCTCTTCAGCACGCCATTCGATTGTCCCAAGAGTATCATCTACCCCTGGTTGCTGGCAAGCTTGACATTGCCAGTGCTTTCGATCATCTCGATCACGGAGCTATGTCCAAGTTTCTCCACCTAAATACTTTGACCGCGCTAGGAGGCCGAGCTTCTACTGCTCATTATGTCCTTCATCGGGATGTCTGATGCTGAGTGGCAGCAGACCTTGACCGCGGCATTTTCCAGGGCTGTTCTTATTCAGATGAGATTGTCGCACGAACCGTGGATCACTTTTACTTGGGTGCTACGTCACGGAGTCCGCAGTGCATGGCACCTTGGGGTGTCGTGTTTAGGGTTTTAGTTGTCTGAGGCTTTCTGATTCAACATGGAGCCAGAATAGATAATACCCCTACTAAACCCTAACACCATTACAGTCCCTACATAGTCGTACTACAGTACGCACCAAGACTCCGTTCCTAAGGTTATGCCCAGGGCTTTGGTGGTTCTGCTGGTCCCATACATGAAGTGCTACTAGGAGGCCATGACCCGGAACCCCAAACCCCTAAACCCCTTGACCCACTAAAACCCAAACTCTAAGACCGTAATGTACATGAATGTAGGGGCCTTAATAATTGAAATAGGACTTGGGGGTATGTCATACTCTAACTGTAATAAGGAACCCCCAAAACCATATTCTAATCATTAAGGCCCCTGCCTTACATGGGTAGCTTTGGTTTACTTCTACGAAGCGTTCAGGCCTTGAGCAGATGGTAATCTTGCAAACGGCTAATCGGTTTAGGGTTTCGGGTACCCAGACCCCCGGGAGGATCCAAAAATTAGATCCCCTATAATGGGGGTTTCTATAAAGTACCCTTAGTAGTACAGGGCCCCATATTAGGGGATCTACTTTCTAGATCCTTTTGGGGGTTTCGGATATGGGGTTTAGGGCTTAGGGGGCCTCAATGATTGAAGCGGTGCTATAGGGTGCTCTTGCCGCATGATTGTATAGGTCCTGTAATAAGGAGATACCCTTACTAACTATTCAGACCTTCCCTATCTCTTTATTGGATCCCAAACTCCATCCAGCTGATCTCCCTCCGATCCACCAACCTTGTCACCAAGTTATATTCTCGTACTCTCCTGAAACTCAAAAGTTCCACCAAGTGTATATAGCTTGACATTGTTGGGGTTTTGCTGGGTGGCATAGTGTAAAGCCTTATTATAGCCTTATCATGCACGACAGAACACCATGCAACCCCACAGCCTTGTAAAACTCCGTAACTTTCACCTAAAAACACCAAAGCCCGCGTCTCCAACATATGGGAGTTTCCGAAAATAGGGACCCTAAGTACTAAATAGTAGGATCCTTGCTATGAAGACACCAAATAAGGTACCCCGAATTTTTGGAGACTGCCATCTCCTGAACCCTAAACCCTAAACTCTAAACTCTAAATCCCCAAACCCTAAATCCCTAAGCCCGAAACCCCTAAACCCCTAAACCCTAAACCCCTAAATCCCTAAGCCCCTAAACCCTAAACCCCTAGACCTTAAACCCTAAACCCCTACACCCCTACACCCTAAATCCCTAAATTCACCAAACCCGCGAGCAGGTGACGCTGGAATCGAAAGGCGCCGAGCGCAAGTCCTCGGGGGTCCGATGCCGAGTCTTACCTGGGGTAACTATACTTATAATTGCTTATAACCCCAACTAAGGGACTTATAACCATAGTTACTAAGTCCCATGAACCTCTAAGTATATTCTGATACCCTTACCCAGCGCCTCCAAAACCCCTTAATTAAGGAGTATTCCTTAAATCATATTTGGGGTCCTACTACAATGTAAAGTATATTCCTTAATTAAGGGATATTGGAGTCTCTGGGAACATTGGGCAACCCTAGTAGTCGAGTAGGGAACTTTTAACCTTTTTTGGGGTAGTATAGTTCCTATATAATCCCTATATGACCAAAAAGGTTAACCTTTAGTTCCCCATGATACCCGACAAGTAGGAACCTCCTCAATTCAGGGGTTTAGTGTTTAGGGCTCAGGTTTTTGCAGTCAGTCCAGGGTTTTCGGGTTGTAGAGGTTTTCGGTGCTTTTGGGTCTAGGGTGTCAGGTTTTTTTCGTGGCTCTAAGTTTTTGGGGTTTAGCAGGGTTCGATCTCCGTGAAGGGATCTATAAGGTTACTACAAGGGCAAATATACCGTGCCTTCCCGAAGATATAGCTTCGCTAAGGAGAAGAGGGTTTTGTTTGTTTAAGAGGGGTGTATGTAGGGGACTGCTTTGGTAATCAGAATGGTCAGTGGTGCATTGTAGCATAGCATCTAACATAGCGCCTCAATAAGACGAGTAGGGTGTTGGGGGGTATTAAAAACACACACATATAAATACATATATATATATATATATATATGTGTATATCATGCGCCGACCATGGGAATACTACTTATCCATGCCACTCTAGTATTTCAGTGTTCAGGGTTTAGGGCTTGGGTATGTGAGATAGGGTTGGGGTTTAGTAGGGTTTAGAGCTTCCGGGCTTAAGGTAAGGGTTTAGGGTTTTGAGTTTTAGGTTCACTGCTTTAGGGTTGTGTTTTGGTTTGGGGGCTGTGCGAGGAATTCCTAATGCGGGAATATCGTTCAAGTTCTTGGATACTTCTTGAGTGTTGTGCTTTGGCTTCATAGTCTCTTTGCATTAGCGGGATCTCCAACAACATTGTTGCTACCCTCTTGTTTAAAGGCTCGTGTATAGGGCTCCTTTCGAACATCAATGACTGTAGAGCTTGCGATTTGGTATGGGCCTTCGAAGCCGAACCCCAATCGAGAATCTAAGAACAAAATCAATCAGGATTGCCCTCAAACCCCAATCAATCACTGGGAATTGCAGCATAGGGTGCTCGAGCCCAACCCCTCTTGCACATCAAGAGAAACAGAACAGAAAAGCAACACGTATGAGACCTCACTTGTAGACCATGCTTTTGGAAGGCTTTAGTATACAGGGTTCAGGAGTTTTGATTTAGGTTTAGGGCCGACGTTATGGGGAACCTGGCAACACAAAAAGCCCTGCTTCATACAGAGCAGGGCCATACATACAGTGTTCGAGAGAAGCTGATTCCAGGAGCATCCCGAGTTCCTTCATCAATCAGCAGGCATCGGTTCCTGGTATTTCGACTGGACTGGCAGGCAACCTAGCGAATACGGGTGAGCCATGACCCTTAGCCCTAAACCTTTAAACCCCCAAAACCCATTGCTTTCTGGCACGCCTAGGAGCGTGTGCCGTTGCTCACGATGGGGGACATTGGTCCGCCAAATTCTGGTGCACACACGACGTTCCGACGCCGGATGCGCCAAACTAATTCATTTGCACTGGCTTCATCCTGACTGCCTGGGTTCTCGGAGGAGATCACCAGGTTAAGCAAGTCTCGCAAGCGGTTTTGCTACTTGTCGCTGGGGCAGTTACATACTTTTTGACTGATGTGCCTACCCCGAGATTCGTCGCAGTGATTGCGTTTCTGCTCATGGCATCCTTGCTCTTGATTGAGTGGGTATCAGCATGCTCATGGGAGCATGCAATGTCACAGCGGCCTTTGCTTTTGCGTATGTCGTCGCACAAATCCCAATATGCAATGAATATTTCACAGTCTGCGCATCGATTGCTCTTGCAAGATGGGGGTTCACTTGCGTTACCCGTTAGACCTTTGATCTTTCAAAGTTTGAACATTTTGGGGCCCCGTTGTTGAAGAAGAGAGATTAAGGAATATAGCTTAAATCGTCATATTAAGCCCCTTATAGTTCAAGGTATATGCCCTAATTAAGGGTATTGGGCTGTCTGGGTAGACCGTGCACCTGCCATCAATGTGGCCGAACTGTTTGCATTCTTAGAATCTCTGAGGCTCCTCTATACGACCCAAAGGAACCCACGCAAATCCTTGTGCATTCCTCTACGGCAAACCCGAAACCTTAACCCTCAACCGTAAATCCCCTGAGACAAAGATCTGTAGCAACTCTCAGAAACCCGAAACCTTAAATCCCATGAAGCAAAAATCGTATACTCCCAGTCGCCCAGGTGACAGAGTCACCACTCCAGGGAAGCCGTGATGCGGTGGGGGCAGGGTTTCTTCAGGGGCCTCAAAAGGTGGGATGAAGGTAGGTGTGGTACTTTAGGGGTTTAAATAATTACCAAAAACCCTAAACCCTAAACCCTAAACCCTAAACCTTATTGTAAGTATAGTGTAATGGGCACCAAAACCCTGTTCTGACTGTTAAGGCCCCCATAAGCCTATATTAACCCCAAAATAAGAGTCCTTTTATGGGGGTTACCCAGAGACTCCAAAGCTTCTTGTTAATCGATATAGCAATATACCTTACGGTAAGCTACAGAGGAATCCTAGCATAACTTCAAGCGTCTTGCTTATTTCTGGAAAGTGATCCTTTTGGGCTTTGGGGTTACGTCGTTTCGAGTTTTTGATGACTGAGGGGGGTTCCAGAAGGCATTGAAAGTTTAATGCTTTAACGAGCTCCGGCAGATGCGCGAGATTAACACTTCATCCAAACGCTGTGCAGATGCAGCACTCTTGGTACACTTGCAACACCAGGCAAGTGCTTTGACTCAGAACGTAAGTGCCAGATTGCATTTCGTTGCGGTTGGCCTGCACATGCAGTCGTGAGAAGCTCCGAGAGGTTCTCCGCTGTGTGCAGCCAAGCCCAAATTCAATTTTCTCATCTGTTTCCTTATTTCCTGTGATTTTAGACTGTCAATAGTATTATCAATGTCCTCGATGGCTTGCTATGATTTTGGAATCTTTGTTTGTTTTCCGCGTGTTTTCTAGTTGTGTTCCCGTCATTTTTCAGTATTTTCCTGTTCTGTTTACCTGAAGCGAATTCGAATCTGGTTAGTGCGGAGAACTGTATTTTCGTATTTAAATGCATCTCAACATGGACCAGCATCTCCGCTGGTGGGTCCTTAAAACTCTACGGCCCTAAAGCCTAAATCCCGAAAGCCCTGAAGCCGTGACCCTGAAACCGTACACGCAACTCTTGTCCAACCGCCACCACAAACCCTAGTCACACCCAGATCTGATTACCACCTCATTAACTATGGTCTCCTTAGGAATCATTTTTGTTATACTTGTGCATATAAACCCCAAGAGAAATTTAAAACATTATATGACTATTATGGTTCTAAGGGTGTTATAGTTAAAACCCTGCAAAATCTCAACCCCTGCGCTACGCCTCCCCTCATAAACAAGCAAACATCGAACGTTCTTTGGCCGCCCAAGCCACCATGCCAGACGCAGGGCACTCGGACCTTCAAGTTCGACTTTGCCGGGGGCCCATGAGCTTAGGCTGTAAGTTCTACAGTAGAAGCCAGAAAGTTGGAACATGGCTTTAGGAGGATTAGTGCTAGGATCCCTTATACTTTACCTTAAGGGCATGAGGACAATGATGTTCCAACTTTCTGGCTTCTACCCTAAACCCTAAACCCTAAACCCTAAACCCTAAACCCTAAACCCTAAACCCTAAACCCTAAACCCTAAAGGCTTTTTGGGGCTCACTGTTTTGGATTTCGGGTTCAGGGCTTAAGGCGTTGTGGTTTAGGTTTCAAGGGCTTCGGATCTAGGGTTTCGGTTTAGGGTTTAGGGTTTAGGGTTTAGGGTTTAGGGTTTAGGGTTTAGGGTTTAGGGTTTAGGGTAGGGTCCAGGCTTTAGGATTTCAGGTTCTGGGTTGAGGGATGGTTTAGGGCTGAGGGTTTGCACGCTCTTGGGGCATGAGATTTGGAAAAAACCCACTGGGTTCTTCAACATATCACCCCCGTTGCTTTTTGGGCCCCAACAGGGGTGTAGCCTCGCAGGATATGGGGCTTTTGTGTCTGGGGTTTGTCAACTTTGGGCTTCGCTGCGTTTGGTTTTGGGGGTCTCGGGCTTCCCAGAGACTCCAATATCCCTTAATTTACAAAGTATTCCTGAAATCATATCAAGGATCCTACTATAATTTAAGGTATATTCCGTAATTAAGGGGTATTGGAGTCTTCGGGTTCCCGGATCGTGGTGCAGGCTTCAGGATTTGGGGGTTGTAAGCTTGGGAAGCTGGCTCATCCGGGTCATTTGGGCTTACTTGAAGGATCATGGGTAACTATAGTTATAAGTCCCTTAATTGTGGCTTTCAGCAATTATAAGTATAGTTACCCCAATAATAACCGTAGTTACTAAGTCCCATGATCCTTTAAGTAGGGTTTGCCACCGTGAGAGGTTTCCCAGCGATCTCCTCAGAATTCAGAACTTTCGAACGGAGGGGTAGAGACATAATGAAGCCGTCGTTGCGAGCCTAAGCCATGGGTTCGATGCAAACCCTTAAGCCCTGTGCTCGAGCCGCGGCATGCTTGAGGCGCACCGACGACCCTCCGAAGAATAACCAAAAGCATCTGTTTCACGAGAAAGACGAGCTTGAAACTTGTGAAAACTCCAACTCCTCTTGGTCGTTCAGGTTGTAAACTGCAGGCCTTTTCAGACTTTTCATATTTTTTTCATTCACTGGCCCCTAAACGGGAAACCATGCAGCTCGCGGGTGCTGTTTTAGTCCTTTGTTATTTTGGATCATGGCAGCTCCTGTTCGGATCTTCAAAGTCTACTTCTTGCTTCACTTCTGTAAAGGAGTACAGCTGCAAAAGCTCAAACCCGTATTATTTTACCTTGCAAAGACCTTGACCCGAAACTCGAAGCATCGTCGAAACAGAAAGCCTGTGCACAACAGACCTACACTTAGGATGTCCTTAAGGGGGGGTGGTCCAAGGGGGGTAGGCAACCTAGTAATCCCCACTATTCCCCAATACTCCCTAAGCTTCCCTAAGGTTCCCCAAAGCTCCCTAGTACCCTCCCCCCTTGAACCACCCCCCCTTAAGGATCCTATAATACACTGCAAACCCCAAACTCGAAAGCCTCTAGGCTGCCATATGAGCCTGTCAAAAAACTCTCAAGAACGAATACTAGGCATGCTCAGGCCCCTGTAAAACATGAGAAATCGACCAAAACGCTGGAACGCGAAAAGCCTTACATAAACTAGCCTAATCTGGGTGCCGATTTGGGACAGGTTCTAACGTATTGCTGAATACAAAAACCCTACCTGTGGCCCAACAAACCGACCTTTTCAGGACATATACAGAAACCATAACAAGGAGCTCTAACAATCCTAGAAGGGTAGGCGTGTTCGGCTGCAGGCAATTCTAAGTTCTCACAAATTTTGAAGGAACCCACAACCCCAAACCCTAAAACCTAAGCCCCAAACCCTGAACCCTTCTTTGACAGGATCATGAGACTTAGTAAGTAGGTTATTAGTGCGGTTTTAAGTTCCCTAAGTGGGGTTATCCTATTATAGCCTACTTAGAACCCTACTTACTAAGTCCCATGAGCCTTTGAGTAAACCCTAACACCCTAACACCCTAACACCCTAAGCCCCAAACCCCAAAACCCTAAACCCGCAACCCTAAAACCCTAAAACCCTAAAACCCTAAACCCTAAACCCTAAATCCCTAAAGCCTAAACCCCTAAAACCCTAAACCCTAAACCCTACTTGGAGGATCATGGGTAACTATAGTTTTAAGTCCCTTAATTGTGGTTTTCAGCAATTATAAGTATAGTTACCCCCAATAATAACCGTAGTTACTAAGTCCCATGAGCCTTTAAGTAAACCCAAACCACCAAAAGTAGGTAGAATAATTGCCCAAAACCTTGAAACTGCCATTATTCGACATACTCTTGGGGTTCAGTCAAAAGGGATCACGAAGAGCCCCAATCCCCTAAACCCTAAACCTTAGAAGCTGCCCCCACCCTGTAATAGTGACTATAAGGATTATATTAGGGCCCTATTGTATGCCTACTATAGCACTATTACAGGGTGGGGGGCAGCTCCTAACCTAAACCCAAACCCTACGAAGTTCAGGTTTTAGACTCCCGCGGCGAGCCCGGCGATGCGAAGTTTGCCTCCCAGGAGACCCCACCCCGGTCGTTTTTTTTAGGGTCTTTAGAGGTTTAGGGTTTTGAGGGTTTTAGGATTTTAGGGTTTTAGGGTCTTTAGGGTTTTCAGGATTTTAGAGTTTTAGGGTTTCAGGGTTTTAGGGTGTAGGGCTTCAGGGTTTTAGGGTTTTTATGGCTTCAGGGTTTCAGGGTTTGCAGCCCCCGGCAGTCTCTGGATATGTCTGGAGGTTTATGTAGTATGGGTTTGGGGCTTCGTTGACTTCAGGACTCTATGTGGGTTCTAAGAGGATTCCGAGTTTGAGATGCCTTCCCAGTCTTCGGGGCTTTACAAAGGCTTCTATATAGGGTTTTATACTGGTTTGCAGAAGGGTTTGATGGGGTTCGATTGATTGGGCTTTTGGGATCTTGACTTTGTCATGTCAGGCGTGTTGGGTTTCGGGTTTAGGGATGTAGCATTAGGGTCTGGATAGAAGATGTACTTGCACTCCGCGGGGCTCAGTTGTTCAGAGTCATGTCATAACCTTCTTGTTTCTCTGAATCATATACTAGGGGATCCAGGTCGGGAGATACGGTTTACTTGGTTCTTCATTTTTTGTTCTTGCAGGTTAGTAGTAACCTGAAAGTTTAACGAAAGTTTAACCTTTTGTTTCGGTTGCTCATTGGGGAAGCAAGTGTAGGCTTTAGGATTTCAGCTGTGGGTTGAAGGATCATGTACTGTTCTTGTGATTCATCTTGCGCACAGCACCTTATAGGGTTTACAAGGATTCCTGGGTTATTTGGAAAGTCATGGTATTTAGCATGTGCTTAGTAAGGTTTCAAGTGCCGTGAAGCTGGACGTAGGGCTCCAAACAGTTGGACTTGTCCTAAACACCTTCCAAGGATCTGAGGATGGGTGCAGTAAAAAAAGCCCTTATCTTTGCGGATCTACTGAATATGATATAATGTAGCGGTCGGAACCATCAGCAAAGATATTCTTTATGGGTCCCCAAGAAAAGTATTGCATAACCCTAGCTCCTAAATGTCTGGTAGGATACCCCAAACCTTAAACTCTAAACCCTAAACGGTTCCATCTTGGGGGTCCTGTAAGGGTTGTGTTAAGCCTTCTCTTCCAGGGTTGGCATAAGGGTTACCCGGGGTTGGGGCCAGGATTAGGGTTCTACTTGGAGGGGCTCCTTTAAAGGGGATTCTAAGGGCTCCTTTAAAGGGCTTGATAGGGGTACTATAGGGTTTAGGGTTTAGGGTTCAAAGACTTAGTAAGTAGATAGTAAGTAGACTTATAAGTACCCTAAAAGGTACCCTAATTGGGATGATGGTACTTATAAGTCTATAAGATAACCAGTTACTAAGTCCCCAGACCCTCCAAGTACAACTTCGAAGACCTCCTGTGTTGAAATCCGACAGAGCTAGAACCCCGACAATACTTAGGGGTACTTAGAAACAATTTTTATTTTTTGGCTATTATAATCCCTAAGAAACAGCTAAAATTGGAGTTTTTGCTAGGGTTCTAAGGTCAGTATAGACTTTTACCTTCTTAAATCATTCCTACTAGGGGATATAGGTAGAGGGCTCGGGCTGTTATTTCTAAAAGGACCAGGGTGGCTAGAATCCCGACAATTGTCGAGGTCTAGTTGGGTTCCTTAGCCCGAGACGAAAGCATTCATCCCCAAGCTCTACTTGGGGGACTTAGTAACTGGCAAGGGGTTCCTTTAAAGGGGTCCTTTAAAGGGATCTATAGGGATTCTATAAGGGTATAGGGTTTAGGGTTTAGGGGGACTTAGTAACTGGTTATTTTGTAGACTTATAAGTACCATAATCCCAATTAGGGTCCCTTTTTGGGTACTTATAAGTCTACTTACTACCTACTTACTAAGTCCCCCGACCCTCCAAGTAGAGCCCCAAAAGCCCGAAACCTTAAAGAACGCACTCAAAACCCGAAGCCCTAGACCCGAAAACCCAAAGCCCTTTAGACCCTAGCGCCCCAAAATGCCCTAAACGTTACAGAAAGGCACTGAAAAACCTAAACCCCTAAACCCTTACTTCCCCAAACCCCTCCCTAAACCACTGAACCCTTAAACCCTTAAACCACTGAACCCTTAAACCCCGCTTTTGCTCTTCGTGTTCTCGCCGGCTCCTCAAGGGCCAGGGCTTCCGCCAAAGCTCCGCAGCAAGTGACTCCGGGAAGAAAGTGGTCGGAGTAATTCACGATTCAAAAACGGCTTGGGGTTTTAGGGTGTAGGGTTTGGGGTTTAAGGTTTAGGGGTTCTGGTTTAGGGCCTATAAGTATCCACCAATGTTGCTCCTATAAGGTTCCTTATTATACTTATACTATAACAGAGCCCAAAACCCTATTCTAACTATTCATGCCCCAACATCAAGTAGAAAGGGTTGGCCCAAGCCCTAAACACTACCCTAAACCGCCCAAATCAATAAGCTTCAACCCCAAACCGCAGCAACTGAAGCTCTTGAAACAAGGACCCGGGAACCCAGGCTGGTCTACTTAGGGATCCTTAAAGGGATCTCTAGGGTTTAGGGTATAGGGCCTACTTAAAGGATCATAGGGTTACTATTGGGGTAACTATACCTACACTTACCTATAATCCTTATTCAGGGACTTATAACTATAGTTACTAAGTCCCATGATCCTCCAAGTAGGTCCCAGAAGACCCGCCAGAAGGCCACGCTGAACTAAGCTGATAGGAATAACTACGCTCTAAATGCTCAGCCTTAAATCCGAAATAACACTAAGCCTCCAAAAAATCCCAACCCTATCTTATGATGTTTTTCTGAGTAATCATTAATGCTTTAGTTTAGGGTGTCTTGGTTTGTTGGCGTTCTGGGCAAGCGATGCCCAACAGCGACGCCAACGTTGGCTTCGGATGCTGGGCGGCGCTCGCCCGCCCGCCGCAAGTGACCCAGATGCATCTAGAATTAAATTTAAACATTTAAGGTTCTGGCTTTTAGGGTTTGCAAGGGCGCTATTCAGGGATATAGCGTTTAGGGCTTAAAACCGTCCGTAAATTGGCTGTTCTCCTGTTTTCCGGCTAAAAGCACGCTTTCGTCACTAAACCCAACACCCAAAAACGGCCGTGAACCCAGAGCCCCAAGCCCGGTCATCTCCCCAAACCTCAAAGCTATAGTCCCCTTAGGATTTTTAATTTTCGTTCATATAAAACCAGAGAGAATATTAAAGACATTATGTTCTTTCTAGACCCGAACCCCCAATGGATGGACTCTTGGGTTGTCCGTTCTACACCCTGAACCGTCCAGCGAGAAGTCCAGTTTACGGCTCTTGTTAGGCTCTGGTCAGCAGCGTTCTGATTCAGGATTCTCTTAATGGCAGACTTTTAGGTTCTTGTTTGGCTTCTTGTTGGGTCTTTAGGCTATCCAGCACCCCCAAACAGTAGCCTTTTATGGAGCCCTTATGGTCCTTAATAGTGGGTATTTCGGGTATAAGAGAGGGTAGTTGGGTCATTGTTTGAGGCTTGATGATTGAACTGGTTGAACGTTGCTAGCTATAGTTACCATGACTCTTGCTCCGCGGCCAGTAACGTTTTCATTCCGAGGACTAGGGACGAGTCATCCGAGATGCCCGCTAGGCTGGTGGTTTGTGAACGCAACTGGAAAGGTGCCAGGGATAATCCCAAGGTGTTGGCAGAGCTCATCGAAAAGGAGCTCTCGGAAGGCTTTCTTGAAGAACTTAGCCTGGAGTCAGCCCAACAACGTTGGGACAATGTGGCCGTGGCAAGGATGAACGCGGTCATGGCAGAAAATCCCAAACCTAGACTGATCATGGACGGCACGGTGTCGGATGTCAATGCCTCTTTTTTTTGAACGAGAAGTACTGCCTCCCTTCGCTCAAGGATGTTCGTGCGGCTTTCCCGCTCAGGATGGAAACGGAGGACCTTTCGGCCTTTTCTTTGGCGGTTAGAAGCCTCACAGACTTAAGTATCCGTGCTGCCGGTGCGCCACATCGAACGACTATATAGAAATCTAATATACCGAAGATGCTTTTGTAGTGATTCGAGCCGCTAGAAGCCCAGTACCCCATCAGGAGTTCTGTTCAACGTCACAATACGAAACCTTACCAGTATTTCAGATAATTTCTGTTTCTCTGATATGGGCCTTATGTAAACAGTTTTAGGGTTAAGGGTTTAGGATTTAGGGCCTTATGTAGACAGTCAGCTCAGTAAACCCTCGACCTCGACGCCCTGCAGGACCTGTCAACGCCCCACCGCGCCCTGATTTTAGACTCCTTCAGCCCTATACCCTCCCCTAAACCCTACATGGGCAGTTCTCTGAATTGGGGTCTCGTTTGGGGTCCTTTTTTCTAAGCGGGCCGTAATATTTTGGGTGACAAAAGGGACCCGATTTTGAGAACTACCTACAGTATAATTCTAAACCCCCAAAACGAAAAAAACAAGCAAACTTTGTGGTGCATCTGTTCTTGAGGCCGGTCAGCCGTGGGCGTCCCAGAAACTCCAATTTTCTCGCCAAGAAGGGAGGTTCGGAGTATAGGGTTTAGGGTTTAGACCCATGGGGAATTAGGATGCATCTTTGTTAGAGTCCTTCACCCAAAACCCTAAAGCTTAAACCGATTCATTCAACTTGGCGTTCTTCTGGTTGGCTCTTAGGACTTCAACTTTTTGGGTTTCTATATGAACTATAATAAGGAGGCTGAAACTTTAACTTTTTGGAGGGGCCCTAGACCCCTAAACCCTAGATCCCTTAACCCTAAACCCTAGACCCCAGACCCCTAAACCCTAAACCCCTAAACCCCAAGTCAGCCAAGTCGAGATCTTGTTTGTATCTTCGGCCCATGGAGTCCTCAGAGAACTACGGCTGATGATATAAATCCTAGGGTTCCTTTAGGGATCTACCAGGATACCTTTAAAGGGTTCATTTAAGGGATCTATAGGGTATAGGGTTTAGGGTTGATGATATAAACCCTTGTTGGCTGTAAACTCAACTTTTCAACTTTTGGGGTTCTTATAAGGTAGTCGGTTCTGAAAGTTTCAACTTCTATTTCCTTGGGTTTTGGGACAGTGAGAATCCGGCATTACCCATAAGAAGAAAATACCATGATAGGTATTTCGAAGAACCCCACGAGCCCAATACACATCAGTGGAGGAAGGCCTCTTTTTCGGAAAGGGAAAGGGCTCCTCGTTGTGGTTCCCGCGATATTCCATACATGTTTCCGTTCATTATCGCCGAGACCCCGGGTGTTTGGAGACTATAACATCCCCATAAAGGCCTTCGACGCCCAGACCGTAGCCCGGAAACAAAACCGGAAACCCCTATGTTACATGGCTGTTATTGGGCGATGAATCCTAAGAGTTAAATGCTGATGCCTCGTCTGTCAACTTTGGGCGCTGCCCCCACTGAGTGGCTTAGTAGCAGTTGAAGAATCTTTATAGTATATAGATATATTAGACCCTTGTGGTAGCTGAGTAGCCATATTATAGACTGTTACTGTATGGGGGGGGCAGTACCCAATGTCAACTTAGCCTACCAAAACCTAACTTTTTGTAGGCTTTAAAACCTTCCTATGGAATTTATAGGGGCGGTACAAAAATAGGTCTGTTCTGGTGGGCTACGGTAGTATGTCAACCTCTGGTCTAGGCCCCAAACCCCACTCGGAATCTGCGGCTCGGGCACTCAGGTTTCAAAGGGTGGGATGAAGGTAGGTGTGGCACTATCGGCTCCTAAATAATTATCAATACTATTTTGGTGGTTCCTTTTTGTAATTACAGCATACTGGGCCCCAAAACCCTATTCTAATTATTAAGTCCCCTACAAGCCTATATTAATCCAACATAAGAGTCCTTATGTAAGGGATCCTAAATCCACCTTTCGAGGCCTCCAAGCTCTACTGAAAGGATCATGCGACTGAGTAGCTAGGGTTATTATTGTTTAACTATACTTATAATTACTTATAACCCCAACTAAGGGACTAATAACTATCGTTACTAAGTCCCATGATCCTCCAAGTCAGGCATGAGGAGCCCGGAGGACTGAACCTTAAAACACAAAGCCGAGCCCGACAGTAGCAGCGCCACCGCTAAACATCTGGGACCCAGAGTAGGCCCTTACTCCCCTGTTTTAGGGTTTAGGTTCTCTGAAAAAAACCCCTTAACCCAAAAAGCCCTGAACCCGAAGCCCCTAAAGCCTTAACCCAGAAACCCTAAGCCCTTAAGTGTTCGGGACAGAAGGTGTATGGCATTCGTGCGAGGCTTTAAAGAGCACGAAGAAGGCATTAACTGCAGATTCACAGTTGCCTAGTAGTTGCGTGGTATCCTTTAACCTTTTTGGGATACTAGAATCTTGAAAAAATCTAAACGGTTAACCGGTTTACCTTTAGTTCCCTTAGGATACTGAACAAGTAGTTCAGGTTCTGGGTTTCTGTCAGGACACGATTTACTTTTCCTCAAGGGGCACTGGGAGAACAGTCCGTTGTGCTACTGGCAGTCTCCTCTCGCAACGACGACCATCAAAACGCACCGGAAACCTTCGTGCGGACTTTCGCGCGTCACATGCAGCACGGCCCGCCACCTTGGCCAAAGCCTTCGAGAAAGACTCAGGCGTAGGCCGGGTTAGCGGTTGGGGCGGCGGGAGACCGCAGCAACTGAGGGGTGAGGTCCAACAAAAAAAGAAGAAAAAGAATCCTTGTGCCAAGGGGAGACTGTCTTCATGAGCGGACCCCTTGCAGGCACTGCCGCCCTGGAGGTTCTCCAAGCCCCGCGAAGTCCTTTGGGACTTGCGGGGTACGGAGACCTCGACTCGGGGCCTGTTGGATTTCCATCCGGGAAGAGCACAAGACCTTCACCACTGCCGCGCATCCTGTTTGAGAGCCCGAACCTGAAGGCCCGACACCCTACCCCTGAACCCTCAACTCCTACCCTCTCAACTCCTACTCCCCAAACCCCTAAACCCGTAAACCCTAACACCTTAAACCCTAACCCCAGCCCTAAACCCGCAACCAAAAGCCAGAGACGTTCAAGCGTGGAAGCATAAGCTTAGCTTAATTCTCCAATACCCAACCCTAAGGGGTATGTAGAAATAGTGTCAAATTTTGGGTTCCGATCATCACTAAGAACCAGCTGGAAATTATGATGTTTGCTAGGGGTCTAAGTTCAGTATAGAACCTTTCAAATTTTGGCTTCTTGTAGTTTGGTAGTAATCTGAAAGTTTAAGCTTTTATTTCTGTGGCTCATTTGGGAAGTAAGTTAAGAACCCTTGAAACCCTTCAAAACCTTCCACCAAACCTTAGCCGCCGCAACCACAAAGCCTCAGCCTAAGCCCTAAACCCTTAGCCCTAAACCCTAAACCCGTAGCCCTAAGCCCTAAACCCCTACTTGGAGGGTCGGGCGACTTAGTAACTGGTTATTTTAAGGACTTATAAGTACCATAACCCCAATTAGGGTCCGTTTTGGGGTACTTATAAGTCTACTTACTACCTACTTACTAAGTCCCCCGACCCTCCAAGTAGCCCTAAACCTTAAACCATTAGCCCTAAACCCGAAAGCCTTGAAGCCGTTTTGACAGCCCCCCCCATCCGACAGACCCCCCCCCCAAGACAAACCGAATTTTATGAACACCCCCCCCCCCACCCCCGAGCCCAGATCCTCTAACGCGCTAAGATCCCGGTCCTTGAGCAAAAACCGAACAAAGTTGAAACTCCTAAACCCTAAGCCCCAAAGCCCTTAAACCTTAAGTCCCTTAGCCCAAACCCAACAAAATTGAAAATCCTAAACCCTACGCCCCAAAGCCGTTGAACCTTAAAGCTCTAGTGATCAAGGCCCCACACTGCCCCGGCAGTGCTTCATGCGGCCAGCGCAGCTGAGAGGAAGCCAGAGGCTGGCCCGGGTTGTTTTCCCAGTTTTATATAGGGGCACTATTACCTAAACACTATCTTGGCGGCTCCTCACTGTAATTAACTATTGTAGGATTATATTAAATTAGGGCCTCCTTCATTAAGCTTTGTGATCTGGGGTTGAGGGTTCAAGGTGTGAGATTTCGGGCATGGGGTTTGGGTTTGCGATTGACGGTTCAGGGTTTCGGAGATTGAGATTATTAAGCGGACGAGAATGTGTTCATAGAGTTTTTTGGTTGGTCATGTTTTAGAAGCTGCCCCCACCCTGCAATAGTGGTATAATAGGAATTTTATAGGGCCCTTATATAATCCTTATAGTCACTATTACAGGATGGGGGCAGCTTCTAAGTCATGTTAATCTTTTCTGATGGGGTTTCCAGGAGCTTCATACCCAAAACCCTGTAGAGAGCCATACGTACTTGGAGGGTCGGGGGACTTAGTAAGTAGACTTATAAGTACCCTAAAAGGGACGCTAATTGGGTTTATGGTACTTATATGTCTATAAAATAACCAGTTACTAAGTCTCCCGACCCTCCAAGTAGCCTGCAACATCGTTTTAAAGGCTTTGTATAAAGCGGTGCGACATTCAAGGGGCATGTTGAAGCCTCTACCAAGCACTTTACTGAACCATACTGAACCATAAACCCTAAACTCCACGAGACAGCCCTTCCCCAAAGCCCCAACATTTCTCGCAGGTGCCCTAGACCCTACCTGGAGGGTCGGGGGACTTAGTAAGTGGGTCATAAATACGGGTAAAAGTATCCTGGGATCCGAAGCGGGGATGGGATACTTATAATATCTCAACTCTACACTGAGAATAGCTACTTACTATTTCCACTAAGTCGCCCGACTCTCCAAGTAGACCGCCCTAAAGAGCACTGGAGCCTGAACCCCTAAACCCTCAAGCCTGAAGCCTAAACCCCTAAACACTTAAAATCTAAACCCCGCACCCTCAAACCCTAAACCCATGAAAAAACACCCTGAGCCCTAAAGCCCCAAGCCCCAAACCCTGAATCCTACTGAACCCTA